TCTTCTGTGCGCCTCATGAATTCTTTAATCTATTTTAATTTGACTTTTATGCATAGCATTAGAAAGAGGTATGAGTTCTTTGTTTCATTTTCCCAGCACCATTTGTTGAAGAGTCTTTCCTTGCTTTATTTCTCTTTTTTTGCTTCTTTATTGAGGATCATCTGATTATATACCTGAGGGTCTGTTTCAGAATATTCAATTCATTCATTGATCTGAGGGTTTTTCTTTATTCCAGTTATGTGCTGTTTTAATCACAACTGTTTTGTAATATCGATTGAAGTTTGGGAAAGTATTCATCCCATCTTCCCCCCCCCCCCCGGATTGCTTTAGCTATTCCAGTTGGGAAGGGGTATTGTTATATATGAATTTCAAGAGTGTTTGATCTATTACTTTGAGAAATGTCATGTGTATCTTTATAGGGACTGCATTGAATATTTACAGTGCTTTGGGGGAATATTGGCATTTTAAATGATATTAATTCTCCCAATCCATGAGCAGGAGATGTGTTTCCATATCCTTGTGTCTTCTTTTATTTCTTGAAATAATGTTTCATACTTTTTTTTTGTATAGGTTTTTAATTCTTTTGTTAAGCTAATTCGGAGGTACTTGATTTTCTGAGGCAATATTTGTAAATGGGATTGTTTTTCTAATATCTCTTTCTTCTCTTTCGTCATTTGCATGTAGGAAAGTCAGAAACTTTTGGGTATTAATTTTGTAGCCTGCCAATTTACTATACAAATCTATTGCTTCTAGGAGCATTTTTATAGTCTTTAGGATTTTCTAAATATAATATCATGTCATCCACAAACAGTGAGAGCTTGAATTATTCTTTTCCTATCTGAACATCCTTTATATCTTTTTTTGGTCTAATTATTATGGAAGTACTTCCAGTACTATGTTAAATAGAAGTGGTGAGAGTGGGCAACCTTGTCTTGTGCCTGATCTTAGAGGGAAAGACTTTTAGTTTTTTTCCCAATTGACTATAATGTTTGCTGCAGACTTGTGGTAAATGGCTTTGATTTCATTTACCAGAGGATAGGGCATTCACCTGACAAGCGGCCAACATGGCCGACCCGAGTTCGATTCCTCCGCCCCTCTCGGAGAGCCCGGCAAGCTACCGAGAGTATTCGATATGCCAGACACAGTAACAACAAAGTCTCCAATGGAGACGTTACTGGGCCCACTCGAGCAAAATCGATGATCAACGGGAGGGCCTTTACCTTTACCTTTACCAAAGGAAAGTTCCTTTGGTTACCATTTTGTTGAGAGTTTTTATCATGAATGGGTGCTGGATATTGTCAAATGTTTTCTCTGTATCTATTGATATGATCATATGATTCTTATTTTTCTCTAATTGATATGGGCTGGAGCGATAGCACAGCGGTAGGGCGTTTGCCTTGCATGCAGCCAACATGGCCGACTCGAGTTCGATTCCTCCGCCCCTCTCGGAGAGCCCGGCAAGCTACCGAGAGTATCTCGCCCGCACGCAGAGCCTGGCAAGCTCCCCGTGACGTATTCGATATGCCAGACACAGTAACAACAAAGTCTCCAATGGAGACGTTATTGGGCCCGCTCGAGCAAATCGATGAACAATGGGAGGACAGTGTGTCAGTGTGATATGGTGTATTATGTTGATTGACTTGTGTGTGTGTTAAAGCATCCTTGCATCCCTGAGATGAATCCTACTTGGTCATACTATGATCTTTTTGATGAGTTGTTGGATTCTATTTGCTAATATTTTGTTTTGTTAAGAATCTTTGCATCAGTATTCAATAGGGATATGGGTCTCTAATTCTCTCTCTCTCTCTCTCTCTCTCTCTCTCTCTCTCTTCCTCTCTTTCTCTGTCTCTCATGTCTCTGCCTGCTTTTGGTTATCAGAGTGATGTTTGCTTCATAGAAACTGTTTGATAGTGTTTCTTTCTGTTTCTTCAATTTCCCGGAAGAGCCTGAAAAGGATTGGCAATAGGTCCTCTTTATAAGTTTGAAAGAACTCACTAGTGAATTCATCTGAGCCTTGACTTTTGTTTTGGGGAAGACTTCTGATTAATATTTCAATGTCCTTGATAGTGGTAGTTCTTTCAGATATTTCAAGTTACTTTGGTTCAGCCTTTGGAGGGCACAGTAGTCCAAGAATTTATTAATTTCTTCTAGGTTCTCTTGTTTCATGGCATAAAGATCTCAAAGCATCTCTCATGATCCTTTGAATTTCTATGGTGTCTGTCATGGTTTTCCCTATTTCATTTTTGATTCCATTTACTAGGGTTCCCTCTCTTTGTTTCCTTGTGAGCCTTGCTAGTTGTTGATTTTGTTAATTTTTTCAAAGTTCTTATTTTCATTGATATTTTGGATTTTGTGTTTGGATTCCAGTTCATTAATTTTATTATTTCTTTTTTTCCTGCCTGGTTTGGGCTTCTCTTATTGGTAATTTTCCAGTTTCTTAAGTTGTACCCTCAAGTTATTTATGTGGGCCCTTTCTTCCTTCCTGATGAATGCTTGCATAGTTCTGAATCTCCCCTCCCCCCACCATTAACATCACTTTTGCTGTGTCCCACAAGTCCTGGTAGGTTTTGTCCTCATTCATTGCTTGTTTCCAGGAATATTATAATTTCTTCTTTGATTTCCTCTCTAACCTATTAGTTGTTCAGTAATGAGATATTTAATTTCCAGGTTTTTGAGTTGTTTCTCCATTTATGTTTATGATTGATTTCTATTTTCAGTGCATCATGTTTCTGAGAAAATAATTGGCATGATTTCTATCTTTTTCACTTTGTGGATTTATGTTTTATATACCAGCATGTGATCTATCTTGAGACTGCCCCGTGTATATTGGAGAAGAATGTGTTTTTGGCTTTTTGAAAATGAAAAGCTATGTACGTGTGTGTGTGTGTGTGTGTGTGTGTGTGTGTGTGTATAAAGCCCTCTCCTCCATTTCTTCATTTAAATCAAGTATTTCCTTACTGAACTTTAGTCTACTTGATCTATCAACAGGTGACAGGGCAGTGTTGAAGTCTCCAACTAACATTGTGTTGCTATCAACATCTTTCTTCAAGTCATTAGGAGTTGTTTTAAATATTTTGCTGGTCCCTCATTAGATGTATCTGTGTTTATGACTGTGAATTCTTCCTGATATACATATATCCCTTGATCATTAAAAAAATGGCCTTCACTGTCTCATAACATTTTCTTATAACCTAAAGTCTGTATCGTCTGTTTCCTAGTATGGCCATCTCAGACTTTTTGAGGGGGTTGTTTGCTTGAAGAATTGTCTTCCCGCCTTGACTTTGAGTCTGTGTTTGCTCTGAATATTCAAATGTGTTTCTTGCAGGGAGCAAAAAGTTGAGTTCAATTTTCTAATCCACCCTGCTACTCTGTGTTTCTTAATTGGTACATTTTCCCCATTGACATTGAGAAAGATAACTGTCATGGAGTTTTGTGCCATCTTTTGGCAAGAGTTTGGTGTGTTTGTGGGATTCATCTAGTCTTAAAGTAACCCCTTTTTAGTTCTTCTTGAAAAGAGTTTTTTAAATCTATGAAAGTCTTGAGTTGTTTATCTGTGAAGTTGTGTAACTTCAAGGCTGAATGAGAGTCTGTCTCTCATTCAGGTATAATATTCTTGGTGAGGCATTCATTTAATTTAGGGTATTTTTGTTGTTGTTGTACTTTTGTGTTTGTTTTGTTTTAACTATATCCCACCATCATTGTATTTGGATCTGGAAAGTTTTTTTTTGGTAAATCTGCTGTAAATCTTAAGCAGCTCCTTTGTAAATAATTTTCTTTTTTGCTCATGCTGCATTCAGTATTCCATCTCTATGTCTTTTGCTTTTCTGATTAGGATGTGTCTTAGAGTATTTTTATTTGGATTTCTTTGAACTGGTATCCTTTGGGTCTCATGGATGTGGGTGCATGCACTCTCCAGCTCTGGGAACTTAGCAATGATGTCTTTGACTGGTACTTCTTCATTATTAGGCTTGCCCTCCTGGCCTTCTGGGATGCCAATGATTCTTATGTTGTTCCTCTTGAATCCATCCACAAGTTGTCAGATGTTTGTTTATTTTGAGGTTGATTTTCCCCATTTTCTACTGTTTACTGGAGATTTTCTGCTCCTCATCTTGTAACTCATTGGTTCCGCTGTCTTTGGCAGTGTTACTCTGCTGGTGAGACCCTCCAGTGAGTTTTTCATGTCACCCACCAGGTTTTCCACTTCTGTCATTTCCGTTTGTAGCTTTCCCATTTCTGCTCTCACAATTTCTTATGTTTTATTGACTGCATGTTCCTTTGTTTCTCTAAGCTCCTTAAACATCCTTAACATTTCCTCTCTAAAGTCCATATCAGAAAGGTTATGTAGCTTGTTATTACTGAGTTAATCTCTGGGGCATTCACTAAGTGTGCTGGGGTTCTGCATTGCTTTACCACTATGACTTTTGCATTCTGGAAATGTTTCTAGTGTTGTTAGATGACTAGAGTTAGGGTGTCACTGTATGCTCAAGGTGAGTTATAAAGAGGTTAAGAAATGCACAGTCACATAGTAACCACACTTCATGTGGGGTCATGACCTGGGGGACAAAATGGTAATCTCAAGAAACAAATAAGGCCCTTGACACCATGGTGCTTCAATTTCTCAGGACATCACTTATTATTACTAACCTTGAGTACCCATCTGTCCAACATTTAAATTTTGCTTTCCTGACCTCCTGACCCTTGCCATTTTAACTCAAAATTTCTGGGATTAGGTACCAAGAATTGCTACTTTAAGTAAGCTTTCAAATAATTACTGTCAAATAATATTTTGGGGAAAATTCTCACATTACAAATATTGAGGGGGAACTATATCACAATACATCATTTATACTACTATTATTTGAACATTCTAATATCAGCTGTATCACAATACTATGTCATTCAGTTCTATTGGTTATACTAAAATTTAGCTCTGTATTAAAAGAAATGCTCTTTCAAAGGGTTATATACTGTTACTGACCGTACTATATCTGTTCATTTAGATTTTGAATGTTATTAAAGTGGATATGAGAAAAAAATATGCACCAATATTTAAAGTCCATCTACACTTGAGAATTCCTTCTGAGAGTGATTTATTAGAAAATTTATGTGAGACCAGCTGTGACCCCAAAATGTATGCTGGAAACTCTAAAATTCCTGAAAGCAAATTTCTCACAAAATCTTCAAGTGAAATACTATATCCAGTAAAGATACACAAAACACGTCATTGGAATCTTGAAGCAATGTTTTCAGGTAAAGAATGTGGTTATAAAGAATGAAGAAAATATGCTAATAGTTGAAAAAATAGCAAGTGAGAAAAAATGTTATATATAAAAGTATATATTATATATAAATATATATGAGTATAGCACTGTAGCACTGTCCTCCCGTTGTTCACCAATTTGCTCAAGCTGGCACCAGTAACGTCTCACAACAAATTGTGAGACTTGTTGTTACTGTTTTTGGCATATTTAATACATCACGGGAAGCTTGCCAGGCTTTTCCGTGCAGGCAAGATACTCTCGGCCGGGCTCTCCAAGAGGGGCGGTGGAATTGAACCCGGGTCAGCCATGTAGGCCTCGTGCAAGGCAAATGCCTTACCCGCTGTGCTATATGATTTTATAAAATTAAAGGATGAAAAGACAACATAAATATGCAAACTATATTTGGTGCACATAAGTAATAACTGTGTGTTGCCCTGTAACACTATTTTTATCTCAAAACAAATGGCATTTCTTACTAGAGGTGTCCTGAAGATCCTTTTAATCAGGGTGAATAACACCAAGCCTGTTAAAATACAGATTCATACTTTATTTTAGGTCGTTTTCACTTAGAATGTGGGGATAGCTTTTGAATACAGTCTTTCGAATATTTTCCAGTTTATTTTTAGGGTGTTCATTAAACAATGACATGTATTATCTAATCATTTATCAATTATTCACTGTTTTTTCTAATGGATTTTAACAGACATAGAACTTGAGAATGATTTTGAGAATAAAGACGTGACGTATGAGGAGTAAGTATTATATAGTTTTCAGATGACAAGAAATTGGATTTAATCTTGTTATTTTTTTCTACTGAAATATGGTTCTACTGTTTTCTTAGACTTTCAGAATTCCCTACAAACATATTTTTAGAACCAAACAGATTTGATTTTTCAATAAAAATTCAAAATATGCTGGCTGAAATGGAAAAATGTATAAGTAAGTATCTTAAAAGTTTAGTAAAAGAATATAAAAATATTGTCTTCTTTAGCAATATTTCCTTAAACTTAAGTATCTAAATTTTTATCAATAAATGTATTTAGCAGCAATATTTTATCTTAGGCAATTAATTTATACTCATGGGATCAGTCAGGATGTGAAATTATTTGAGGCTACATTAATCTATCACTTTATACTAAAAGTGATAAAGATAATACAAAAAAATTATAGACCGGTATATCTAATTAACACTGATCCAAATTTTTTCATCAAAATTTTAGCAAACCAAATCCAACAAAATAAAAAATCATACACCGTGACCAAGTAGGATTCATTCTAGGAATGCAAGGATGGTTCAATACATGCACCATACCAACAAAAGTCAAAATCCTGTAATTGTATCAATAAATTAAAACCGTTTACCATATTCTACAATATTGTACAAAGTTCATGGTTTAAAAAATAAATAAAACAGGGATATATGGAATGTACCCTAATATTTTAATGAAGATTTACCAAAAAACAGCAGTCAACCTCATATTCAATGCCCCCCCCAAAAAAAGTGAGAGCCTTCTCTCTGAGATCAGGCACAAGACAGGGATGTTCAATATCTACAGTACTACTCAATATAGTTTAGAGGTTCTTGCTACAACAAGAAAAAGAAACCAAAAGGATCAAGACTGGAAAAGAAGGTAAACTATTACTAATTGCTGATGACTGATTTTATACATAGAAGATCATAAAGACTCAACTAAAAAATCTTAGAAACTATAAACCAATGTAGAAAAGTATCGGGCTACAAAACCAATACACAGAAATGTGTTGCTTTTCAATAAACAAATTATAAACCAGAAGAGAAAGGGAGAAAAAAGACAACTCCATTTTAAATGGTGTCTAAAAACAAAGAATACCTAAGAATCAACAAGGAATGTGAAAGATTATTGAAAACTCTGTCTCTATTGACAAAAATAGGCAACAGAAGCAGGGAAATGGAAAAAAATATTCCATGCTCATAGATTAGAAGAATTAATATTGCCAAACTGACAATTCTCGCTAATACATTATACAGATTCAATGCAATAAACATCTTAATGACATTCTTCAATCTGTCATTTGGTTCAGCCTCTCTGAAAAGTAGTATGAAGATTTCTTCAAAAAGTAATTTATATGACCCAGCTCATAGGACCTAGCAATGCAGGGCCTGGAGCAATAGTAGTACAGTGGGTAAGGCCTTGCACACAGCAGACCCAGGGTTTTTTGGTTTTGTTTGTTTGTTTGTTTGTTTGTTTTTGTGAATCACTGTGAGGTACTGTTGTATACTTACAAACGTTCGTGTTTGTGTTTCAGTCATACAATGATTGGTTACCCATCCCTCCACCAGTGCCCATTCTCCACCACCTATGATCTCAGCATCCCTCTCACCCCTCCATCCCCTCTCCCTCCCCACCCCGCCTCTTTGGCAGGGCATTCCCTTTTGTTCTCTCTCTCTTTTGGGGTATTATGGTTTGCAATAGAGGTATAGTGGTCGTCATGTTCAGTCTAGTCTATAGTCTATTTTCGGCAGCTCCTAACCCGAGCAGGTCCTCCCAGGACTCTTTACTTGGTGTTCCCTTCTCTGTCTGAGCTGCCTTTTTCTTCCAGCATATGAGGCAGGCTTCTAAGCCATAGGGCAAACCTCCTGGTCCTTATCTCTACTATTCTTGGGAGTTAGTCTCCTATTCTGTTACTTTATATTCCAAAGATGTATGTAATCTTTCTATCTCTGTCCCTCTCTTTCTGACTCATTAATATGATACTTTCCATGTTGATCAACTTACATGCAAATTTCATAACTTCATCTTTTCTAACAGCTACATAGTCTTCCATTGTGTAGATGTGCCAAAGTTTCCTCAATCAGTCATCTGTTCTTGGGCACTCAGGTTTTTTCCAGATTTTGACTATTGTAAACAGCGCAGCAATGAATATACAAGTGCAGATGTCATTTCTACTATACTTTTTTGCCTCCCCGGGGTATATTCCTAGAAGTGGTTTTTTCTGGGTCAAATGGGAGCTCAATTTCTAATTTTTTCAGGAGCGTCTAAATTGTTTTCCAAAAGGGCTGAACCAGTCGGCATTTCCACCAGCAGTGAAGGGGAGTCCCTTTCTCCCCCCACACACGCCGACACCCAAAAGTCCATGGCTTTCCTATATGCAAATAATGAGAGAGAATGAAGTGATACGAAAAAACAATTCCGTTCACAATCATGCCTCAGAAAATCAAGTACATTGAAATCAGCTTAACTAAGGAGGGGAAGGACCTATACAGAGAAAACTACAAAACATTACTTCATGAAATAAAAGAGGACAAGAGGAAATGAAAACACATCTTGTGCTCATGGATTGGGAGAATTAACATTGTCAAAATAGCAATACTCCCCAAAGCATTATACATATTCAATGCGATCCCTATAAGGATACCCATGACATTCTTCAAGAAAGTGGACCAAACACTCCTGAATTTCATATGGAACAACAAACCCACACAAATAGCTAAAGCAAATCTAGGGGAAAAGACGATGGGAGGCATCACCTTCCCCAACCTCAAACTCTATTACAAAACAGTAATAATTAAAACAGCATGGTACTGGAACAAAGGCAGAGCAGCAGACCAGTGGAATAGAGTTGAATATCTTTACACACACCTTCAAATATATGATCATCTAATCTTTGATAAGGAAGCAAGAAATGTGAAGTGGAACAAGGAAAGCCTTTTCAACAAATGGTGCTGGCAAAACTGAACAGCTACATGCAAAAAAATGGGCTCACACCTCTACCTAACAGCATGCACAAAAGTCAGATGAAAATAGATTAAAGACCTCAACATCAGACCAGAATTCATAAGGTACATTGAAGACAAAGTCAGCAAAACCTTCCATTACATTGAAGCTACAGGTATCTTTAAAGATGACTCGCCACTGACTAGGCAAGTGGAAACAGAGATAAACAGATGGGACTGTATTAAATTAAGAAGCTTCTATACCTCTAACGAAACAGTGACCAGAATACAAAGACAATCCACAGAACGGGAAATGAAATTTACCCAATTCCAATCTGATAAGGGGCTGATATCAAGGATATATAAGGCACTGGTTGAACTCCACAAGAAGAAAACATCCAACCCCATCAGAAAATGAGGCAATGAAATGAACAGAAACCTTCTCAAAGAAGAAATCAGAATGGCTAAAAGGTACATGAGAAAATGTTCTACATCACTAATTATCAGGGGGTACAGAACAAAACAATAATGAGATACCATCTCACACCACAGAGGCTGGCCCACATCCAAAAGAACAGACCCAGGTTTGATCCCAACATTCCCTGTGTCTTCCCTGAGCATTGCCAGATGTGATTTCTGAGTGTAGAGCCAGGAGTAATGCCCGAGTATCACCAGGTGTGGCTCCCAAACCTACCACCACAACAGAAAACATATATGCACTCCTCTATTTTATTCTATTTGCACAGAATATTACATGGTAAGTATGTTTTCAATAGTTGCATATGTTATGGATAGTTTTAAGGTTTTAACTTTCAGTGTCTTTTCTGAAAATACTAATTTTTGATCACCATTACATGTTTTAGCTACAGTGAAACCTCTTTGCCAAGATCCTCGCCTGGATATCTTTACTAATTCTGTTTTAACTGTGGATTTTCCTAACAATACAGAAAGAGAACTAGAATGTAATAAGCGAAAAAAGAGGCTAGATTGTGAAATCCTTTTTGAAAAAGATCCTATATACCAAAGGAAAGTAAGTTTAAAAGTAGTCTGTTTTAAGGAATTTATAGTTTAAGATGCACAAACCCACTGAAATTCTTGGGTAAAGGGGATTCATTGAAAAATTATAATATTGTGTTTTATGGCGTTTGAAAAATCTTTCCCAGGTTTTCTTCTATTTTTCATACTAACCTTTCTTCTATTCATCTGTGTTTTTTTCTCTAATTTACATCACGAAAAGGTGTAAATTGGAAATCCTTCCTTCCCTTCCTTCCTTTCTGGAATTTGGGGAAGTATTTGGGCCACACCAGGCAGTGCTCAGGGCTTACTTCTGGTTCTCTATGCTCAGGGATAACTCCTGGTGGTGCTTGGAGGACCATATGTGGTGATTGAACCAGGTTCACCAAATACAAGAAAAACACCTTAACCCCTGTACTATCTCTCCAGCCCCAGATATTTCTTTATGGCTTCCTTGTAATATTGACTTGCCAGCATATTGATTTGCAATAACCCTCACTTTTCTTATTACCACCTGTTTTTTTTTTTTAGTTTTTTTTTCTTAAATTTTTATTAGTGAAACACCATGAGGTACAGTTGTAGACTTACAAATTTTTGTGCTTGGGTTTCAGTTATACAATAATATACAATAATAGAATACCCATCCCTCCACCAGTGCCCATTCTCCACCACCACCGGTCCCAGTATCCCTCCCACCCCCTTCCCCCATCCCACCCTACCTCTGTGGCAGGGCATTCCCTTTTGTTATCTCTCTCCTTTTGAGTGCTGTGGTTTGCAAAAGAGACACTGAGTGGCAATCTTGTTCTGTCTATAGACTACTCTCATCACGCATTTCCCATCCTGAGAGGAACCTCCCAACACCCTTTATTTGGTGCTCCCTTCTCTATCTGAGTTACCTTTTCCCCTAGCGTGTGCGGCTGTCCTCAAAGCCATGGAGTAATCCTCCTGGTACTTATTTCGGCTATTCTTGGGTGTTAGTCTCATATTTTGTTACTTTATGTTCCTCAGATGAATGCAGTCTTTCTATGTCTGTCCCTTTCTTTCTGACTCATTTTGCTTAGCATGATACTTTCCATGTAGTACCACTTGTATATGAATTTCATGACTTCATCTTTTCTAACAGCTGCATAGTACTCCATTGTGTAGATGTACCAAAGTTTCTTTAACCATAACTGGGTATTTTTTTAATTCAAATTCACAAAGGAATTTAATTGTCTTTGCTTGAGTCAGGATGCCATCCTCTCCAAACTAACTATATATTGGTAATTGGCTAAGGTCACATAGAATAAGAATTGTCCTTTCCCAAGTCTGTACATAAAGTATATATGCTAAAACTGGATGGCAAAGGAATAAACAAATGCTGTGTCTAGTACAGGGTTCAAAATAATGTGCTAATAGTAAAGTAAAATGGTCAAGTAAGAATTCATATAGAGGTTAAATATAAAAAAATTAGAAAATTTCTTCATGAAACAACTCCAAATGAAACTATTATTTTAAATATTTTGGCAGAACTAGTAGCATATTTAGCCACACTAATTTTTACTCTTAGTATTCTAACTTTTAAAAATATTTTACTTCACAGGTTGTGTGTCTCCTGACCATTATTGGTCATTCAATGGGTTTAGTTAATGCCTACAGTCACAGATTTTTACAATATTGTTCCATTACATCAAAGGCCAAAATCATGAGTATGAGATTATCAGATATGAAAGAATTTACTCCAACGCAGTTTAAAATTATCCTAGAAAATTCTCGAAAGTACCTTAAACGTGTTATTACTATGACTATTGAAAAGCGTATTGGCATTTTCAGCATACTAACTTTTGATTATCAGTCAGAATGTTTACCATATGTCGACAATATTGTAACTATTAGCAATAATGCCTTGTTATCTACAATTAAAAAAAAGAGTGTAAATATTTTGAAGGTAAGTATTTTAAATGTATTTTGAAAATTTCTATTGCCTGACAATGTTTAAGATTAATAGATTATACTTTAAAATATGTATTGAGTATAAGAATAATAACTAATTCAAATGACAATGACAATTTATAACTTATAATACATATTCCAGTATGTGTTAAATTTATCACTGATCACATGTTTCTCAAACTTTCTCAAAAGTTTCTCTTACAATTGTAATCTAAAATTGTGCCCTATATAATTTTTGCTTCCTTTCATTGTGGGAATCACTATGAGACTTAAGCAGGAAAATTACTATGCAATTATATCTTTATAAGAACCTTCTATGGCTGCAGGGTAAAGATTGACCAAAGTTCAACAAGACAGGAAGATGACTAATAAAGAAGTGATGCTAGCTTAAGCCAAGTAACAATAGAGTCTGAGGAGAATACGGATTTTAAGTCATATTCAGGAGGTCAACAGGATTTAATCACTGATTGAATACAAAGAATAACGAAGGATAGTTATTCAATAGGTTTTTGATTAAGCAACAGGGTGAACAGTGATGCATTTCAGGAGGAGAATATAAGCCTTGTTAAATTCAGGTCTAGGAGTGCATGCATGGATATTAGAAAAGAAAAATAGACTGGGAATATACATGTAAATGATCAGCATACAAAGTAATGGTCAAAATCATTAGAGTAAATGAGAATGCACTTGTTGAGGTGATGATAATGGAAAAAACCTACACTAAAGGTCAGCAACATTTATGGGGCTGGACCAATAGTACAGTGGGAAGAGCTCTTACCTCACATAAAACCAACCCTTGGCATCCCGTATGGTCTCTTGAGCCCACTGGGAGTGATTCCCTGAGCACAGAGCCAGGAGCAAGTCCTGAGCACCACTGAGTGTGGCCCCAAAACAGGAAAACAAAATGAACACTAATATTTAGAAAATTTCTAGAAAAAACACAAACACAAACAAAACACTGTCCTTCCGTTGTTCATCAATTTGCTCTAGCGGGCCCAGTAACATCTCCATTTTGAGACTTGTTGTTACTGTGTTTGGCATACCAAATACGTCACAGGTAGTTTGCCAAGCTTTGCCGTGCGGGAGAGAATACTCGGTAGCTTCCCGGGCTCTCTGAGAGGGGCGGAGGAATCGAACCCGGCTCGGCCAGGCTGGCTGCACACAAGGCAAACACCCTACTGCTGTGCTATCGTACACACCAGTGTATATTAAGAAAGAGCAACTAAAAAAAAGAAGAAGAAACCCAGAAAATTTTGAGGAGAGAACTTTTAGTAGCTTTAAAAATAATTCACTCTTTCCCCTTTGTCTAACACACACACACACACACACACACACCCTTACTCACATTTAACTGTGGTCCTCACTGGGGGGATTGTACATCAGGTTGTGGTGCTCAAACACTTAACAGAATTATTCACTAAGGTTTGCACCCTTTTTTTAAAATTTATTTTTTATTAGTGAAACACCATGGGGTATAGTTGTAGACTTACAAACTTTTGTGCTTGGATTTCAGTTATACAATGATCAAGTATCCACCCCTCCACCAGTGGCCATTCTCCACCACCAATGAGCCAAGTAACCCTCCCTCCCAACCCCCCCCCCCCACCCTGCCTCTGTGGCAGGGCATTCCCTTTTGCTCTGTCTTTCCTTTAGGGTGTTGTGGTTTGCAATAGAGGTATTGAATGACCATTGGGTTCAGTCTATAGTCTTCTTTCAGCACGCATTTCCCATCCCGAGCGTCCTCTTCCCTTTACTTGGTGATCCCTTCTCTATCTAAGCTGCCTTTTTCCCCAGCTCCAAGCCATTGAGCAACTTCCTGGTACTCATCTCAACTATTTTGAGTGTTAGTCTCCTATTCTGTTACTTTATATTCCACAGATGAGTAGGTTTGTACCCTTTTATTGTGGTGCTTGCACATATGGTCATGGGTACCACACACTTAAGTGAAGTAGCACATTCTTGTTGTAGTGCTCTCTGACGATCATTACTATGTCACACATGCTCACCAAGGATTGTACTTCCTAGATGCGATCTTTGCACATCTTTCAGTTGCAGTGCTCACCCTGGGTTATAAACACCTGGTTGTGGTGTGACTGGAAAATACTTGCAATGCCAAGGATCACAGACAGCAGAGCTGCAAGGTTTAAGCATCTGGGTAGCCTGGAACATACAGGTTGATATGGTGTCACCAGGAATTGAACTCATTACCATATTCTTACAAACCCAGCATTTTAAGCCACTATGCTACTCCTTTGGAGCTTAGTAACTTTTTCACATTACAAAGAGTTTTCAGTATGGACTGAAAGTACCTATTAAGTGACAGGTTTCTATGTGCTATTTTTAATAAAATATATATATCTTATGTTTAGGTTCATAGCAATTCTATAATCTATAAAAAGTACTCTTATTTCATGTAATATTACATTCCCATAAGCGAACAAAATAGCTGGTGTTCATTATACACGTTATGCAAGAGGTTTATTTGTCATATGCAGAAAAAAATCTAAGCTTTAATAATCCAAGGCTGGTGATCTGGAGAAGGGAGTTCAACTCCTTTCTTTTAACTGTTGCTCTAGATAAATACAGATAAATTTCCATATTTTAGTCAAAAACAAGGAGGAAACAATAGTATTATAAGCTTTACTACTCATTGCTAATCATTTTACTTTTTACTGTGGGTCAGTCACTATGCCTTCTATACCTGCAAGGGGTTCTACCTGCCAAAGATGTCAGATCTCAAGCTCTCTATTTCATGTATGAGCTTCAAATAATCCAACTTGCAGCATCTGCCACAGTTGATCCCTTTGAAAACTTCCACACTTTTTTGAATATGTTGTTTTATTTTTCTTTTTGTTTTAAATTTTGGTTTGGGGGTCTATACATGGCAGTACTAAGGGGTTACTCTTGGTTCTACACTCAAGAATCACTCCTGGAGGTGGTCCATATGGGATGCCAAAGATTGAACCTGGATCAGCTTTACCCACTTTTACTATCTTTCTTGTCCCAAGTTACTTTTATTTCTCATAAAGAGAATTATTTGGTGCTTTTTATGTTTTAATATTTTTTATGAGCAGGATACATTCATATTTCACCCACTAATCATAGAGAGAATTGGATCCATTAAGCTCGGGTATTTAAAGCAATGTTTAATGTCAAATAATGTTTTCATTTTGTCCTGAAATTATAGCTATGAAAGTTAATGGTGGTAGTTAAAATGTGTCTTCTAAAATAGTGAAATAATTATAGAATTCTAACTAACATGTTGATAATTTCAGGTTGTGGAATCATTATTGAAAAATTTGATACATGAACCCACTGAAACAAAACAATTTGCAGAACACTTTACTTTTTTGGATAAACTTCCCTCCAAAATAGCTACATTAGAAAAAGAGTACTCAATAATTTCTGAGCTGAATTCTATTTTAAGATATTACCAGATTCCTACAACAGAACAGCAAAATGTTGTCTATAAAATATTTCTTACCAAGTTTAGCGAACTGAAAGCTACCTCAAAGATTAGAGAAGCAAATAAAGACGACACTATTGTGAAATTCAGGGAAAATTTGGAAGACTGCATGATTCGTCTACGGGATGAAGTTTGTGATTTAAAGGACAAAGTAAGTTGGTTTTGGGTTTTTGTTTCTTTGCTTTTCACTGAAAGTTACTTTGATCTTAGTCTCATGTAAGTTTAAGAGATAGGTTTTTGCTTCCTGTGCAATCTTAGGTAGATAATTTCATGTGTGCATTTTAGCCAGAAATATATATACAAAATTTGGTTATTAATAAACTTGAATGGGAAATAAAATGGTATCTCTATTTTCACTAATCTATAATTGAAATTTAGCATTTTCTGATACACAAATGAATACAACCAAACATCAGTACCAGCACCAAAAGTGGTGACTTTTTCTCATTGACTTTAACACAATATACCAAGGGTCCCAGGTCAATAAAAAGAGTTTTTTAAAAAACTCCCTGAAATCTCTCTGGACCTTTGTATAGGACAAATAGTAATTATAATTAACTCATTTATTATGCAAAGCAAAATAAAATCAACTATAAAATCAACACTTAAGAGTCGTGATGTCAGGAGCTATGCTAGGCGCTTTTTATATTTATCTTCGTGGGGATGAGGGGACGGACACAAAACCCTGATAAAAAAGTAAGCTGCCTTAGATTACACAACACCCACAGCTGAAATGTTAGTAACTTTTAAAGTTTTCAATCTATACATTCACCTTTTCAGTGTTTCATTCAAATATAGTGAAGATGAAAAGCAGAGGGTCATACGATAGTTCTTGATACACATATCCAGTTAGCCTCTGAAATATTTTTAGAAATGTACAGATATGGGGGCAGAAGCCCTAGTACAGCAGATAGGGCACTTGCCTTGTATGCAGCTAACCCAGGTTTGATCCCTGGACCACATGGTACCCTCAGCACCTCCGGGAGTAATTCCCATGTGCAGAGGCAGGAGTTGTCCCTAAGAACTGCCAGGTGCGTAGCCCTGTCTACCCGTTGTTCATCGATTTGCTTGAGCGGGCACCAGTAACGTCTCCATTGTGAGACTTGTTTCTGGTTTTGGCATATCGAATACGCCACGGGGAGCTTGCCAGGCTCTGTTGTGTTGGCGGGATACTCTAGGTAGCTTGCCAGGCTCTCTGAGAGGGAAGGAGGAAACGAACCCGGGTCTGCCACATGCAAAGCAAACGCCCTACCCGCTGTGCTATAGCTCCAGCCTACCAGGTGTTCTGCACCAAAAAAGAAATGTACAGATACATATAGCACAGCGGGTAGGGCATTTGCCTTGCACACGATGGAACTGGGTTCGATTCCTCCGCCCCTCTCAGAGAGCCTGGCAAGCTACCGAGAGTATCTCTCCCACACTGCGAAGGCTGGCAAGCTACCCATGACGTATTCGATATGCCAAAAACAGTAACAATAAGTCTCAAAATTTGTTGTGAGATGTTACTGGTGCCCACTCAAGCAAATGGATGAACAACGGAGGACAGTGCTACAGTGCTACAGATACATATCTAAAAAAGTGCCCAGTTTGCCCTATTTTTGTTTAAGAATATTTATTAGGTTGGACACTGATTGAAATGGAGATCTCTATTGTAATAAAGTTTACAGGGTTGAGTTTATAGGAGCAATGCAAGGGACTAAGTGGATTATGATTGGGTAGAAAGAATTTAATCATATTATTGTAAAATTCAAGGCATTCTATGGGAATATCTAGACCTAGAATGATGCCAGAGATTTATCCTGAATGAGAACAAAATTAAATCTTATTAAATCTGAATGATAATAAAAAGGCTGGGCCCTTATATTACCTTTATTTTCCCTGCACGAGCATGCTTAAGAGATTGCTTATTCTATAACCCCTCAAGTGACTTGACTTATATTCCTAGTGGCAGAGATCATTCTTTGAAGATATCTGTTCAGGAAATTGCTGATACAATTGGCAAAACTTGACTTTGACCCCATCAAATAAATAATCCATAAGATTATTTCTCTAAGTATTTTCCCACATCCTCCAAAATTGACTTATAAACATGAACCAGAATTAATGAGTGGAAAATCATAAGACTTACCTAAGAAAAAATTATTATATGTCATCATACAGACATCACTTCTACGGATTATTTCTTCCCAATTTTTATTGACTCTGCATGATTCAAAATACTGTTAGTGTGTTCTAACACCACACCCATCACCAGAGTATTAGCTTCCATCCGTGACTGATCCATCCCATCTCTCCACCTCCCTTGGTAGTCAGTTCTGTCGGTCCATTTTCAGGCCTTTGGCCATTTGTTATTGACTTACTAAATTTCTCTGTATATTAATTATGAGAGAAATTATTATGCATTTGTTCCCCCTTTCTGACTGACTGTACTCAGCATTATGCCATTTTCATTTTATAGTGGCAAATTGATTGATTTTAGCTTTTCTTATAGCTGGGTCATATTCATTCTACTGTGTGTGTATCAAGCCCTATCCTCTTTTTATTTATTTATTTATTTATTTATTGAATCACTGTGGGAAAGGTTACAAAGCTTTCAGGTTTAGGTCTCAGTCATGCAAATATCAAACACATTTCCCTTTACCAATACTTGTTTTTTACCATGAAGAACCCCAATAAAACTCCACCCCCCACCCCTCCCAGTCCCTGTGAGGCAGATGAATTCTAGTTAACACTCTATCTGCTTTGATTAGATTCATTGTTTCAATAAAAGATTCACCACTATTATTTAGAGTTTACCCCCCCCCCCCACTAATCAGACATGCTGAAAAAGTATTGTGAAGTGATTTGCTTTCTACAGCTGGGTTCAAGAATTAAATGTTGGTTTTGGATTTCTGCTATTTTACTTATTGACCCTGGAAGTATTTCTACTGAAAGTCAGATAGTTCAGAAATTGGTTTCTGTGCTCTGGAGTCGTGGCCGTGCTGGAGAGCCGCTCGTGGGGGGCAACTGGTGGCCTCGGTAGGGCGTGAAGGGCGGACCGAAACGCCCCACTTCCCATCAGGTTTTAGTCGCCCCCACACCCCCAGCTCATACCTGCTGTCCACAGGGCTCCCATGCGGCCGCCATCTTTCTTTCCAGAGAAGAGAGGGCGAATGGGGCAACACCCTTTCCCCTCTGGGCAGACATGATGGCCTGGATTAACGCATAGTCCATTCACTTTTCTGCTCCAAGCTGCTGGGTTCTGCATTAAGTCCTTGTGCTTCTGGGGCTGTGGCCGTGCTGGAGAGCCGCTCGTGGGGGGCAACTGGTGACCTCGGCAGGGCGTGAAGGACAGACCGGAACGCCCCCCTTCCCATGAGGTTTTAGTCACCCCCACACCCCCAGCTCATACCTGCTGTCCACAGGGCTCCCATGCGGCCGCCATCTTTCTTTCCAGAGAAGAGAGGGCGAATGGGGCAACACCCTTTCCCCTCTGAAGCCCTATCCTCTTACCACAGATACAATGTCAGTTCTTACACAGCATCTTATTGGAGGATTATTATCAGTGTTTGCTGACTAACTGCACTATACACAACAAATACAATGTTGCATGCAATTCCATAGGTTAGATTTTCTAAATCTAGCGATAGCACAGTGGCTGGAGTGATAGCACAGTGGTAGGGCATTTGCCTTACAAGCGGCCAACATGGCCGACCCGAGTTTGATTCCTCCGCCCCTCTTGGAGAGCCCGGCAAGCTACCGAGAGTATCTCACCCGCACAACAGAGCCTGGCAAGCTACCCGTGACGTATTCGATATGCCAAACACAGTAACAATGAGTCTCATGATGGAGACGTTACTGGGCCTGCTCGAGCAAAGTGATGAACAACGGGAGGACCGTGACCGTGACCGTGTGTATGCACATATATGTGTGTACATATGTATAGATATGGTGGTAATAGTAATTAAGTTAATCATCATAAACACAAGTAACTATAAAGACCAAATTTTCATATGATGCACCCCACTTAACGTTTGTTAAAATTTAGTTTGCATACTGAAATGTTCTCAATAAGCTATGTTTAAGTTCTAAATACTATGATTTATTAGAGTATCTTCCTATTAATTTTTTAGGTAAGAACACCCACTCTGTTACAAGCCAGTACTCCAGTGTCAACTGCAATGGAAATTATCCAGACCCTCTTGCAGGAAACTTCCACTCTAGCTATAAGAACTAAAATATATTCAAGCTACCAGGATCGATTGAGCGATGCCCAGTATCAAATCTGTCCCTTTAATATGGTAGAGGTTACACAAACGGTGCGTTCAAAGATCTCTGACATTGAATATGACTTATCCCTACGGAAGCTATTATGGGAGTCACAAGAGAAATGGAAAGTCCTCTTTGGGGAATGGAGGAACAGCATTCTTCACAGTATCGATGTAGACACCATACAGAAAAATGTTTCAAAATGGATGCACATCATCTTTGTGCTAGAAAAAGGTAAAAGTGTCTCAAGGTTTCTACCCTAACTCAAATGCAAAATGGCTTCTGGGCTGAGAAGATTGCCGTTCTTGGCCTTGTTTCTTTACCCTGCCTTAGGGGTTAACCATAATGCCCGTAGAAACTAAGGATGGAAGGTCAGAATTATTTTTAGATACAGGAAAAGATTAGAATTTTTTAAAAAGTGAGTTAGTTTTTAAGTATAGCAATTCTTTCTCTTTTTTTTTTGGTTTTGGTACCATACTGGCTTTGTGCTCACAAATCACTCTGGTAGTGCTTGGGGAACTCTCTAGGGCACTAGGGATTGAACCCAGGTTCTGCATGCAAGGCAAGCACCCTGCCTGCTGTACTATCTCAAGTTTCAAATATAATAACTTTTACATCCTTTAAAAGTTAGTTCCCATGGTTGAACACTGGACACTTCATCATGATTCTGGATTTTTGTATAATCATAGATAATTTTATAGAAAGGGCCCATCTCTATATTCTTCACCCAAACCTTCACTAGATTTGGGGTAGAGCCAGAAGGCATGCACACAACCAGTGTTTAGGGAATCCTAGGGCCACCCTCCATAATAGTTTACCCACCTCTGTGGGCCTGACAGTCCAGTGGTACAAACCAAATTGGGGCCCAAAAATGTTGGGATCACCAGAGCCACTCCAGAGATGCTTGTAGGTGAAAGAAGCAAATAGTGCCGGGGCCCAAATTTCAAATGTGGGACCTAGCAATTGCCAGGCATGTGCTCCAGCCAGAAGTAAAGTTCTTTTTGTTATTATTTAATTTCCTCTTTAATCCTTTATCCTTCAGCTATACAACTGTGTAGCTATAATTTCTTCACCAAGCACACACACACACACACACACACACACACACACACACACTACTCACTTGATTCGGCTTGTTTTATCATCTTCTTTGTTGATGTTGGGAACATACACGGAAGTGCTCAGGGACCATAAGACCACACCTGCTTATGCTGAGGGTGGATGTGTGTGTTTGAGGGTGTGTGTGTGGGGGGGGGGACACACATGGTGCCAGAGGACTCAGGGTCTTCACAGGTAAATTATGTTCTCAAGCACCTGTGCCCCCAGCTCACTATCTGTATTTAAGTTATACAACAGGGGCCAGAGAGATGTAGGTTGCTAAGGAACTCACTTTGCATGCTGCTGACTCTGGTTCAATTCCCAGACCCACATATAGTCTCACAAACACTGTCAGGAGTGATCCCTGAGTATGGAGCTAAGGGAAAGCCCTGAGCAAAGCTTGATGTGACCCAAAACCAAGCCAACACCAAACAAAAATAATTGAATAAAGATATAAACAATGCAAAAAGTGTAACAAAAAGTTTACAAAAGGAAGCAGTTGGAAAAAATTGCAATAGTCTCAGTATTTCAACATAAACTTATCATTCTGTCTTATCTTTCAAAATTTGATTGTATTTTATATGTCTCAGAAAACAATGCATAAAGTAATAACTTGACATCTTTTATTTGTTATCCAATTTCCAAGTTTTCCAGTTTCCAAGATAGAATCTTATTCTGTGCCAAAGCACAGACTTGTAAAATTCAATAATTTTGTCCTATTTAATCAGGTATTGAAGTATACAATATTGTTTTTCGGTATGCTCTAAAAAAGATCTCCCATCTGTACAAATAGGATATTCAAAAATATGGATGTACTTTCCATTTCTCCTCAGTCCCCAATTTTAGCGATTTTTCTCTCACCACATCTACTTTGTTAAGTGAAAATGTGCTGAGTGTTGAATGAATCTTCAGTTGCTTCCATATTATGACTATAACTCAGTTGCTGATTAATGCCAGAGGACAAATATATGGCAAAGTTTTAATCTATACTTACTACACTGTAGTGTTGAAATATTTTGATATTATATTTACAAATAACCCATTTATATCTTTCTTCCTTCCTGGGAAGAATTCAAAAACCCCAAATCTCTAAGAAATGTACATAAGAGTCCGAAGAGGTGTGTATTTATCTGCCTGTATGTCTTATCTCAGCACTAAAAATCTTCAATACTGGACTATCTGCTTATGCCTAGAATCAAATTTTCTGAAATAACTTGTTTTTTCATTAAAACCAATAACTTGGTTTTAATCACCAATCTGAATAACCATTTCTCTTTAATTTATAATTCTTCTGGGGAATTAATGTTACAATTATTTTCATTTAGGCTATTAACTGATGAACTATTATTACATTAAGTAATAAATGTGCTTTTGACTTATAAAAATTTTGACAAATATGTCCTGTGAGCTCTGTTATGAGACAGGCCATTGTCTTTTTACAGGTTTACCTAAGAACAACATGGTAATCCAACTGAAGCAGTCCGTGGCAGATTTTAAACAAGAGCTCCCTGTTATCATAGCTCTGAAAAACCCCTATCTCAAGCCAAGGCATTGGGAGCGACTTCAAATGATTACTGGGAAGTCCGTTACATTTGATAAAAACTGCACAATAGAGAATCTTGAAAAACTTAAGGTAAATAAACGTAATTTCAAAAAATTGAGGGCCAGAGACATAATATAGCAGGTAAAGTGCCTGCTATACACACAGCTGACTCAGGATCTATCCTCGTCACCCAATATCACAATCCTCAAACCTTCCCAGAGGTGATGCATGAGCACAGATAGAGGAATAAACCCTGACCACTTCCAGTTGTAGGTGTAACCCAAAGACAAAACAAAAAAAGTTAATAAATTGAAGACTGAAATACCAGAGGGGCTAATTTTAAAGAAGCAAGTAAATCTATAAGGAATACGACTAGATAAGGGAGTTTATAGAATATTTGAAGCAGTTGTAGCAAGAGATTATATTTATTAGTAGATGATAGATGAATAGAAGCTGTATTGGAGACATTGGTTAAATACTGGGTAATGTTTCATTGTGTCTGCATTATCTAGGTGACTGACAAATAGTAATGCTTTTTTCTTGCATAATATATGAAATTAATATTCTATCCTTTATCATGTACCACTTTTAGAAAATGCAATTATAGAAATACAAAAAACAAACCACAAAGTGAAAAGTAAGTCAGTTTTTAAGTAAAAAGATCAAAAATACTACATTTTAGATCATTTTTCTTATTGAGATAACACTGGTTTGAAAGAAACATATGTTTTATTTTTTTTCAATTTTTGTTAGTGAAACACCATGAGGTACAGTTGTAGACTTACAAATTTTTGTGCTTGGGTTTCAGTTATACAATGATCAAGCACCCATCCCTCCACCAGTGCCCATTTTCCACCACCACGGGTCCCAGTATCCCTCCCACCCCTCATCCCCCCCATCCCACTCTGCCTCTGTGACAGGGCATTCCCTTTTGTTCTCTCTCTCCTTTGGGGGGTTGTGGTTTGCAAAAGAGGCATTGAGTGGCAATCATGTTTGGTCTATGTTTTAGAGCACAGTTTCACACTTCTTTAAAAATGTATGTTACCACACTTACACCAAAGTACCAATTTGTCTCCCCATTTATCCATCCAACTTTTTTTTAATCACTGTGAGATACAGTTACAAAGCTGTCATGTTTGAATTTCAATCATACAATGATCAAACACCCATCCTTCCACCAGTGTACATTCTCCACTGCTAATGTCCCCAGTATACCCCGCTCCCTTCCAACCCTTCCCCTGTCTCCATGGCAGACAATTTCCCCTATACTCTCTCTCTACTTTGGGGCATTATGGTTTGCGATACAGATACTGAGAAGTTATCACGTTTGGTCCTTTATCTATTTTCAGCACAAAGATCCATCATATCAAACAATTTCTCCAACCATCATTGTCTTGGTGATCCTTTTTCTATCCAGCAGCCTTCTCCCACAGCTCATGAGACAGGCTGCCAACCATGGAGCAATATTCCTGGCCCTTGTCTCTACTGTCCTTGGGTGTCAGTCTCATACTGTTATTTTATACTCCACAAATGAGTGTAGTCATTCTATGTGTTCCTCTCTTCTGACTCATTTCACTTAGCATGATACTCTCCATGTCCATCCACTTAAGCAAATTTCATGACTTCATCTTTCATTGGACTTTTTCCTCACATTTGATTTCTCACTTCCTCAGACAGAGTCTAGGAAGATTTTTTTTTGTTGTTGCTGTTAATTTTTGTTGTTGATTCATCTTGTCTGTTGTTCCTTTGTATTGTTTCCTTTTGTTGTTGTTATTTTATTGAATCACAGTGAGATACACAGTTACAAGGTTGTTTATGACTGGGTTTCAGTTATATAGTGTTCAACACTTGTTCCTTCACCACTGTGCATTTTCCACCACCAATGTCCCCAGTTTCCCTCTGGCCTGCCACCCCTCCCCCTGCAGTCTGCCTCTGTGGCAGGCACTTTTCTCCTCTCTCTCTCTCTCTCTCTCTCTCTCTCTCTCTCTCTCTGCCTTTCTCTTGCTTTCTCTCATTTTTTCCTGTTATCTTCCCATTTTAAGGGGGTGATTTGTTTCCAATTATTGAGTTTTGTGAGTATTTATACATACCTTGCAAATTAGCCTCATTTCTTTTTTACAAATTAGCTCTTTAGATGAATAGTATTTGAATATTTTTTTCTGATTTAGTAGAATATTTTTTCACTTGAATGACCATTTCTTTTGCCCTATGAAAGCTTTTTTTAATTTGACATAACCCCATTATTTAGTTTTACTTTTTTTCACCCATTGTCTTGAAATTGAATTCCAAAAGATAGCAAGAATTTTGCCCATTTGAGAAGGAATCACAATGACAATGAGAGTTGGAAACAATCACTCTGGACAAAAACTGAGCGCTGAAAGTTGCTAAAGTGGTATACATGATAAACTTTCAGTACCTGTACTGCAAACCATAATGCCCCAAAGGAAAGAGAGAGAGAGACAGAGACAGAGAGACAGAGACAGAGACAGAGACAGAAACAGAGAGAAAAAGAAGAAAAGTTCCTGCTATAAAGTCAAACTGGGGGTGGGGGATAGAAAGAGGGAAACTGGGGACAGGGCTGGTGAGAAATGTACAGTGGTGAAGGGAAGGGTTTCAGAACATTGTATGAATGAAACCTAATCAGGAACAACTTTGTAACTATGTATATGTAACTCATGGTGGTTTAATGGAAAGGAGAGGAGAGGAGAGGGGAGGGAAGGGGAGGGGAGGGGAGGGAAGGGGAGGGGAGGAGAAAGAGAGGAGAAAGAGGAGAAAGAGAGGAGGGAGAAAGAGAGGAGAAAGAGAGGAGGGAAAAAGAGAGGAGGGAGAAAGAGAGGAGAAAAGAGGAGGGAGAAAGAGAGGAGGGAGGGAGGGAGGGAGGAGAAAGAGAGAAAGGGAGGGAGGGAGGGAAACAAATTTTTAAAAAGAAAAAAGCAAAATAAACATGTAATAATATTAATGTAAAAGAGTTTTACCCAAAATATATTAAAAGCATCTCTGAAGAATCATATTAATACTTGATAGTTAGTAATTCTTTGATTTACCATATAGTATTTTTTTATTTTAAAAAAGTATTTTCATAATTTTCCATGCTTTATTTTGTTGATTAGATACAATGAACTTCATTAAATCTTCATTTTTCATGGTTGACAACATCTAATGTAATCACTGTCACTGTCACTGTCCTCCAATTCATCGAGTTTCTCGAATGGGCCCAGTAACGTCTCCATTTTTTGAGACTTTGTTGTTACTGTGTTTGGCATATCGAATACACCACGGGGAGCTTGTCAGGCTTTGCCGTGTGGGTGAGATACTCTCGGTAGCTTGCCAGGCTCTCCAAGAGGGGCAGAGGAATCGAACTCGGGTTGGCCATGTTGGCTGCATGCAAGGCAAACACCCTACCCACTGTGCTATCACTCCAGCCCTAATGTAATCAATAATAGTACTTTTTATGTATGATTTTCTAAACATAAAACAATTTAGTCAAGCCTATTTTCACAAAAGATAGGTAACAATCTTTTAAAAATGAACATAAGAATTTTAAGCTACAGAATTTATTTCTATGTTAGGTTATTTTAGAGGACCAGGGAAATAGCTCAAGGATCAAAATCACATATCTTGCATGTGTAAGGATATAAGTTGATCCTCAGTCCTGAATGGCCTCCTGAGCACAACCACATGGGGCCCTGGCAGCCCTTGGCACTGACGGACTGAACAGTGCCATATCACCAGACCCTAACACTGAACCATCAAGGTTAGTTGTCCAAGTTTCACTGGAATGGCCCCAAGATCCCTTGAGCACTGCTTAGGGAGACCCTTTTCCAACAAAAAAGAAAAAAAAGTAAGTTATTTTACATCTCCAGTTCTAACTTCAATTTCCCTCATGTCTAAGAACATGTAAAAATTAATGTCCTAAAATGTACCTATTCCTTATCTCCCAAATTCTACTCTTTACTCAATATATCTAAGTTTAATAATGCTCCATTTATATCAGTTGCAGAGGTTAACATTTATTAATTTATTATTCTCTTTTGCTTCTCACTCCTCAACTCATTGTTTTATCCGTTATTCCCTTGATTATGACCAAACACGCCTAATTTGCCTGTATAGAAAGACTGAATTCAGCACAATATCTGAATAATTTCAGGGGGAAAAATTGTCAGTGACAAAAACTTGGTTTCTTCAAACCAGCACTTCAAAATTCTGGCATAATTTTAATTATGTTTTTCCGAAGGTGAGTTATCAAAATAATTTTTAGCCAATGTAAAGAGTAAAATTTGGCAAAGCGTAGCACAAGCTATAAAAACTAAGGTAAGAATACCTAGGCGGGATCTGCTGGTGAGTATCAAGAAAAATTTCAGCCAAGTGCATACAGCCTTATTGAGTCTTGTGGTCAAAATTTGAGACCTGACTGAAATATAATTGTAATATAATATAATATAATATAATATCTCACAATATTTCAAAGGACTCTAGTGAGCTAGCCTTATGCTTGTAACAGGAATAGTTGTTAAGTCTCACACAGTTTTGTAAGATAAATACTTCTAAAAAATATACAATGTCTTTAACCTCAAAAATACTCCCTACCCTTTTGAAGTTTGAAGAGGCTAAGCAGACAATCTGATACTCTTAAATAAGCTTAGTCTATGAGTTTCTAAAAGATTTTGGTTATATTGCACAAACTCCCTAATTTATCTAGTAAACCGCAAATGCCTAGGCAGACAGGATTCAGGCCAGAAACTCAATCTTCATTTACTGAAGGTTGACCCAGAGATGGCAGCATGCTCCAGGATGTCTTGGACAAACCATGATAGAGCTTCATCGCAGTCCTACCAAATTACTGAAACACAATATATATGACTCATATAGGGCAACCATTATGTCCAAGAGATTATGCAGGCTCCAAAAAGCCTGTAATATAAAAAGCATGTCACAAAGTAAGGCAAGAGGAAGAGGTTAATGGTGCACCTAGAGTAACACAATCACTTGATGAATGCTTAATCCCTTTCGTTTTAGAAAGGCACATGTGTTATTCAAGCAGATCCATGATTATAGGCACTAAGATTAATCTGGATCCTTCCAGATATTACCAAGACCATTGGAATATAATTATACAATTATATTTCAGTCAGGTCTCAAATTTTGACCACAAGACTCAATAAGGTTGTATGCACTTGGCTGAAATTTTTCTTGATACATTATTAGGTTCTGAGTTTAGTTTCTGGTCACTTCAGTACATCAGAATTAGGCACAAAGTTCTTTTTTTGCATGGAAAGTTGACAGTCCTGTGGTTCCTTATTTTCCTTTGACTGTTTTGTCAAGAGAGAGGTCACCTTTTCAAAATTTCAGCTTAATGCCATATTGACATCAACTGATTACAACATTGACATACCCTTCTTTGGCAGACTCATAGAAAAGATGATTTAAAAAACCCTGTCATATCTTTTTCATAGTTCTCACTGAGCTACATACAAAAACATAGGACTTATGCATCACTGTTTAACTCCACTGGAGGCAAAATACAAGAACACTGGTTAAATTCTTTCAGGATCAAAAACCAATTGGCCTGCTTAGTAATTCTAAGATATGGGGATGATTTACCTTTTACTAATCGATTGAATGTGTAGAGCTTTTAGTTGTTTGTTCGGAGGCCACACCAGAGGTTACTCCTAGCTCTGGACTCAAGAATAACTCCTGATAGTGCTCAGGGTATCATGGGGGATAACGGGGATCAAACCAGAGTCAGCTGAAAGCAAGGTAAGTGCCTTATCTACACTATACTATCTCTCTGGCTCCTAATGTGGGAAGATATTGTCCTGTGAGAATTGAAAGTCAGCGCACATGGAAATATCTAACCATAGTTTCTGTTACAGATTTTAGAGAAACTTACTCTAAAAGCAGTGTGGCAATAATAATAATAATAATAATAATAATAATATAATAATAATAATAATGAAAACCAAATTATTTTTTACTGGAATCAGGAAATAAAGTGTGTAGCTAGAAATTGTCTCTGAGCACAGATATAAACAGACTGATTGAAAAACTAAAAAGGACTACAACATGAAACTGAGGCTCTACAGGCTTTTGGTAGGGTTGGGGGATGGGTAGGTATTGCGCTATGCCTGGCGGTTCTCAAGGAGGCATTTCTGGTGGTACCTTGGCCACATGCAAGGCAAGTGCTTTTACCTTTTTTCCATTTCTAAATCCCCAATCCTTGAAGTCTTGGGTTTGACTATAAAGTGATTAAAACAAGTTCTTCAAAATTTCTGGCATCTAGTAAACATCCTCATTTAAAGCTTCCATTTTAATGTATCAATAATAATTTACCCCATTGTATATTCGTTCCGATCATTCTGAATATACGAATGAACGATCGGTTTGAGGCCCTTCATGTTCCCGGAGCGAACAGATGCCATTGGGCTACACTAGCACGCGACAGGGACAAATGGAGACGTTACTGGCGCCCGCTTGAGCAAATCGACGACTAACGGGAAGTTAAGTGATAAGAGATAAGTGATTGTATATTAAAAGATTTTTTTTAATTTTAGTTGTTTCATCATAAAAATGAAATAAATGAAATCTCAGCCTCTGCAACTAATGAAGCTTCTCTGGAAAATTTGCTATTGAAAGTTATTGATCTTTGGAACAAAACTCCTTTAGGTTTGGTTCCTCATTCCACAGAAAACTATTCTATAATGATACTTCCATCTATAGAACACCTAATGACTCAGTTAGAAGAATCTCAAAATTTACTTTTAACAGCTAAAGGATCTTCCTATCTTGGGCCCATTAAGGTAAATGCTATGGCTAAGGAAAATGTCTACATTGTGCATGTTGTTTAGCATTTTAAGTTTTGTATCTGCAAGCTGTGAAAATAAAACAATCATTCATATGCTTAAATTAGAAATGACATTGATTAGTAGTTTGAGTATGAAAGAGTTTTTAATAGAACTAGTATTAATTGCTTATGAAAAATTAGCTGCGAGGGGTTGGAATGATAGCACAGCGGGTAGGGCACTTGCCTTGCATGCGGCCAAACCAGATTCAATTCCCAGCATCCCATATGGTTCCCCAAGCACCGCCAGGAGCAATTCCTGAGTGCAGAGCAAGGAGTAACCCCTGTGCATTGCCAGGTGTGACCCCAAAAAAAGAAAAAGAAAAATTAGCAGCAATTGGACAGACAAGATTAAATTTAACTTCACTGGCTGAAGTTTCTAGATTTTGTTTTGGGAAAGGGGAGGAATTAACCAGAATCAAACAGAATTCCTGATAGCAGGGTGACGGTGCTGAAAGAAAGTCAAAGGAAGGTAGAATTTGCAGGATGAAGTGTTAGGGGAAAAAGACCTACCAAGAACCAGAATTTCAGAGGTTTGTGGAAGGCCCAAACACTGCTCAAGTATGTAACAGTTTCAATCATTGGTATGTGAATGATAGGAAACTGCTTGAGACCAGGAGAAAAATCAGTTGAGAGCATTAGAGGGAGACTGAGAATAGAGTCCATTTCCTCTACATGCAATAGAAACTCCTATGATTTTGGAGCGCTAGAAAAAGCACTTTGAAAGGCTTTGATGCAGGGGGTCAGACCGAAAGGGCTGGAGCACTTGTCTTGCATGCACTAGATCCCAAGTTTGAACCCCAGCACCACATAGCCACCTTAGTACTATCAGGTATAGCACTTGTGGCCCACAGGCGCTACTGTGATTCTCATGGCCTTTGGGCATGACTGGGAGTGACCCCAAAATATCTTGAGCATTACTTGGGAGTTCTGAGATAAAAAGGAAACAGAAAAATAAGTCTTGAGGTCTTGCTGTAGTTATGTGGAAAAATCAATCATAGATTAAATTTAATTCCTTAATAAATCTTTAAAAAAATAATGGAACTGCTTCAAAGAAATTTATCATCTAGAAGTAAGCTCAAGAATATAGAAGTATATGTTTGTTCATTGCAGCACTCTTTACAATAACCAGAATCTGGAAAAAACTTGAGTGCCCGAGAACAGATGACTGGTTAAAGAAACTTTGGCACATTTACAAAATGGAGAACTATATAGCTGTTAGAAAAGATGAAGTCATGAAATTTACATGCAAGTGGTACTACATGGAAAATATCATGTTAAGCGAAATGAGTCAGAAAGAGCGGGATAGACATTGAAAGATTGCATTCATCTGGGGAACATAAAGTAACAAAATAGGAGACTAACACCCAAGAATAGCTGATATTAGTGCTAGGAGGTTTGCTCCATGGCTTGGAGGCCAGCCACACATGCTAGGGGAAAGGGAGCTCAGATAGAGAAGGGAGCACCAAATAAAGGGTGTGGGAGGATCCTCCCAGGATGGGAGAAGCATGCTGAAAGTAGACTATAGACCAAACATGATTGCCACTCATTGCCTCTTTTGCAAATCACAACACCCAAAAGGAGAAAGAGAACAAAAGGAATGCTCTGACACAGAGGCAAGGTGGGATGGGGGGATGGGGGTTGGGAGGGATACTGGGACCCGTGGTGGTGGAAAATGGGCACTGGTGGAGGGATGGGTACTTGATCATTGTATAACTGAAACCCAAGCACAAAAATTTGTAAGTCTACAACTGTACCTCATGGTGTTTCACTAATAAAAAATTTTTAAAAAGAATATAGAAGTATAAAAATATTCAATAGTCAGCAAAGTAAGATGTCTGGAATATAATCAAAGATTATCAGACATTCAAAAAAGCAAGAAAATAGAACTTGAAATAGAAGTCATAATTAGCCAATGGAAACCAATACAGATAAAGAAATAAAAATTAATCCTATGGCAGAGGGAAGATGACACTGGTGGTGAGATTAATGTTGAAATATTATATGCTTGGGACTGGAGCAATAGCACAGCTGGGAGGGCATTTGCCTTGCACGCAACCAAGCTGGGTTTGATCCCTGAATCCCATATGGTCCCTGTGATTCCTGACCACAGAGCCAGGAGTGACTCCTGAGCATTGCTGGGTGTGGCCCAAAAACTAAAAATATAAATAAATAAGTATTCTAGGCTTAAAATTCAACTATCAATAATCTTGTAAATTACACTTCTTTAATAAAAAATAAGTGAAAAAAGAAATTAAAAGTTATAACAATATGCCATATATTTAAGATTTAAGTGGACATGTGGAAGACATTTTAAAAAGATTAAAATTAAGCTTCTACACATCAAAACTAAAATTTCTAAAATGAAATGTATACCAAATGGGATTAACTGACGATTAGAAATTGTAGGAGAAAAGAGAAATAGATTTTAAACATAACTTTAGAAACTATCACAGACTACTAACGTTTACTCAAGAAGCAATAGATAACAGGAATAGCTCTATAAGAATTGAAGATATTTGAATGATAATTTAAAACCTGCCCCAAAGGAACAGTTCAGGCTTACATGACTTATACAAATATTCAAGGGAGAAATTGCAATTCTGCACAGCCATTTTCAAAAAACTGTAGAGAAAGTACTCTTTTAATTTATTCTATAATGTCAGATTTACCCTGATTCTAAAATCAAAGACATTGTGAGAAAATGAGAGATCATTAGCCTTCTTGAACATAGATGCGAAAATTCCAAACTATTTCAAGTACCACCACCACACATAAAGAGGATGATGTTTTATAACCAAGAGGGATTGATGTAAGCCATAAGTTTTAGCATGCAAAAATCACTTAATGTAATTCACAGTATTAAAAAAAAGGACTAAAATTTGTCTTCTCACTACACACTGAAAAATAATTTCATGAACAATTTTTGTTGTTGTTTTGGGGTTACACTCAGCTGAGTTCAGGGCTTACTCCTGACTCCTCTCAGGGACCATTTCTGGTGGTACTCAGGGAACTATATTTGGTGCCAGGGACTATGCCTGGATCCGCCATCATGGTCACGGTCACAGTCCTCCCATAATTCATTGATTTACTCGAGCGGGCCCAGTAACATCTCCATCGTGAGAATTGTTGTTACTGTGTTTGCCATATCGAATACTTCACAGGGAGCTTGCCAGGCTTTGCCGTGCACGTGAGATACTCTCAGTAGTTTCCCGGGCTCTCCGAGAGGGGCGGAGGAATTGAACTTGGGTGGGCCATATTGGCCACTTGCAAAGCAAAAGCCTTACCCGCTGCGCTATCACTCCAGCCGAGAGTCCGCCATATGAACCACATTACCAGTGCAACGTTGCTGAATTTTTAAAAAGTAAACAAGTAAGTGCCAGTGGTTGCATAGGGATGGGAGTAGGTAGATATAAGAGGAAGAGATTACAACAGGGTACAAGATACCCTTTCAGTGGACACTCATGAAAGGATTAGTGTTGGAATATTGTATGCCTGAAAGTCAATCGTGAATAACCTTGTAAATCATAGCACCTCGATAAAATAAATTTTAATTTTGAATTTAATTTAAATTTGATTAAATAAATTTGATTTTTTTCAAAGTAAAAACTGTCCAAAGAGATAGCTCAATGGGTTGAGCACATGCTTAGCATGCAGGCCAGGGTTTGACCTTGGCACCTGAGCACATCCTGGGAAGTAGTTCCTGAGCACAGCTTGCTGTGTCTCTAAAGCAAAACAAAATTGGATATACAGAGGCCAGGGATATATAAAACAGACTAGAAAGCATTCTTTTTATGCAGGAGCCTGGATTCAGTCACTGACACTATAGGGTCCCCCAAGCACAGGAGTGATCCCTGAGCACTGAGCTGAGTATGACACACATGCTCTTCCCAGAAATACTATATAATTTACCGATAATGCTTATCAGCCTTTATCCAACAGCACAGAAATATGACTTTCAAAAAATATTCATGCACCGATAGCAGCATTATTTACATTAGTAAAAATATGGAATCAACATTAATACCCACTGATAGATGACAGAACAAAGAAGTTCTGGAATATGGACTGATTGAATAATAAAGAAATAAAAGAAAAATAAAGAAAACCTTTACATACTAAGTCTCTTTCTCCCAAAAGGCCTCTCTCTGAAGTTATTAGTTTTAAAAAGCAAGACCAAGATACAGAACAATGTGCAGCTGTATTTATGTAGCACTGTAGCACTGTCCTCCCATTGTTCATCAAATTGCTCAAGTGGGCACCAATAATGTCTCCATTGTGAGACTGGTTGTTACTGTTTGGGGTATATCCAATACGCCACGGAGAGCTTACCAGGCTCTGCCCTGCGGGTGGGATACTCTCGGTAGCTTGCCAGACTCTCCAAGAGGGACAAAGAATCAAACCCAGGTCAACTGCATGCAAGGCAAATGCCCTACCTGATGTGTTATGGCTCCAGTCCTGTATTTATGTAAACTATTAAAATACTAACATATCTATGTGCAAAAATATTCAAGGAAAATGCTAATAGAAAATATACGTAGCTCCAAATCTTTGTGTATTATCTAATTAATAAAACCCGAAAAGTGGATGAACAAGACATCTCAAACTTTCCCAAAATAGAGTTATAGTCAGACTTAGATTTATATTTTGTGACCCTTGTTAATTACTGGGCTGGAGCAATAGCACAGCAGATAGGGCGTTTGCCTTGCATGCAGCATACCGGGCTGACTCAAGTTCGATTCCTCCGCCCCTCTCAGAGAGCCTGGCAAGCTACAGAGAGTATCTCGCCCGTCGGCCAAGCCTGGCAAGCTCCCAGGGATGTATCTGATATGTCAAACACAGTAACAAGTTTCACAATGTTACTGGGCTCGCTTGAGCAAATCAATGAACAACAGGAGGACAGTGCAGTGCAGTGCAGTGCAGTTAATTACTGATGTCAATGACAATCAAAATCTTTTATCTTAATTTTTTGTTATGACTCAAATAGAGTAAAACTTCATATATTTAGATGCATATGCCTCTGTAATTTTTTTGTAGGATATTGTACACGAATGGATTGAAAACTTGACACTCTTCTCTCACACTATTGAGGAATGGATGAAATGTCAGGCCACTTTGCTTAATCTTGAACCAGTCTTTCATTCTTCAGAAATACAAAGGTAAAGAAAATTTAATACGTTATATACATATATATATGTTTTATATATATATGTATAAATCTTCATAGCAGGTAACATTTCCTATAATCCTTGAAAAGTAATTTCTTCAATGAATACTTTCTAATCCTACCTATAGGTATAGCGTATAATGCTGATCAGATTGTGTCAGTTTTTTCCATAAAAGATGGCAAACATCATGCTTTTTTCTAAAGTCTTATTAATAAATCAAAGGACAAATTTCAAAAAATTTGCATACTAAGGATTAGGAAAGGAATAGCAGGTACAATTGTTGCCTAGAGTAACATAGTATCCCAAAGTTACAATACTTTGCTTTTGTTTGGTCTGGTTTGAATATAAACAGTAAACATAACAACATTAAAACATTAAAATAATTTCTTTGGGACATAAAACAGAAGTTCTACACCCTTGTTGAAATTCTACCTTTTCTTTTTATTTATAGCTTCTAAATTGTTATTTTTTGTGTGATTGGTTCAAGGAATGATTAAGTTGAGATAATGTGTTATCAGTTCCAGCTTAAACCACTGACAAGCAATTCTGAAATAAGGCAGGCAAAATCATAAACCATATATTTGTAAAACAAATTAGAACAAGTCATAGAAGATCTTGATTATCAGATGAAACAATTTAAAATTATTTATTTTTAGTGACTCATTGGCAATTTATAAAAGAGAACCATGTAGATCTGAAGATTGCTTTGTAGAGAACAATATGTAGTTTTGTTGTTACACCTATCAATTTCTTGTCATGTGAATGTTTTAGTTTCTTCTATTAATCTCCAGTTATTACAGTTCTCAAAGGTAAAATCATATACTTAAGGAATGATAACTGCTTGGTGAAACTAAAGACTTTTTTGTAGTTGGTGGAGAGATAAACCTGCTAGACTAAGGAGTTCAGCATGTCATCAAATTATTATTCCTTTATAGAATTCCCTATCAGGCTGAAAGAATCTTTTTTAAAATTAAGGGATGCTATAGATTCCTGACCAATAAATAGTTCTAAAGGGGAAAAAAGGTATATTTAATGGATCTGTCTTTGACTAATGGTTAAAGATTATGGGCTCTGCACAACCAGCGGGCTAATGGGGAAGTGGGGGAAGGAAAGAGTACGCGTGAGGAGAGAATTCCTTAAAGGGAATTTAGGAGCATAGAAGATGCTGTGCCATCCACCCTGCACTCCAGACTATCTACAGGCTGTCACCAGAACCATTCTGAGGCCTTGTGAAGGTACATAATAGAGTAAATTGAAATCTCCTCCTGAGAAGATTTTCTCTGAGCTATGAACATTTTTTTATTTTTTTTACCTCCAAGAAAGGTAATGCATCATGATTGAAATGAAATTGAAATTGAAATCTAAGAATATTTCTCTGGCATTTATAACCTTTGATTTGAGAGCATTAGAAATTAGGTTTTGCCTCTTCTCTAGAGAATTTTTTAAGAGTCTCTAATAGCACAGCAAAGAAATGCAAAATATGTGTTTTCTTAGATTAGTGGTTTTGAAGTGAGAAGTGAGTTTGCTTTCTAAGGGACATTTGCAATGTCTGGAGATACTTTTTTTAGAAAAACTTTTTTAGGGTCAGAGATGTAGTATAGGAAGTAAGGCACTTGCCTTGCCTGTGGCCAACCCATATTCAATTCCCGGAATTGCACATTATCCCTAAACTCCACACAGTCATAAATTGCTCCTGAGAACTACTAGGTATGCTCTTAGCTTCACCACAAACAAAAGTTGCTTTATTTTCAGAAGGGTCACCTCCAGAAGTGTTAGAGGAGTTTAGGATCACTCCCAGAAATGTTCTGTTCACAGCATGGACCTAATAGGAACTCAGCCCAGCAGTGCTTAGGTGGTCAGGATTGAAACTCAAAGTTTAGTACATTCTTAGCATGTGCCCTTCCACTTGAACTTTCTCCCAGGTCCTGGTGACATTTTTGATTGTCACAATCTGAGAGTGGAAGATAGTAGATTCTTCTGGCAGTCAATGAGTAAAGGTTATTGAACACTCTACAATGCACAGGAAAACACCTCTACCCCCATCAAAGAGGTCAATTGTGTTCAAGCTAAGAAATACTGCTTCAGACAAAGGAGACATAGTATAAGGTTCCATCTAGAAACATCTCTATGGTTGCTGGTCAGAAAACGGATCCTAAGTATTAGTTAATATTAGTTGAAAACATGAGAAATGGTTGTAAGAGGTAAGGTGGAGAGATTTGGGGAATGAAGCAATATACTACTTCTCTTCTCGGGGATACTTTAAATACCTCAGCATAACCCCATGGATAACTGAGCTTGATAGAAGAGAATTACCAGAACACCAACTAAATTTTGTTTTTGTGTAAAGGTACACCCAGGAGCTCTCTGCTGCTCTGGAGTTGGAGGTCACTCCCAGTCATGCTCTTGAGGGACCATGATGTGCTAGGGATAAAACTTGCATTTCCTTGTGTACTGAAAGGAGATAAAAGACCAAACATGATGGCCTCTCAGTATCTGTATTGCAAACCATAATGCCTAAAAGTAGAGTGAGAGTAAGACGGAAATTGTCTGCCATTAAGGCAGGAGGAAGGGTGGGATGGGGTATGGATACTGAGGACATTGGTGATGAAAAATGTACATTAGCGGAGAGATGGATGTTCAATCATTGTATGGCTGAAACTCAAACATGAAAGCTTTGTAACTGTATCTCATGGTGATTCAATTTTAAAAATAACAAAATAAAATAAAATTATAATATAGATTTAAAAATAATAAACTTGCATCTCCTATATGCAAAGCTTGTGCTTCAAGCCATTGAGCTTTCTCTCTGAGATAGCTGGTTTTAAAAATGACACTCCTCAATTTATTCAATTTACTCTCTATCTCAACTTCTAAGAATGGGAAGCTTGAATCATGTTGGAGTTTGGTTGGGATGAGAATAGAAAGTATAGGGGTGAGCAAAGAGAGCTCAAGAATGTAAAACTTCTGAAAATATTTTACTCACCTAACTCCAATAGTAGTGGAAATAAAACTTAAATGACTATATCAGTGGGTCACCACTGTGGGCTTGATTTCACTTGTACAAGGGTTGAAAATGTTCAAAATTATGATGCCTAGGTTAGTCTATGAACCACATTTGAGGACTGGATCTTGGCCAAGGGTGCACAGTCAGAATTGTCCAGTGGCAAGTATGTGTAGAGCTCTGAGGTCTGTGGGGGCAACATCCATACAAGATTGATAGCACTTGAGGACATAGATACCCCAAGTTCCTAAGGCATTGAAGGCTAGGAACAGGAAGTCAGGTTTGTGATGCCTGGAGTACTTTTGTACAGAGTTCTATGGCCCTGAACAGTGGAGGTCAGAAATTACAGCTTTTGAGTGAAGATAGCTTTGCATCAAGTTTATACAACCTTAAGAGAGAGGTGGTGGTGCGGGGACAATGTGGGTTTCAAGATTGAGTGTCTTGAGCCTCTTGTGGACTAATATAGAGAGGGTCTGAGTGTCAAATAGGGGTTCATGCTTTTCAGTACCCGGTAATGTGCCAAATTAATTAATGTCTTATGATTAACCAGCAAAAATCACTAAAACAGTATGCAACTTTTAAATTAAACAGTGTTCTATTGGCAAATGCATATAAAGTGCAGCTTTTTAATTACATAAAAACATTAAATTATCCAAATTTTTTTCTAAAGGCAGCTCCCAGAAGAAAATAGACTCTACTCTGAGGTGATTTTCTCATGGAAAAAGATTACGTCAAAAATACAAAACAAGCTGAATGCTTTGCGAGTAATCATTTCTACTGGAGTCCTTAATCAACTGAAAATTTGCGGTGCAAATCTTGAATACATTGAAAAATGTCTTGAGGTACAACTCACTATCCTAAAGTAGAGAATCCTTTAATTTTATTCAAATGTAATGTGATCAATCACAAAAACTAATTTCAGCACTGATTTAATTCTTTGGGTTTTGTTTTTTGTTTGGGAGGCACCCCCAGTGGTGCTCAGGGATTACTCCTGGTCCTGTGCTCAGGGATCGTTCCTGGATAATATGGCATGTTGGGGGTGGAACCTGAGTCCAAAGCATGCAAAACAAATGCCCTATCTGTTGTGCTATCACTCTGGTCCACTGATTTTATTCTTTAGTTGTTGTTGCTTTTTTTTTTTCAAGTTTGTACCATCTATTGAATTTATGATCATAAGTGGAGAAGGTGTATAGCCCAATAAGAACATTCTTAAGAAAATCACCAATACATTTTTATGTGCCTGTATCTTTATCCTTATATTGGGAATAATAATAGTGCCTTCTCTGAGGGGCTTTGTGATAAATGAGGGAAACATTGAAAGATGAGAGCTGGGGCTAAAAAAAATAGTACAGCGGGTACCAAGCCAAGAGTAATCAGCACAGTTGGGTAAGGCCCAAAAACAAAATGAAAAAATAAAATAAGTTTCCACAAAGTACTTAATGAATATCTTTTTATTAGCATCATTATTATTATTCATTTAAGAAATCAGCAAAAGTTGATAGAGTACTTTGGGTTACTTTAGAAAATATTGATGTAAGGTATTAATATATGTAATTAGAACATTAAGTTGTCAATTCTATATAAAATCTTTACGTATTGGGCTTTGTTATTTTGATTAATGGAGGACATATTACTTCATTCTATAAACAATGGAATTTATTTTGAGAAATTTATTTCTATTTTATGAACTCATTTCAATGGTCATGGTGACCCATCCCAAACTGGTGCCTAGGGTGATGAAATCCTGATGATAGTCTATAGGTTCTCAGTCCATAATAACCTCTTGTGCATAAATCTGTGATCTGGAAAAGTCATAATGGGATACACACTTTGTGTCAGTCAATAATAGGCCTTTAGCTAGGTGCCGTTGAGCTAACCTTTTACTTAATTCTAAGTATCTTCAAACTATTGGTAAGCATAATTACCAATCAGTGAATTTATGTTCATTTTTGTATTTAAAATGCTTTATGCCAGGTATTGCTACTAGACACTGAGATTAACAAATAAAAATATATATAATTTCTACCATTATGTAATTCAAAATCTAACTGCCAGAAACAGACACCAAAAAAAGTTCAAATATTGCAACGAGAGCTATGTGATCTCATTGAAAGAAGAGAAATTAACCTAACATGGAGAAAGTGAAAAGGAAATTAGGTCTTGTTAACGTGTGAGTTATTTAGGTAAAAAGAGTTTTGGCGTTTTGGAAAACAGGCAAAGGAATGAGAAAACACCAAGATATAGAGCCTGCGTCACTATAGTGAATTCTGGAATCATAAGCAGATTGATACAGATGTAACATTGATTGCAAATGTTAAGTGGTAAAAGATAAGATTTTTCCAGGGAAGAAGAACAAATAACAAAGGTCTTTGAATATCACTGAAGAATTTTAAGCAGGAACATGAAACAATTTGATTTAGAAATATTTTCTTGAAAATAAGCATAAAGTATATATAGATTGGTGGCATTGTGGCTGGACAGCCAAAATACTGGACTTACCTAATGTAAGACTCAGATGAGGATAAAAGAAGTTGGATCCAGGAACTTAGGGTAGGTAAGTAGAGGATAGACGAAAAGAGGTCCTGACCAATATTTGACCAAGACTCATTGTAGCTCACTACAAAGAGAGAAACTGAAGGAAGTGATGGCTTATGTAGAAACAACTTTCATCTATAATGAAAAGCAACTGGGCTTATAGAGCAGAGGCATAGGAAATTGATCGGAGCCAAAGGGTAAGCAGGTAGGTATCAAATAGCTAACAAAAAGCATCATGAACATTCACATCTTAGAAGGAAGAAATATAGGACAAGTGAGGAGGATAGAACTCAAGAGATATCAGCATTAAAATATAAAAGATAAAGATGGATCTTGAAAACAAATGAGAAGATATGGCTGGGGTTTATGGGAGCATCAAAAAGCAATGTCAAGAATATCAAAATACAGCAATTTATTATTAATCAATACAATAGTGCATGTGCCGGTGTGTTCATGTGTCTCTGTGTGTGAGTGTGGAAGGGAGTAACTTTTTGCCTTTAGTTTCCAGTTGTTTCAATTTTGCTTTATTAAAAGAAATTCAATTGTAGCTTTCACTGTGTATAAAATTTATTTTGACTGACAACACAATTTATACTGTTGCTTTAATTTCTTGAATTTTTGTCTATAGTATAGACTTAAATAAAAAGGTGTTTAATGCCATGAATTGATGTGCCATTTTTATTTGTTTTTTGGTTATGAACAGAACTACCTTGAAATTAAAAGAATGATTTTTCCAAGATTTTACTTCCTTAGCAACACTGAACTTCTTGATATTCTAGCTAACAGCAAAAATCCTGAATCTGTAGAGGTAAGCTCATTCTTCTCTGACCAGCAATATTATTTTCCCATGAGAGTCAGAACTATATAACGTATTTAACATTTACTTATGGTTCACAGCCTTACCTTACGAAATGTTTTCAAAATATAAGACAATTAAGGCTTTGGAAACAAGAAATTGGCCCCTCTGCTGTGAAAATGCTCATCTCTGCTGAAGGAGAAGCTCTTGTGCTACCAAAGTATGATAATAATATTTATATATGTATATATTTACCATTTAAGATTAAATTATAAGTTATTTGCACCTTCAATTGAAAAATTCATGATATTTTATAGAATCTTGCTAAGCAAACTCTAAACTTAGAATAATGTATTTTTGTAGAGTTCTATTTCCCTTCGGTATGTTTATTAATATTTCCCTGAATGACAACATAGGGTTTTATTATCTGAAGATAGATAGGAACGAAATTTATTTGTATTGTTGCTTCTCCTGACCTTTGGTTTTTGTCATGAATGGCTCCCTGTCAATTGTCTTAAGCTAGATACTTAGGTCAATTTGCTAGCCCTGCCAAGGGCTTTGTTTTCATGTACTGCTTTAAAATGTGGTACAATTTCGCCTTGCTGTTCACCAGAACCCTTAACCTCACTTTGGCCAAGATTTATTGTTTGAATCAATGAGGAATCCTAAAATACTATCCATTTTATATATTGGTCTATTTTGTAAATTCATGTTTTATGGAAAACTTTTAGTCTTGTAAATCTATGATTTTTATGTCAGAATTTCCTAAAACTAGGTGAAACATTTTATAGTTTTTCCAAATTGAGATCTAGAAATACCATAGACAATAGAGATTTATAATCTCTTCACCATGAATATTAGAGTAATTGAAAACTCTTTTAAATACTTGTCAAAGGAATGACTAAAATAAAAATAATTCTCTCATAAAATTATAGGAAAATTCATATAAGAAGTGCTGTAGAAAAGTGGCTGGTAAATGTTGAGAAAGGCATGTTTGATGTGCTTAAAAAGTAAGTTTTCCCCCCAAATTTCCTATTATTGTCTATTGATATACCTATCTAGCTTTGTTGGAGGTTGGTCTCCCAAGCAGTGCCAAGGGAATCCAGAGGGGTTCTCAGACTATGGGGCTGGCGACTACCAAAACTGACCCAGTGATGCTTGGGAATCATATGGTACTGGGGATCGAACTGCAGTAGCCAAATGTAAGACATGTCCTTAACTCTTGTACTATCTCTCATGTTGATTCTCTATTTTTTTCACTTGGCTAGTCATCTACTAATCTAAGTAGGAAGTATCCAGGGAAATACATGAACCAGACTGCTCAATAGGTTTTAATAGAACATGATTACACATAAATGAATAAAAACTTTTACAGGTCAAATGTCAGTTTGAGAGGGTAATCATGAACAGCATCTGTTCTGTTGCTTGAGACCCATTTGTAACTGAACCTAGCCAAGACCTGAAGTCATGTCCATCTCTGCCTGTCTTCACAAGCTTCAGCCATCTGGTCACAGCTAAGTTTTATCCCACTGTTGCTTCCTAAAATTGTTTTCCTTGGTTCAGTCTTTTTCATTCTCTCCTTTTTAGATTCTAATCTATCATTGGCATCCACTTAAGAGAAAAAAAAGATATCAGATTATGAACTTTTAAAAAAAAATTTGATGGGACCAGGCACTCCTTTAAGTTTCACTTAATCACTTAACTTCCTGTTAGTCGTCAATTTGCTTGAGCGGGCGCCAGTAACGTCTCCATTTGTCCCTGTCACGTGCTAGTGTAGCCCAATGGCATCTACCTTTAAGTTTAATATCTATATTTACTTTCATTATCCTGAAAGATAATGTTCATGAGAAACAGTCTCGTTCCTGACGTTCCATTCTCTCTGAACGGAACAAACATCTCCTAATGCAACAGTTATGTGTACCTAGGTCGAGAAGTCAACATGGTGAATGACGTGGCACCTGAGTTGCACAGGAGGAAGAGAGCAGATTGGAACGCCTTCAAGAGTGTTGAAGAAAAAGCTAAGAGGACCAAGAACCTCCAGCTCCAGGCACATCTCTTCGATTCCACTGTTCTTCCTGCATTAACATATGCCTCAGAGACCTGGGCTCTATGAAAACAAGGATGAGAACTCTATTCAGGTCTCCCAAAGAGGAATCAAAACAGCTATGCTTGGAGTATCACACTTCACTCAAATGAGAGAAAGAATCCGGAGTTCCAATCTCTGTTGATGGTCAAGAATCAGGGAAGCTGTCTTGTTTGCCAAGGCATCAAAAATCAGATGGACTGGACACGTGATGAGATTTGGAGATGACCACTGGACTAGAGCCGTTACTGACTGGATTCCACAGGACGTCAAAAGACCACGTGATCGCCCACCTATGAGATGGTCAGACTTCTTCGTCAAGACCCTGAACGATCAGTTTGAGGCTCTTCATGTTCCTAGAATGAGCAGACGCCATTGGGCTACACTAGCACGCGACAGGGATTAACGGAGACGTTATTGGCACCCACTCGAGCAAATCAATGAGTAACGGGATGTCAGGTGATCAAGTGATCTTGAAGGACAACACAAAGTTTCTAGAACTGAGCAGATAAATTTTTTATGTACATAAATAATGGGCTGGACACAGTGGGTAGCGTGTTTGCCTTGCACACAGCCAACTCGGATTCGATTCCTCTGTCCCTCTCAGAGAGCCCAGAAAGCTACCGAGAGTATCCCACCCACACGGCAGAGCCTGACAAGCTACCCATGTCATATTCAATATTCCAAAAACAGTAACAGCAAGTCTCACTTCGTGTTCCAAGTGTGAGCAGACAGGGATGAATGAAGATGTTATTGGTGCCCGCTCAAGCAAATCAATGAAAAACGGGACAACAGTACTACATAAATAATAGCAATACTTTTCCTTTGTGCCAACTTTTATCCCTTGAATTATGTGGTAATCAGATGCCATCTTTCATGTGAAGGGGTTAGTTCCATAGATGAGGAATCTTGAACAAATACATCTAGGCAAGTATCTAAGAGACAGAGATTTTTTTCCCCATCACCCTTTCTATTGAATCACCATGAGATATACAGTTGCAAAGTTGGTCATGATTGAGTTTCAGCACCCATCCCTTCACCTGTGTATCTTTCCTGCCACCAATGTCTCCAGTTTCCCTCCTGCAGGGTTGTTAAGTCCTTGTCTAAGAAGTTATTAAGCTGTTTGTTGATAATTGAGTCATCCCTATTACTGCTTTTGCTATAGATTTTAATTGGTTTCTATGTTATTTTTTCACCTAATTTGGTGTACTCCTACTAGAACTTCAGTACTGAGGAATTAAGAGGTGTCGTATGGTTCAGAAATTTCAGGATCTATGGTTTGGGCTATGAATTGACATATCAGTAGCTGTGGGAGAAGGGCATGGCTGCCAGGGCTTCCAAAAGTGTGGGGAATTGTGGGGAAGCTGTCTACCCCAATTCTGAAAAACACCAGAGTACTCATCCTGGGCACCAGGAACCCAAAGTTATTTGCAGTTTGGCATCTCTGCAGAGAATATTCATGAAACAGTAGAGCCCTAGGTGTGACTGCAGTGGTGGGGTGTGGGTGCAGCTGCCAGGGCTTCAGAAGGTTATTCAGCCCACTCACCTCCTGGAGTGATGGGTAACCCCAGATTTTCAGCTGCAGAGACAGATGATTCCATAAATTTTATCTTCTTGGTGCGCATCTCCCAGGAGATTTAGTCAGGAATCAGTAGAGCAGAGGTGGTGGGTGAGTCAACATGGCTGCGACTTCAGACAGGGTCAAGCATCGTCCCTCCACCTGTCCCCTAAAAACCCTGGTAGCCACCAACTTCCAAAACCCAATGAGAAGTGCAGGTATATGGGTTCAGTGATGACAAACTCCAGGCCTCTAGGGTTAGGGATGAACCAGCCCCTCTCATCTGCCCATCCCCATGGAACCCTGGAGGTCACACATACAAACTGCCTCTGGCTGCTACTTGAACTCCTTAATGGCCATGATCCAGAGACACACAAAAGAATCTCCCAACCAAGCAGCTTGCTGCAAAATGCCTCCGGATTTTAAGCCAAGCCTACTTCAGCAGAATGCCTCAGATGGGGGTAGGCGTTGTCCCTCCACCTGCTCCCTAAGAATCCCAACAGCTGCCAACTTCCAGAACCCAATGAGAAGTGCAGGTATGCAGGTTCAGTGACAGTAAACTCCAGGCTCAAGGGATAGGGGATAAGTTAGTCCCTCTCATCTGCCAGTCCCCATGGGACTCAGTCCCCATGGGTCGTGCCCACAAACTGTCTCTGGCTACTACTTAAACTCCTTAATGGCCATGATCCAGAGACATGCAAGAGAATCTCCGAACCAAGCAGCTCGCTGCAGACATTTCTCCAGATCCTAATTATCTAAAATTTCAGAATTCCAGGAGCACACAGTCACTCTCACGGCCATGCAGCATCTTATGCTATTCATAACAAGCAATACAAAAGAGAGTATGGGGGAGATTGCTTGCCACAAAGACAGGGAGAGGAGTGGGATACTAGGAACATTGGTGATGGAAGATGTGCACTGGTGGAGGGATGGATGTTCAATCATTGTATGACTGAAACTCAAATAGGAAAGCTTTGTAATTATATATCGTGGTGATTCAAACAAAAACAAACAAACAAACAAAAAACATGGTGGCGACTGACAATAGATTTTTCAACTGCAGCTCTGATTGTATTAATTTTATTAATATTTTTAAACAATTTCTCATTTACTAAGATTGATGGCCTTCTTTCTCTATAATTCTTTGACATATGTCATTTTATTTTCACTTTGTTTTGGATCACACTTTTTACACTGTGTGAAAGTACAGATACTCTCTTTTTCTTCCAAATTTAATTAGAAAAGTCACTGATAGTTTACCATTTCTTAAGGAGCTTTGTGTTTATGAAACAGTCCCTAATAAAAGTAGAATCTTATTTTTTTACTTTGGAAAGTTTTTCCCATAAGGAGTCTCCTCCCCAACTGTGTTCTGTCTCCCTAAGGCCACTGCCTTTGATACACAATACTCTGTCAGGTAGGGTGGGCCTACTGACTTGGTACTTGGTCAGGTGATGCTTGGGGCCACCAGGGCCATAACTGACCGTGCTGGGGATAGGAACCTTTCATTACCAGGGGTCAAACTCAAGATTTTGTTATACATTGCATGCATTCTAGTCCTTTGAACTATCTGCTGAGCCTATTTATTAAGATTTTTTAAGACAATTTCATTACATCAAGTGCTATTTTTATGCCTCTTCTGATTTTAAATACACTTTTACCTTTAATTTGTGATGTCATGAATTATATCAATACATTTCCAAACATTGAATTTATAAATCAATTAGGGCAACTTTCCTTTCATTTTTATGTATGCTTTATTTCCTAGAAGTCTGTTTTAAACATTATTTCATTTATTTCGTACTTTTAATTTTTTTTTATTTGTGACAATTTATTTCTAATATCTCTTTTCATACTACATTGTTCTACAAAACACTATGTCACTATCAATATTTATACTGGTTAATTATCTTTTGCATGGGATGTTGGAAATTGAACCTGGGCTCCGGTTTGCAAGGCAAATGCCCTACCCACTGTGCTATTGCTCCAGCCCAATGGTTCTTGACTCAAACTACAAAATCAGGTTTCACTTAATTCTTGTCTTTTTTTTTTGACAGTATGATGTGATTGTTACTCAATTCAGTTTGTCTGTACTTTCAGATCTCTGACCTTTTCTATCTTAACGGCTTATACGTGAGACATCCATGCCCAGGGATTGTTTTTATTTGGGTTCCTTTGCCCTCAATAAAGGGGCTGGAGTGATAGTACAGCAGTAGAGTGTTTGCCTTGCACGCAGCCAGCCCGGCTGAGCCAAGTTCAATTCCTCTGCCCCTCTCACAGAGCCCAGAAAGCTACCAAGAGTATAGCAATATGTACTCAATATTTATATATTTACATATTCAATATGCATCATAGATTCAATATGTGAAACATAGTAACAACAAGTCTCAAAATGGAGATGTTACTGGGCCCACTAGAGCAAATTGATGAACAATGGGAAGACAGTGTTTGTTTGTGTTTGCCCTCAAAATTCTAGTCAGGGATTAGGTAAATGTGAGATTCCTCTCTGCTTCCCTAAAGTTTTAGTAGATCTGCATTCCTTTCCTGAAAGCCACAGGTCTTGACAGATGGCTTTTCTCAAAATCTCCATCTCTTGCCAGATTCTAATAATTTTGTTCCCCTCCTCTTCAAGATGTGGGATGGCTTTTCCTACTGCTAGATCCTGGCATTTCTCCAGTTTGTATTGGTTCCCTGATATTTGGAATATAAAATAAGGGTGGGGCAGATCTGCATTTGTACTGATTGCCTTCCTTTTTGCAGATCCCCTCATTCAGTTCTTACCAAACAGCCCTGTGATAAGTGCTATTTCCTGCAAATAACAGCCTGTCTTTCCAGATTTATTTATTTGGACTCATATTAGTTCATGGACATTCATTCTCCTCAAGGTTGCAAACTGGCTCTTACACTTCACTGTTATTCTAGTTTTAGTTGTATTTGAAAAATTCCATTTCTTAGGGGAAAATGCCAAGGTCATATTCTTTGTTTCCATCCTTCTGCTCTCTTCGCTTCCCACCATCCTTTCTCTTCTTTTCACTAGTGTATCAGAATAGGATGATTTATTTTAGGCCCTATTCTGCTTCTGTCTCTAGGCCCAAACATCACATTAAAGGACCTTCACCCCATACTTCTTGAATTTTAATTATTAATGATTAGCAACTAGTTAGTTTGGGAGTTCATGATATTGAAAGAAACAGAGGGCTATGGTCTTCCTATTTAGAAAATTTCTCTTTGTTTTTTTTTTCCAAATATTTCCCCTGGGTTGCTTCTTGTATTTGTTGAAGCTGGCAAGTTGTTTTCGGTCTCCCCACCCTTATTTTTATAATCCAATCCAAGGTTTTTATTACTTTGGATTACTTTTTATTTATTGAGGGGCATATTCCTATTTTCCAGATACTTATATATGTGTATCTATTTTAATGTATTTTCCATAATTTAAAATGTCATTTGACTCAGGACAAAGTCCAGTAACTTTGGCTTTTGTCTTTTCCAGTTAACTGGAAACAGACATAGTGATAGGGGTCCCTGAACTTGGTTATATATATGTATATATATGTGTGTATATATGTTATATAAATGACTGTAAGCAAGAGAAAATAAGTGTGATTTTTTAAAATATGAAGCCACATAGAAGCTGGAGAGATAGCATAGTGAGTAGGGTATTTTCCTTGTATGTGGCCAACACTCAATTCCCAACAACCCATACAGTCCCCTGAGCACCGCCAGGAGTGATCCCTGAGTACCACCAGGTATGAATCATAAAAACAAAGATACAAAATTTTAAGTTAAGCCACTTAAATGTGAGAAGAAAATTTGTGTTAAGAATTTCTAAAAATAAGTTATCATTGATAAAATATATTAAACAGAAAAATTGATCAATTTGACTGTATAGAAACTTAAAGCTTGTGTATAGAAAAAAGACACCAAAATAACATCAAAATATATCATGGTCACAGATATTTTTAATCCTAGAAAAAATGGATTTTAAAATCCTATTTTATCGATTATATTTTTTTTTTTTTGCTTTTTGGGTCACACCTGGTGATGCACATGGGTTACTCCTGGCTCTGCACTCAGGAGTTACTCCTGGCGGTGCTCAGGGGACCATATGGGATGCTGGGAATCGAACCCTGTTCGGCTGCATGCAAGGCAAACGCCCTACCCGCTGTGCTATCTCTCCAGCCCCTATAATTAATTTTTTAACTTAAGTGCAAACATTCATTGTCAAAATATTTCTGTATTTTAGTCCACTACTAACACTTGTTGAAATGACTTTAAATACGTGTTTTGTAATTGTTTGTGTTCGCAATTTAAAATCAAACATATATATATATACATATGTATATATTTAACATAATTTCCATCCCCAAAACTCAATGGTTTCATTGGGAAAGTACAGATAATTTTAGCAAGGAATTTAAGGAATGTGCATTAGGCATTAATTAAGGTTTTATGAACTCTTATCTGGGCCTACATATATATATACATATATATATATATATATATATATATCACTGTAGCACTGTCCTCCCATTGTTCATTGATTTGCTCAAGCAGGCACCAGCAATGTCTCCATTGTGACACTTGTTGTTACTGTTTTTGATATATCGAATACACCACGGGGAGCTTGCTAGTCTCTGCCATGCAGGCGGGATACTCTTGGTAGCTTGCCAGGCTATACATACATATGTATATATGAGCAAAACTGAGAGCTAGCATGTGATCTTTCATGCTTGATCATTATGTGGAATGACCCACAATTAAATATAAATAATATTTTTCTTTGTAGATTTATAAGCCAAGGGATTGAAGATTGGAATACCCAATCTTTTTCCCAATGGGTGTTATCCCATCCAGGACAAGTGGTGCTCACTGTGGTAAGTTAAAACATCACTTTGATATACATGTATTTAGTTTCTGGTTTCATTGCCGAGAAAGTAAAGTAAAGCTATATAAACAAATCATTATGAACCAAACTGGTACACGTAGTTTATTTTGATAAACATAAAGAAAATAAGATGAACAGATAGAAAATTAGATGAATAGACAGGTGTATGAATAAGCAAATATAGTAAAAAAAGTTAATTGTAGAACATGAGTGGTAATTATATGGGTATTTAAGAATTTATTCAAACTTTTCTGTAGCTGGAGCAATAGCACAACAGGTAGGGCATTTGCCTTGCACATGGCCAACCCGGGTTTGATTCCTCCTTCCCTCTCAGAGAACCCAGCAAGCTACCGAGAGTATCCCGCCGACACAGGATACCACTACCTGGCAAGCTCCCCGTGGTGTATTCAATATGCCAAAAAAAGTAACAACATGTCTCACGATAGAACATGCAAAATAGAGGATAAATAAAGACTCCAAGAAATATTACTTGTTACTGGTGCCCGCTCAAGCAAATAGATGAACAACAAGAGCAAAGTGCTACAGTGCTACAGTGCTTCTGTAGCTTAACTTTTTCACAATAAAATGCTACATAAAATAACTGAAATTATTTTTTATATATCATTGTACTTTTAAATTAGTTTTCTAATGTTATTAAAATGTCATTGCATTCTTCATTTCCAAAAACAAGACAATATATTGTCTTATATATTTGTAGGTTAGACTAGCACTGGTCAGACGGGGCTAAAATCAAAGTGTCAAAGGTGTTGATTACTCTCTGGGAGCATAATTTCCAGCTTTTAAAGGTCTCTAGCAATCCTGACTCTTTCCTTCCTCATCAATGCTAAAACTACTGCATCTCTTTAACATTCTTTTGTAGCCATAATTTCTCCCTGCTCACAGCAGAAAAAAGTATCTCAGATATTTAAAAAAAAAATTAATCATCAATCCAACTCAGATAACCCAGAAAAATGCTCTATCTCAAGGTACCCATTTAATCACAACTAGCAGTTCCTTTAGCAATACAAGATAACATTATTCCTTGCTCTGGAAATTAGCACATGGTCTGTTTTCATAGAAACCATTATTCTGCCTATCACATGTATTTTGTTCAAGTGAGTTAAATTTTTCTGAAGCTCAAAAAAAAGGAAAAGAAGAAAAGTAATTGTGATAGTACAGGAACCAAAGTAGGGAATTCTTTTTATAAAAACTAGTGAAGTAAGAGTTGAGCTATTAGAAGAGATTGTATTGGCTGGAGCCAGGGCATAGTGAAATTTCCCCCCTGTAGAGCATGCAAAATAGAGGATAAATAAAGACTCCAAGAAATATTATCACTTAATGATTAGATAACGGATGAGGATTCTCTGAAAAGAACTAAAAAAGACTGACCAGAGGGAGAAAATAAGGAAAAGAAAGAGTGATAAAAGTTGTAATAAAAGCTAAGGAGTACTTTCTGCTAGTTTGATTTTTCTTTATGAAAAAAAGTGTGGGTCATAATTTTAAAATGTTCTGGAGATGTCTGAAAGCTCCATTATAGAAATTATGAGAGTCAACACAAATGTTGGAAACAATAGTTTTCCTGGAGAAATGAATGTTGCTTTTTACTATAATCAAACATTTATAAAGCATACTTGATTGAACTTGCACTCCTCTCCTAAATTTAAAAATAATTCATTTCTTTTTGCTTTGGCAATTTTCTAGTCTTTGTTAAGATACCTGGGACAGTAAACACAAATGATGATGATCAACCCTGTTCGGTTCCCTTTATTTTCCACTTGACTATTGATAAAGTACTCTGATCATAAACTAAAGATTTAATTAAGGTGTTGCTTGCAAAAGTAACACAATTTTAAGGAATCAGCTTGCACTCTTCTGTGGTTTTCTAGGAAATCAAATAATCAAATATGCTCCATTAAGAAAAGATCTTCCACAGACTGCAAACTTTTGCTCCTGCCCACTTTCTAAACCTCAGTAACTAGCCACCTATTGATTTTCTGTTGTGGTTCTAAAGCACATTATATGAAAGTCAATTTTTCTGCTGCATACAGCCAAGAATATTGGAGTACCAGATTTCCCATTTCCTACCTTTCTCTTGCTCTAGAAAAGAATTCACCATTTTATGTTATGTCTTCTATGCTATTTATTTATTTATGGCTATACTTATTTATTTTATAGTCACTTCAAATTCTGTGTCTCCACCAATCAATTCATTGTTCTCCTTCACCTACAATACTTTCCTTTTAATAGATACTATCTCATTGAGTGGAAAAACAATTAGCCTAATTATCCAGAAATTTATATGCCTCCTGTACAGTCCCTCTAATGAACTTACAGGTTAAGGTCAATCTAACCTCAATCCAGTAACCTCTTTTCAATAGTATAAGAATAGTGAGAATCAAGGTATGAACCATATTAGCAGTTTCTGAAAACTATAATTATAGAACATATTCTGGAAATATTTCTTTTGAGTTCAACTGAGGAGATAGTACTTATTTTCTAACATTATTACTGTCCCCAGATTATAACAGCCTAGTAATGATGGGTTAAGAATACAAGATTGAGAAAATATAAATATTGATGATAAATATATTTTCATTTATTAATAAATAATACTTAGTAAGAAAAAATCAAGATTTAATCTCAAACTCTTATTATATATACCAGCATTTAAGTTCTCTTTTATACAAACATTACATATACTTAATGATATTTATGAATATGTGCACTCACATATGAACATCACATATACTAAATGGAAACATATTTTAATTTATAACACTTGATTTAATTATCATATTTCTTAATTTTTCAGAGCCAGATAATATTTTATAATAATTGCCTCAGAAGCTTTGCAAATCCTCAAGCAAAGAGAGAGTTGGGAAAAGTTCATGTTGATATAATTCATTGCCTGGAAGTAATTGTGGAGCTAGTAGGACTGGATGTTAGTAACTCTCGCACAAAAGCTGTACTAGGTGCATTGCTTGCCATTTATGTTCACTGCAGAGACATAGTGAGTGATCTGCTACTTAAAAATACCACTAATGCAGATGATTTTACATGGACAAGGTAAGTAGATGTAAAATATAATTTTATAGAAAATAACTTCTTGCTTTCCAATCCACAGAAAAATTGATCAAGTACCCAAAAATTCAGACATGATTGTTAATTATATAGGATACATAAATTCTAAGCAAAGAAGACCAGCTTGAAAATTATATTCATGGTTTTTCCTTTTTTTCTGTTCCACTATGTTTTTTCTTACACTTGTACTGCTTTATTCTCCTCACCCAAGTGCACTCTTCTTATAGTTGTATTTTGCCTTTCATTCCTCAGCCAGAAAGCAGAAAGTGGATAATGAGAGAAACTACTTCAAGTCTTTTTCCTGTAAATTCCAGAACAGACTAACCTGGGGAGAACATCACAGAACATTTCCACCTAGTTATCCAACTCTGTAGTGCCTCTTTCTTACAAAAGTCTATTGTATATGCTCCTATATAGTAGTTTATGTACAAAAATGAAGGGATAGAATAAACAGAGCCAGTAGCTTCAGTGAGATCAATATAAGATACTTATAAGTGTGAAATTTCAAACTTTTAAATATTTTTATGACGTTTCCTCTATCAATAGGATAAAAACAGTATTCTGCTTGCATAAGGTCTCTGATTCTCAAGAAAAGTAAATTTTTAAATAAAGTATTTGTATGAGCAAGTATAGGTGGGAGAGAGCACAGAAGTGAAAACAACAGAAGGAATAGGAAGGAATGGCATCTCTGAATTGCTTTCATGAAACCAAAAAAATATTTAGGAAGAAATATGGATGTACAAGAATAACAAGGCATGACTAGCAAGTGTGTCACTAATTCAATGATGCTCTGGGACAGTTTATCTATGGGAACCTTCATCTCTTGTACCTAAGCCACTAATGCTGTACATCTGCACATTGAAAGACTTGGCTCAACCTTGAACATGTGTGCCTGGTATCTGAGATGCTGTGAAGAAAAGCTCAGAAAATGCTACAAAACAAAAGATTCTCTTCTGGTATCAGATAATAGGATTAGTGTTTGTCTCCAAAGCCAAAGTTAATCTTAACTTATGTTAATTCTGTTCCTGGAGGATAAATTGAATAGGAGGGAGTTTTTAACAAAGATTCTGAATCATTAAACAGATAGTGACTATGTGACATGAACAAAGACATACTTTCAGGAAACTGGAGTATATAATGGGGAACTCTTGCCTCTTCACTTCCTCTGACAGTTCCTGTTGACTGAACCGAAGATAAACTTTACATTCTACAAGCAGACAGAGGTATAAATGTTCCCTGGGAAAAGGTGCAAAGATTCATTCCAAAGTATGTCTGTGGTATTTTCAAGACCTGAAAATAACTTGTCAAACCCTGGCCAGGGCCATTAGCAAGATTTTTTGGCCTTCTGGGGTCAAAGCCAGACAGAGAGTGGGAGGAGGGTTTTAGATTGCCTATCTTCTAGGACAGGTGGCACAAAATGGAGACGCTCCATGTTTTTTCCAAGTGATAAGTGGTAACAGAGGTCATCTAATGAGCACATACATAGGGAGTTTAAGGAACTTGTTGGAACTTCAGCAGTAGAATTGAAATGTAAGCTTGATGCTTTATGGTTTCTCTCTCTACTGCTTTGAAATTTACTTCCGTGGAAAGCTCATCTTCCAAGAATGAGTGTTAACCAAGGTATCATCAGGCTATAATATAATTTTTAAAAAATGCTTATCCAAGAACAGAAATCATGATCTAGTCTACCACCAAAGGCAGGCTTAAGATATGTTTCACATGCTCAAGGCACTGGGGAGTTTGGTTTAGCATTTTTGTTTTTCGTTACTGTTCTCTATTTAAAAAAGTAAATCCTGGGTAACATTGGTTGACCAAAATGTAAATATTTGTTCATATGGTATAGAGATACAATGTTATCACACATATTTACAAGTAGAATGACCTTAATCCTCCACCATCATCCATCAAGCACTTCCACCCCTGCCCTTTGTCCCCACACCACCACCCTCTGGAATTTTAGTCAGGCTTATTCTCCACCTGAAAAACTCAGCAAGACAGCTCAGAGGCAAAATGGAATCTGACTCAACAGGCCCCAAGGCAGCTGCACAGACCCAGATGTCAGAGTTAGTACTGGGCATAGTAAGTCATGTGTAGCCTAAGGACACACACCTCATAGAAACCAAGCAAACCTGAGGCCTTCCAGTTGGGTGGGTAGGGAAAATTATTTCTCTGAATTCACTGAATTGTTTGCCTTTATTTCTATAATATACATATTCCCTGTAGAAATACTGGAAATTATATAAAATATTTCTACAATAAATAAATAAATAGTTAGCTTAAACTTTTTTGTTTCACTTGATCACTTGACATCACTTGATCACTTGACATCCCATTACTCATCGAGTTGCTTGAGTGGGCGCCAGTAACGTCTCCATTCGTCCCTGTTGCATGCTAGTGTAGCCCAATGGCGTCTGCTCATTCTAGGAACACGAAGAGCCTCAAATCGATTGTTCAGGGTCTTGACGAAGAAGTCTGACCATCTTGTAGGTGGGTGGCCACGCGGTCTTTTGACATCCTGTGGAATCCAGTCGGTAATGGCTCTAGTCCAGTGGTCTTCTCTAAATCTCATTACGTGTCCAGCCCATCTGATTTTTGATGCCTTGGCAAATGAGACAGCATTTCTGATTTTTGACAGTCAACAGAGGTCGGAACTCCGGATTCTTTCTCTCATTTGAGTGAAGCGTGATACTCCAAGCATAGCTCTTTTAATTCCTCTTTGGAAGACCCGAATAGCGTTCTCATCCTGTTTTCATAGGGCCCAGGCATAATGTTAATGCAGGAAGAACAGTGGAATCTAAGAGATGTGCCCAGAGCCCGAGGTTCTTCATGCTCTTAGCTATATCTTTGACACTCTTGAAGGCATTCCAAGCTGCTTTCTTTCTCCTGCACAACTCAGGTGCCAGGTCATTTGTCGTGTTGACTTCTCGACCTAGGTACACATAACTGTTGCATTCGAAGATGTTCGTCCCATTGAGAGTGAATGGAACGTTCGAAATGAGACCGTTTCCCATAAACATTGTCTTCATGAGATTCAGCTGTAGTCTGACCTTTCCACACGCATGGTCGAAGTCGGCCAGCATTTGTGCCGCTTTGCTAATGTTTGGTGTTATTAGAATGATGTCATCAGTAAAGCAGAGGTGGTGTAGTAATATTCAAACAAAGAAAGACAAACTTTTTAAATAGACTATGGTTATCTAAACTTTAAGTAAATGGGAGCAGAAAGAAGCTGATGTATTTGGTAGACAGTATATTTTATCTGAACATTTTTAATTTGATAATTATGTAGAGCAAAAATTACTTTCTAAATAGAAAAGAAATATATCCTGTTTATGAAATATTATCTTATAGAACTTCAGATACCAATATTGCATTATATTGTCTCTTTAAAAATAAAAATGAAAGCACATATATAGGAAAGAAACAAGGAAGGAGAAAATTTCAAAAACACTGTAAATAGTTTAAAGACTTGGAAATTAGTAAAACAAAGACCTGAAATCATGCAGTATAGTATAGATACATCTCAGAAAACTGAAAATAAAATACTATATAATCCCTAATACACAAAGCAGACACACACACACCCTATAAGTATACACATGTTAATTGAATTATTATAAACAATAGCTAAGAAATGAAAATGAATTGAGGTCCTATTGACTAATGAATGGATAAAGAAGCTAGAAGTGTACACAATAGAATACTATTTAGCTTTAAGAGGATACTATTTAGCTATATAATCTTGGGGCTAGTACTGTGGGTAGAATGTAAACAGCCAACCCAGTTTTGATAGATGCACCACATATGGTCCCCTGAGCCGGAAGGGATCCCTGAATGCAGAGTCAGGAGTTAAGCCCTGAGTACTACATGTGTGGCCCCCAAACCAAAAAAACATTAAAGGATGAATATGCCATTTGCAACAATGCAGTGTCCTAGAGGGCACTGCATTCAATGAAATAAGACTAAATGGTATTATACTTAGTAAAACAAACACTATGATTTCACTCACGTGAGGTATATAGAGAAAACAAGCAGAGAACTAAATAAAAATGAACTCTTGGAATATAAGGCTAGTGATTACAGGAAGAAAAAGGGTAAGGAAGTAGGTTAATTAGTACAAAGGAGGCATGTGCATGGTGAAAGACAGAATTACACTTTTAGAAATGTACTTAATGCAACACATACCCACACTCATATTTAATGATGCATACTATACCTGTATCTATGATTCTAGAGTCACAAATTCTAAATTGTGTACCAATGTGCCTTCAAGGTGCCATAGGGAATTCACAGAACACTTAAAGATCTTTAAAAACTGTGAAAGGACTATTTTTTTAACAGTTACTAAGTTGAAATTACTTTGTTGCTTCATAGCTAAAAATTAAGGAATGGAACTATTAACTACTTCTTTTGGCCTAGGGTGCTCATAAAAAAATTGGTTAGGTGCCAAAAATTCTGTAAACCAAGAAAATCTTGGAATCTCTGTTCTACAGGAAAGATGTTAAACACTAAAACTCTGGAAAGCTAAAACTTTCTGATGCTAAAAATATTTGACACTTGTATCACAAAACAAGTGCTCGTTGTTAAAATGGAGTTCTATTTTCGGAAAATCATTTTGTTCAACAGTTATTTCTCTTGTTAGGGTATCAGGACTTTGCAAGGTAGTGGCTTATAATTCAACATTTCTATTTTTCAATTTAAATTTTATTTTTAAAAATTGACTCCGTTTTTATACTTTCTTATACCGTATCTCATTGTTACAGAAGGGATTAAAAAAAGTTATAAGGATATTTAAAATGCACAAAATAGCACATGGTAACATACATTGAAAATGAACTTAGAGAAGAAACACAAAGGTGAAAGCCAGTGCCAGCCTATTATGTGACATGATAAACGCAATTGCCGCTCATGTTGCAATATGTAAAGGTAAAAGGTAAAGGCCCTCCCGTTGATCGTCGATTTGCTCGAGCGGGCCCAGTAACGTCTCCATTGGAGACTTTGTTGTTACTGTGTCTGGCATATCGAATACTCTCGGTAGCTTGCCGGGCTCTCCGAGAGGGGCGGAGGAATCGAACTCGGGTCGGCCATGTTGGCCGCGTGTAAGGCGAACGCCCTAACCGCTGTGCTATCGCTCCAGCCCGTTGCAATATGTAAATGCATCAAATCAACATTTTGTATATATTAGACTTATACAATGCTATGTATCATTGTATTCAACTGAAAAGTAAAGTATGTAATTATTAAAAAGATAATAAGGAGGTCAATTTTTTAAAAACTTGTTCACTTTAATTTCTGAAAAGTTAGTGTACCTTCATCCATTTGTAATTCAAAATCAAATAAAATATTGCATGTATAAAGATGCTTTTTCCTCATAAGGCAACACTGGTGAGATAAAAATAAAATCAAGAATTCATATGAGGGTCTAGTTGAAGATGACAAATGTTTTCTTTTAATATTTCTATATATTGTTTTGAAAATCTTTATCAATTGAATGTCATGATGTCATTTTCATAGGTTTTTCTGAAATTTTTGTTTTCTTTGAAAGAATTTATAAATTCATATTTCATTCAGATCTCATAGTTTATACTACCATTGAAGCTGGTTCATAATTGCAGGGCACCTACACCAATCCCTTCACCAGTACTTCAAGATCCCCTGAAACAAAGCACAATTTTTTTTAAATCTTTAATAGTGAGACATCATGAGGTACAGTTGCAGACTTACACATTTTTGTGCTTGGGTTTCAATTATACAATGATCAAATACCCATCCCTCCACCAGTGCCCATTTCCCACCACCACGGATCCCAGTATCCTCCCCATCCCCCCCATCCCACCCTGCTTCTGTGGTAGGGTATTCCCTTTTGTTCTCTCTCTCTTATTGGGTGTTGTGGGACAAAGCACAATTTTTAAACTTAAATCACATCTACCCTGATAGTAAAGATCCTAGTTATAGTGAGCAACATCTGAGACAATAATCTTATTGGAAGCCATAATAAATTCAATGAAATGATTGCCATACAAATCCTCTATTACGCCAACATCACGCCCAAGCAGCATGATTCAGCAAGGCTGTTTTCCTCAGGAAGATGAGTGCTCAAATGTTTATAGTCTTCGAGGTTCTAGCATTTGTCTAGTAGAGTCATTGATGAGTTATCAATCACTCCTTTTCCATTTGATTTTATGTTCTAAAACCATTTTTATTGAGGTACTGAGATTCATAATACAGTTAATTGTACTTCTCATGACTATAACATTCTAACACACCCTATCATCATCCACTTTCCTCCACCAAATATCCCAAGGACCCTTCCATTTGATCCCCTCCCCGCCATGTAAGCTCGGCTCTGTAGACAAAAAACTTCAGTTCTGATTACTTTGACTATTACTTACTATGTTTATTTTTTATCTTGTATTTAAGATAGATCTTTCTGGTTTTTTTTTATTTGTGGAGTAGTGGCACCTACACATACAGGTAAATATAACTTATCTTATAGAATTACACAAAACTGTAAATTAATGATAAATCAAAAAAATCAAAGTATATTTTTAGGTCTATACAATTAAAAAATTAATATTATGGGGGCTAGATAGATAGCATAGTATGTAGGGTGCTTGCCTTGCACATGACCAACACAGGCCCAATCCCAGGCACCCCATATAGTCTCCTGAGCCCTTCCAGGAGTGATTCTGGAGCAGAGAGCCAGGAGTAAGGCCTGAATACTGCCATGTGTGGCCAAAAACCATAATAAAATTAATATTATGAATAACCCTGTGCTAATGCATTTTAATATTTACATAAAGTAGATAAATCCTGCGAAAGTAATTTTTAGTAAGAGTGAAGAGAATTAAGGAAAATATAAGGAGAGAATCTGAATAGGTCAATAGAAGTAAAAGCAACTGTATTTTATCCTAAGAAAGGAAATATTGTATTTTGCTGAGAAATATATTATAGATATTGTAAATCAGTAAAGTAATTTTAAAATTATCTCTATAGATGTAAAAATACCTGATTCTACATATAATATTCAATATAAATAAAATGGTAATTCATTATTGCAAATGCACACAACCCCTTCCCAGGAAAGGAGTAAACAAACATTTCTTAATCTAGTAGAGAATAAGAGATTAAGTGCTATGAGTGAATGCTATACTCAATCAATGCCAAGTGCTGGAGAGTTTGCCTTGCCTTTAAAGTTCCTTTAATACTTCTTGTAAGACTTGTCTCATGAATTCCCTAAACTGTTGTCTGTTCCTGAAGCTCTGTGTTATTCCTTTAGATCTGAATAATAATCTAGAATAGAATGTTTTTGGTGAGGTGTTTTCATTGAGTTTTTATACTGTAACCCTCCATGCTCTTCTGACTCATAGAATATCATTTGATAAATCTTCTGTGAATCACATGGACTTTCCTTTGCATATAAGTTTCATTTGACTTTAACGTTTGATTTCACATTTTAATCAACATTCTGTTTTAATCTGTATTATTTTTTCTAGTGAAGGAAATTTAGAAATAATTTTGCTCAGATAACATGCTTTTAAAATATTGTTTCCAGATATTTGCAATATAAATGGAATGAAAAACAAAAGTTGTGTTATGTATCACAAGGAGATGCCAGCTTTACTTATGGCTATGAGTACTTGGGTTGCTCCCCAAGATTAGTTATTACACCTCTCACCGACAGATGCTGGCTAACTCTTACTGCAGCATTGCGCTTAAATCTAGCAGGTTGTGTTGCTGGTCCAGCTGGTACCGGGAAAACTGAGAGTGTCAAAGATCTAGCAAAAGTAAGTTGTTTCTCTATCCAGAATAAAAAACTTCCTTCAATGGAATCAAATTTTGACCATTCCTACTATTAAATGTTCATAAGATTTAACAATTTAGCTCATTCATTACTTTGTGCAGTTGATTGATTTTTGAAAATCTGTTGTGTGCTAGAACTTGGCAACATATATCAGTCAGCAAGCTTTGTGTTTACTGGGAATTGCAATTTTAGCCAAATGATAGATAATGACAATTTTGTACCCTGTACAAAATCTTTTATTCTTCTAGGATTACTCAGTGAATTTGAATCCACACACAAACTTCTGCTCTGTCTTTGTGATTATTAACATTGCTTATATGTGTATATGAAAGTTTGTGTGTGAAAACTAGTGTACTTTTTGATATCACTTGAATGTTATATATTTTTTAATTTTGCTAAAGGTAAAGGTAAAGGCCCTCCCGTTGATCGTCGATTTGCTCGAGCGGGCCCAGTAACGTCTCCATTGGAAACTTTGTTGTTACTGTGTCTGGCATATCGAATACTCTCGGTAGCTTGCCGGGCTCTCCGAGAGGGGCGAAGGAATCGAACTCGGGTCGGCCATGTTGGCCGCTATTAAAGGGCTGGAGCGATAGCACAGTGGGTAGGGCGTCTGCCTTGCACGCAGCCAACATGGTCGACCCGAGTTCGATTCCTCCGCGCCTCTTGGAGAGCCCGGCAAGCTACCGAGAGTATTCGATATGCCAGACAAACCCAGAAGAACCCCCATAAAACATGGCCACATATATATGAAGGGGTTTTGATTGATTTAATTTTGCTAATGTATTTAAAAGCATAACCTTTGTATTCCATGAACTATAATTAACTGAATGAACACATAGTATTTATATTTAGTTTTGTGAATTTTTTAATTGGGTATGTAATTTATTCTTTATAATTTATTCTTTTTAATTTATTCTTTAAAAGAAAACTGTAGCAATATAAAGACATAATGTCATGGTCCTCCCATTGTTCATCGATTTGCTTGAGCGGGCCCAGTAACATCTCCATCGTGAGACTTGTTGCTGTGTTTGGCATATCAAATATGTCACGGGTAGCTTGCCAGGCTCTGCCATGCGGGCGAGATACTCTTGGTAGCTTGCTGGGCTCTCTGAGAGGGGCAGAGGAATCGAACTCGGGTTGGCCATGTTGGACGCTTGTAAGGCAAACGCCCTACTGCTGTGCTATCGCTCCAGCCCAAGGACATAATATTTCTGTAAGAGTTTTAAAAGCTTCTCATATTTAAGAAATATACTAAAATAACGTTTTTGTTTCCCAGTCCCTAGGAAAACATTGTGTGGTCTTCAACTGCTTTGAGAATTTAGATTATAAGGTAAGGCTTATTCATTATAAAAGGTAAAAAAGGTAAAGGCCCTCCCGTTGATCGTCGATTTGCTCGAGAGGGCCCAGTAACGTCTCCATTGGAGACTTTGTTGTTACTGTGTCTGGCATATCGAATACTCTCGGTAGCTTGCCGGGCTCTCCGAGAGGGGTGGAGGAATCGAACTCGGGTCGGCCATGTTGGCTGCTTGTAAGGCGAACGCCCTACCCGCTGTGCTATCGCTCCAGCCCATTACACATATATATATACACATATAAATAAACACATATGAAAACATTGTATACATAAAAGAAGTCATTAATTGAAGAATGAAAGGATAAGAAATTTGTTCGCTATTATCATTGACTACTAATAAATATAATGCTAAATCAACAAAATAGAAATTTGGAATATTATAGAAACTTAAAACATTGTGCAATTGACTTTTATTTTTATATATCTTACTACAGTGATTACCAGACTTTTGATGGGTAGAATTTCCCCTAAAAAGTCTGATACAGGACATGAATATACAAATAAGATAGTTGAGTACTGCTTTATGAATTTAATTTATAAATTTTAGTCCTATACCTTTATTTACTGAAAGTATAATCATTAAGAAGAAATGAGGCTCTAATGATATTGCTGCTGGTGTCATACATGAAATGAGGAAAAGAGAGGCAGTGGTCTTGAGAGGGCCCTGCTGTCTTCATATTTACCACCTTAGTCAGCCAGGAGGTATGCAAGAGGGTTAAGACTAATAAAACCTGGGGTCTGGAGCGATAGGATAGCAGGTAGGGCATTTGCCTTGCATGAAGCCAATCCAGGTTTGATTCTCAGCATTCCATATGGTCCCCCGAGTACTACCAGGAGTAATTCCTGAGTGTATGATCCAGGAGTAACCCCTGTGCATAGCCGGGTGTGACCCAAAAAATCAAAAAGCAAAAAAAAAAAAAGACTAATAAAACCTGCTATGAGCACCCTTTGTGGTATAGACACTTGTACATTACCAACACCACCAGTCATCAAATAGCCTGAGTTCCACTTGATATTCAAGACATGGGTATTAATCCCCATCACCCAGTTTCTAAGAGCACCACCGCCTCCATGAGCTGAAGGGAGGGATTTTCTCTTTGTTGGGAAAAAAAAAATGCAGCCCTGAACTTTTTGCACAGACTGATACATTGCCTGCCCTCAACAAAAAGAGTTTTAGGAAAGAAACCAATAGTGAAGATAAATTAATTGGGATCTATAAATGAAGGGAATAAGAGTTATACTCTCCAGAGTGGACAGCTCCACAGTGGAGAGAGCAGTGTACATGTCCCAAGTTGAGAAGTGGACAAATCCCCAAGATAGAGTGTGAATGTCACACTCTAAGTAAAAGAAAGGGATTGCACATCTCAGGTAAAGGTGTGGATAAACCCCAGAATGGGGAAGTGGGTACCTTTGCTCTGCAAAATTAGTTTGTATAAGGTTTTTCTCAAACTTCACTCCTTCAACCCAATCAATAAGTCTGTTTCTAGGCTGTCCGTTATCCAGGGGGCAAGCTTAGAACTATTTATGGTTTTCTTTAATATTTTAAATTTATTTATTTAATATTGGATTTTCTTTGTTCCACTGTTGGAATCTATCCTCACAGGGGGTCACAGTGGCTGGAGCGATAGCACAGTGGGTAGGAAGTTTGCCTTGCACACGGGATCCAGCCAGTGATCTAGGACTGGAATTCTGTCTCTCAAAGGTTTTCTGGGATCCTCACATGGATCCTGTATTTCATAGGCCATGATGCCTTTGGGCTGGTTTCACTTGGAAATGGTGTCCTTCCCAACCCCCAATTCCAAAGCTCCATATTTCCCTGCCTGCAGCAATTTGAATGAGAGTTTATATAGATGATTGCAGTTTTATGTCAGTTTATTTTGATGGCAAATTATCTAAGTCATATGACATTTAGCAATACTTATTAAAATTCCAAGTACATGTCACACATTTTACTGTCTCAAAACACTCCAATTTATTTTGTTTCGCATACTTAGTCCAAATGTTTTACAATTTGTTGCTGTCATTTTATTTGCAGTTCTAAAACACATAATCTCTGAGATTTTTGCTTTTTGTGTGCTCCTTTAGCACATTAAAATACAATAAATATAGATAAGATTTTGAGGTGTTATTAAGACACTCTAACAAATAGTCTCTTATCTACTGGAAACTGCCTTCCAGTAAAGCCCAGCAGGGCTGAGATGAGGGTGAGGTGAGAAAAACTCTTAAGCATTGAGCAAAACTGAGAGAAAAGCAAACAACTTTGTCCCCCATATAAATAATATCTTGAAGTACTATTTTGAAAGTCAAAATTAAAGTTCTGTCAGCCTCGGTGAGTCTTGCATCAAGCTGCACCTGAGACCACTTGATCTGTGCTGTATAGGTGCCAATGCCTACCGTTGGAATTTTCAGGAAACCACACATTTCAGATTTGGTGATACTTTTTTTTAATAAAACTTCAGGCTTGGTGATTTTTTTTTAATAAAATGAGAAAAAAAAAGACAAGTTTCTCCCAAGTACCATTCCTTTGATATTATTGCAAAACCAGGAAAAGAAAAAAAAATAGTGTAGTGAAATCATCCAATATCTATCCTTTCTAATTTCCCTGAAAAATGTGCCTGTCAGCAAGGCAGGCTGGGGGTTGTGGGGGGAGAATTTGGGAACATTGGTGATAGGAAGTTGACAGCAGTGGTGCGACGGGTGTGGGAATATTGTATGCCTCAAATTCTGTTATGAACAACTTTATAAATCACAGTGCCATGATATGAAAATTAAAACACCTAACTGACACTGTCACTGTCCTCCTGTTAGTCATCGATTTGCTCGAGCAGGCCCAGTAACGTCTCCATTTTGAGACTTATTGTTACTGTGTTTGGCATATTGAATACACCACGGGTAGCTTGCCAGGCTTTGCTGCGCTTGTGAGATACTCTCAGTAGCTTGCTGGGCTCTCCGAGATGGGCGGAGGAATCGAACTGGCTCGGCCAGCCTCGGCCATATCCTGCCCTGGTTCACTTAATGTTTTAGGGATTTGAAACATTATAAATTTGAGTACATTTGATAATTTGTACATAACACATTCGAAATCATATTTGTAGAGATGTAAAATATTTGGCTCTTTTACACTTTTTCTTATTCTGAGATAGTTATGAGAATGAGACCCATCATTGTTACTGGTATTTGGCATATTGGGTACGCCACGGGGAGTTTGCCAGACTCTGCCGTGTGGGCAGGCTATATTCGGTAGCCTGCCAGTTTGTCCAAAGTAGGAATGAGATGGATCTCATTCTCCTAAAGAGCCTTGAATATAATCTCAGGGCTAGGATGAAGGAGACGTTACTGGGGCCTGCTCGAGGCAATCGATGAATAACAGGATGATTTATGATTTTTTGTTGTGAGACAGTTATATTCAATAAAGCATTTAACTTACAATAAAATGAAATTTTTTTTAAAAAAGCCCAAAGCCAGGAGGACACATCCAAGGGCTTCCTCCGCCCCTCTCGGAGAGCCCAGGAAAACTACCGAGATTATCTTGCCTCACAGCAAAGCCTGGCAAACTCCCCCTGATGTATTCAATATGCCAAACACAGTAACAAGTCTCACAGTGTTACTGGGCCCGCTCAAGCAAATCGATGAACAACAGGAGGACAGTGACAGGACAGTGACAGTGATCCTGCCTCTGACCCACCTGGCCTATAACTGGTTTAGTTGCACTTTGGGAATACTGGTTGCCATTAAAAAGCCAATAAATTTCAAAGCTCACAAGTGTCTGAGAAAGGGAATATAAGAAACCAAATCCAGATTTGGGGCTGTGAGCCTGTAGATGTTTTGTTCCTGTTATTCCTACTTTGCTCTCACTACAGTCTGGCAAACAGCAGTATAAAAAAATCTTTTTTAAGAAAACGTTGCAGCTTCTACGAAATCAAAGAAGTCTAGAGATCACCAGAGTGAGGAGATGGATGGGAATCACTCGGGGTAGGCTTGGCTTATTTAGGAGAGTGGGTACCAAATTTATTTATTTTGGCTTATTTATTTATTTATTTATTTAGGAGAGTGGGTACCAAATTTATTTATTTTGGCTTATTTAGGAGAGTGTAGTACCAAAGGTGCTACAAAAAGGATATATTTCAGTAATCCAGTTAAGGATGTGGTTTAAAGAATATGATAAACAGCAACAGATTCCCCTTAAGTATTTCATAGAAAATTAGCCCTCCAAAATTTTAAAGACTAGATATTTAATCTCTTAATGAATGGATACTAAATAATCATATTGATATTCATTTACGAATAAGCAAACAATGCCTTTTATACTAAAGTGCATTCAGTTACAATGTTTGGAACTCTTGAGTCCCTACCTTCTGTTCCTTAATTCCACAACTTAACTTATAGTGTATCCGGCCACTTTCATACTGTCTTTTTGAAATGCAGTGGAATCTGGAGTTGGAGTTGGAATAATCCCCCCCCCCTTACAAAGTCTAAAGCACTTAACATATATTATCACTGAGACAGAGAATTTAAGTAATATGTTTTGTTCCTAGCATTTGAAATTGGTTCACCTGAATTGTAGTACAGGATTTGTTTGCAGGTGGGATGTGTCTCCCACAGATACTTCAACATAAATTACAGTTCCTGATAAAATGCCTGTTTCCATGAGTTACTCTGATTAAGGGCAGTGACTCATTTACACTAATACAAATTCAAGGCCCAGCACCAAGACAATTCACCATTCCTCCTCCTCCTCCTCATCTTAGTAGTGATTTCTCTTTTATATGCTCTGCTCTAGGCAGCTCTTTACCTTCACCCTCCCAGAACCTCCTCTTGGGAAGGTGGATTTAGAGTAGTGAATTCTTTACTGGAAGTGTCATCTGGGAAGCCTTGGTTTCTATGAGCGGTTGCACTTTGAGATGGTGGCTATCATCTTCATCTACATTTGCTCTGTTTTCTAGAAGCTTTTCTCTCTCCATCTCAAAGACATGCGCTTCCCTGCTTCCCCGCTCACCCTCTGCTCTTTCCCAGGCTCTTCCCTACAGCCTCACGCTTCTCTGAACCACTGGTGCCTTGGACTTTTTCCAGCTCCCTCACTCTGCTAGGCCGTGGCCCAGGACCTCGTGCTAGTTGCCTTTAGACTTAAAGAATGGATTGAATTGAGGCTTGCAATAGATGCGTCCACGCAAAGATGCCTAAGTTCCTTGATTGAACTTGTTGTTGCAGTAAGAGCAACAGAAGCAGCTGATGTTAAACACTGCTGGTTGGCCCGGAGCTGCTCCATTAGGGTAGACAGTCTTCCTTTAAAAAAAAAAAAAATTTAATGATTCGCCAAGATACAGTTACAAAGCTTTCATGATTGAGTTTCAGTCATACCATGATCGAACACCCATCCCTCCACCAGTGTACATTTTCCACCACAAATGTCCCCGATATCTCTCCTGCCACCCCTACCCCACCCCACCCCCTACCTCTATGGCAGACAATTTCCTTCTTATTCTCTCTCTATTTTTGAGCATTAAGGTTTGCAATACAGATACTGAGAGACCATCATGTCTGGTCCTTTTTCTACTTTCAGCACACATTTTCCTATCCCAAGCTATCCCTCCAACTACCATTGACTTAGTGATCCTTTCTCTATCCCAGCTGCCTTCTCCCCAAGCTGCCTTCTCCCCCAGCTCATAAGGCAGGCTTCCAACCATGGAGCAATTTTCCTGTCTCTACTGCCTTTGTATGTTAATCTCATAGTATGGTATTTTATATTCCACATAAAAGTGCAGTCCTATGTCTGTCCCTGTCTTTCTGACTCATTTCACTTAGCATAATACTCTTCATGACCATCCACTTATGAGCAAATTTCATGACTTTATCTGTCCTAACAACTGCGCAGTATTCCATTGTGTAGATGTACCATAGTTTCGTCAGCCAGTCTGGGTAGCAGGTCTTCTGACATTCCACAGATCTCTCAGTCAGGAGTCTGGAACTTCTTCACTGCTTTGACAGAATTTTCAGAAAGGCTGGAATCTCTGGCATCTGGCATCTGGTGACTGGTGATAAATAGACTGCTGGACCTCTCTCTTCACCTGAGCATTACCTGGAGGAATCTTTGTCAGCAAAAGAGGAGCAGACAGGCCCTCTAGTCTCAGTTGCAGAAACTTTTATACATCTTGATGGGATATACAGCCCTCTGGACCTGGGTGCACATTATCTCTTTAATTTATTGATTTCACCACCATTGGCACTCATTTGTATAGTTGGTGGAACTGCTTTGTTTGGATACAGTTGCTTGGTACTTGTCCATTTGATCCTCGATGGCAGTTTCCCATAGGTGGGGCAACTCCAGACTCCATCTACTCTCACTTTTTCTCCCAGCTGAATGCAAAAGATGACTCCTGGCCTGAGCCTATTTCCAAATTATCCAGAGAATAGCTGTTCTCAGAGATACCTCCTTCTACCAGTACTTGTGCTGCTTTGAATCGGAGAATCATATGAACACTACCAGAAGTGATCTCTGAACCAGATCCAGGAGTCCTGAGAACAGTTAGGCACAGTCAGCCTTGGACTTTTAGTTGACAACTAGGTTTCCGCTGTGTTGATTACAGCCAGGTTGACTGCCCTTCTAATAATATATTGGGTTTTCTTGGGTAAAGAATCAACTTCTGTATCCTTCTGAGTAGAGGGTCTCTCTCATCTGCTCTTCCTTCTCTCTCTACAAAACCTAGCACACACTTTGTGTTTCGTTTAGCCATTGTTTAACCTATTCTCAGTCCATAGATGCTCTGTTGGGCCTGACTAAGTTTTCTCTCATTTCACTACTATCTACAAATCAGTGTATTTCCGTCTAGATTTTGTAGTCTTTCACAGATCTTCAACCAGGTCTGGGTTGAAGAACTCAATATCACTGCTTACCTGAAATCTATGATGAACCTAAGGCTTAGTCTGATCCAGGAAAAGGAGCTGCTTCCTTCATACACTCTACTTTCATCTACCCTTGAAAGAATGTCATATTGATAAAGCTCAAGGGGTCCAAAGTATGGGAACACATAGCTCCCCCTATTCTGTTCGATTCTTGTGTACTCTCAAGAAAGATATCACAGAAAGCAGGACATGTTTTAAGCAGGATGTTATTTAAGAACTTAAAGGAAGCAAACACCCTGCTGGAATTGAAGTGTTTATTTAACACATTGCTACTGACACATGCCACCAGTGGCTCACACTTGAATGTGGTTTAACACAAATTGCAGTGCCAGCTGAAACATCTTAAGAGAAAGAGAAAGTAGCAAAGACACTCTCACAAGCATAGAAAGTGGGGTTCTAACAGGGTACACCCCCTACTGTCTTTGTTTCTTCCCTATTTCCTCTCATTTTCCTTCCCCAATGGGTCTTGATCAAGACTTGATCATGGTGCCAAGACTTGATCATAAAGTGTCATCATCATACAATGATCCGGAGTTCACACAGTCATCAGCTGAGATTGACCTATGCTTGCCTCCCACCCTCCTTGGGTCCCACCACCCCCAGGTGGTTGGATACCTTGCAGGATGTCCTCAAACTCCAGTGATGTTTTTGTTTTACTTTAAAATGTTTTATTGGGGGCTGGAGCAATAGCACAGTGGGTAGGGCGTTTGCCTTGTATGCGGCTGACCTGGGTTTGATTCCCAGCATCCCATATGGTCCCCTGAGCACCGCCAGGGATAATTCCTGAGTTCAGAGCCAGGAGTAACCCCTGTGCATCACCAGGTATGACCCAAAAAACAATAATAATAATAAATGTTTTATTAAGATAGTGTTGTTATTATGAGCAAAACTGCTCATAAAATAATTATTTCAGGCATACAATATTCCAGTGCCAATCCCATCACCAGTACCCCATCTCTCCACCAATGTTTCCAGGTTCCCTTACACCCACCAGTCTGCCCCCTTTTCAGGTATATAACAAATTTATTTCAAATTACTTGCTCCAACAAAACTTAGAGGAATGTCAAATGGTGTTACCATAAAATAAATCGATAAAAGCAAATTGCAATGGTTGATTGCCATATGATTTTTTTGCCTTTTGGGGTCACACTCAGCAATGCTCAGGGGTCACTCCTGGCTCTGCACTCAGGAATTACTCCTGGCGGTGCTTGGGGGACCATATGGGATACCAGGGATTGAACCCGGGTCGGCCACGTGCAAGACAAACGCTCTACCTGCTGTGCTATCGTTCCGGCCCCTGATTGCCATATGATTTTTAACCTGTATAAATAAATTCAAAAATTGGTGGGTTGAGTTTCCCTCCCCACCCCAAGCAGAGCCCCAGCAGCCAAAGACCTCTGGTACCCAACCACAACCATGCTCAAAGCCACTCTCCACACGCTCGAACAAGCCTCACCCATGAAGGAACAGGCAGAGCAACCCAGATGAGCAGGTGCTGGGGCTGAGATCTCCAAGCCTGCTCAGATTGGGACTGGACTTTCTCCACCCAGATGCCCCATTTTCCAGTAGCTAGGCGGTTACACCCACAAACTGTCCCCAGTGCCCTGAAACTCCATCAATGGCCAAGATGCAGAGACTATAAAACAAAACTCCCGGAAGCATATGTGTCCTCGCGACCTCTTATAGTCTAGTTCTCCTTCTCAGAGAACCCGGCAAGCTACCGAGAGTATCCTGCCCACACAGCAGAGCCTGGAAAGCTCCCGTGGCGTATTTGATATGCCAAAAATAGTAACAATAATGTGTCTCAATCCCCTGACCCTGAAAGAACCTCCAATGTGGCACTGTTGGGAAGGATGAGAAAGGAGAGACTGCTAAAATCTCAGGGCTGGGACAAATGCAGATGTTACTGGTGCCTGTTCAAGCAAATCGATGAATAACTGAATGACAGTGATACAGTGATATAAATAAATCAAATTCTGTATATAAAAGAAACTTACCATCTATGTCTGATAAGTTTCCTTTATATACAGTGATTTTTTAAAGAAAAAAAAACCTACATAAATTAGTACTGTTACCTGGCTTGGACCCTTGCTGCTGAGTAACCTCAACGTTGTTTGCCCTTCTCTATCCTGTCTCATGCTCCCATGACCTCACCCATACTATTTGCATGGGTATGTAATGACTCTTTATGACAGTGAAGGTTTCTGTGAGAAAATGGTTGCCAGAGGAGAGCTATTGTTAGGAGGATGTAAACGGTGGTTCTGGGGAGTATCAGAATTTGCCTAGGCTATTAGGAGAGATAGGCAGACTAGGTAGGTGACTTATACAAGTTTTCAGCCTAACAAAAAAGCCTGAGAAGAAGGTATGGAAACAGCATCTCTTTGGTTTGGGTAAAATTGAAAGAACATGCACAAGCAAATATCCTAGTGAAAGTGTTCACCTTTGTAATAATTTCAATCATCATTTTTTTAAGATAATGGGAAAATTCTTCTTTGGACTAGTTCAGTCAGGAGCATGGTGTTGCTTTGATGAATTTGAAAATATTAATATTGAAGTTCTTTCTGTGATCGCCTCACAAATCCAAACTATTAAAGCTGCAAAAGACAGCTTTTCTGTCAGGTATTTACTACATTTATACCTTTTGAATGAAATTCAAAAATTGAAATGCAAACTGTTTAATTATACAATAATTTTTTACAATAAGTGATTGAATTCTATTTTGTTTTGTTTGTTAATAAGTATAAAACAAAAGGAATGACACTTATCTTGAAAGTTTTCTTTGCTTAGCAAAAATTGTGTATATTTATATACCTAACTTTCGTGCCAACTTGGGGTAGTCAAATATTTGTGTCCTGAGTTACCAGGACAATGATGCAAACATATTCTACTGTTTTTTGAGATTAAATGTTCTTCCTACCTCTTTGTTTTATATTTTATTGAAAAACCCATTTTTTTTCATTTTAATTCTATGTCTCTTTTAAAAAGATACTGACTGGTTTACACACATGGCACTCCTCTTTTCCTATTAATCCAAATTAAAATACTTTAATTTAAAAATCTTATAATAACAAAACATATATTAGAGATAACATTGTTTACTAATTCAAGCATTTACTAACTTGACATTTTTTCCCTCTTCAGATAAATTTACGAATGCATGATTTACTTTAAGGGAATTATTGAATTTTTAAGGTTTAAATTTTCTATTGCAATTTAATATTTCTAATTAAAGCTAATAGATATTGACTGCTCTCTTTATTAAAGAATTGTGTTCAAATTCTTTTTTTTTCTTTTTGGGTCACACCTGATGATGCACAGGGGTTACTCCTGACTCTGCACTCAGGAATTATCCCTGGCGGTGCTCAGGGGACCATATGGGATGCTAGGAATCGAACCCAGGTTGGCCGCGTGCAAGGCAAATGCCCGACCCACTTTGCTATCACTCCAGTCCCTTGTGTTCAAATTCTTAAATCTATTATGACTAGAAGATGATGGGCAGGGTAAAGGGATATGACAGTAACCCACAGTTTTCCTGTTCTTTATCACATCTCAGTCCCTGCAAACTTCTCCTCAATTGTACCCAGAGAGTGCTCTGGTTTTGTCTCTATTTTTCTTCCTTTTCTGTTTTGATGACCCTACTTGGTATCAGCTGCCCATGAGATCACTAGAGGATTTCTCTCCATTGTCTCTATCTCTGGTACCAACAGTACAACCATTACACATGCCATTATGAACTCTGTTTCAAAGTATTACCAAAGCTGTTTAGCTGGAATTAGGAGACAGACTTTGTTCCATGCTAATACAATAAATAAGTTTGTGCTGCACCCATTTTGCATTCCACTATGGCACCACCCTGAAGAGTCCTATGCCAAGGAATTTTTCCCTAAGTCTTTTTATTCAGATGGGCACCTACCAGCCTCAGTCCTGCCAAAACCTGGGCATCTTCAAACATGATCAAAATATCTAAATACTAAAAGGACTAACAACTTTGATTTGAAATAAGCCTCTTCTTTCCCCTCATGTTGTTTCCTCTCACCTATTCTACTTTTATTTAAATATAGCATTGCCTTACTATAGTTCCCGAACTTGTAGTTTTAACATGATTACCTAGAAAAAAGTTATTTTAATAATATTATTATAATAATGTCTTATAGGTTTGTATTGGAAGGAAATGAAATTCGTATCAATATGTCCTGTGCAATATTTATCACCATAAATTCTGAGTAAGTGTCCTCTAATATGTGGTGTTCATAGACATGGAATAAAATCTTGCCAAATCTTACCCATAGAGAGATATCTTTATCACTGACCTTCCGCCATCTTTCCTCTACCCACATTGTTTACAGAAACCTATAATTCTGCACTTATCCATGATTTCCTCTTAAGCTTTTGACAAGGAACACTCTCACTTTATGAACAACCAAAAAGAAAGTCAGAATTGTTAATTATCAAGGGAGAGACAGGGAGGAGTAGGTGGAATGAAACTGTGATGGTGACAGAAAGGTGGGGGGTGCTCAGTATACCAACTAAATATTTGTTGGTGGCATATTATGATGGCCCTGGGAATCAGAGAAACTGGTGTGAGGTGAATTGGGGGAAAGAAACTATAAGAAAATAGTATAAATGAGGGAGCTATATGAAATGAAAGTAGAATCCATCTTATAACATTGTGCTCAGAGAACTGGAGAGAGTTCAGAGATTAGATGTTTTGCCTTAACCAGTCAACACCAGTTTGATCCCTGCCAGCATAAATGGTTCCCCAACCTCTGCCGGAATTCACCCTAAATCAGAGTCAGGAGTTTCCCTTTGAGCATTTCTGAGTATGCCCCCCAAAATGACAAAACACTGTGTTCAGATTAAGCTCAAGAGGAAATGTATTATTTGGGAAGAATAATGTTGTGTGGTTGCTCATGTAAAAGTGGTGTTTTATGTTTCTTTGTTTTCTTTATCATCTTAGATGCAATGATAGAAGAGAACTTCCAGATAACTTAATATTTCTATTTCGCCCAGTGTCATTGATGGCACCACATTCTGAAATGATTGTTGAAGTAGCACTATTTTCAGTTGGTTTTAAATCTGCAAAATCACTCTCTGAAAAGCTAATAAACATTTATGAATTGGCTAGCAAACAAATTCCACAACAGGTAATGAACTACTTTTCTCAAAATAGATATGATTCTATGGGATCTGGAGAGAGAGAGTATAGCTGGTAAGGCATTTATTTTTCTTGCATGCAACCCACCCAGGGTTCAATCCTGACATCCTATAAGGTCTCCTTTTCACCGCCAAGAGTAATTATCGATTGCAGACACAGGAATAACCCCTGAGCATTACCAGTGTGATCCAAACAAATTAAATTTTAAAAATAAATTATTCTATAAAATTTGGGGTGGGGGATAGATTCCCAAGTTGTACCCAAGAAGCCTCTGGCCCCTTCTGGAGAGTCTTTGACAATAAAACCTGGCAATATTTTTTGTTGGGAAGGACCTCCAGAGTCATGCCCAGTAGTTATCAGGAACCTCTAGGCCTACACCAGGAGATGCTCAGAAGAACTTGTGATACCTGGAATCTTATTGGGGTCAGCCACATGCAAGGCATATTCCTTAACTCCTATATAATTTCTCCAGCCTGTGATTTTATAAAATTTTATATAACATTTTACTGTACTGGTCCATTGTAAATAACTGATCCTGGAAAAATAATGAAACTAGAATTATTATTAATACATGAACTCTGTGTGCCAACTTAAATAAAAGGCAATACTTAAAATTGGTAAAGTTTTCAAGCATCTTTTAAGATCTGAAGAAGGAAATCAAGCATCCATTATTTTTAAATTCTAGACCACCTTCCCTCTATGAGAAAGAGCATTAATTCTAAAGTTCTTACTTTCATCAAAATAATTTGGAGGAATATATTTAGGTCAAAAATCAAAAACTGAGTTTTTCAATGAAATATAAAACAAAGAGGTGGGAAGAACATTTAATCTCAAAAAGAAGAGTAGAATGTGTTTGCATTATTGTCCTGGTTACTCAGGAGACTGTACTAAACTTGGGCAAATATTTGACTACCCCAAGTTGGCACAAAAGTTAGGTATATAAATTTTCATATTATTTAATTTTCAAATTATTATTAAACAAAGGAGACCATCAACATAAATGTCATTCCTTTTAATTTATACTTAATAAAAAACAATTCAGTCATTTATTGTAGAAAATTATTTGAATAATTAAACAGTAAGTTTCATTCAAAAGGTAAAAATGCAGTAAATACCTGACAGAAAAGCTGTCTTTTTCAGCTTTAGTAGTTTGGATTTGTGAGGCAATCACAGAACGAACTTCAATATTAACTTTTCACCAATTTCTGGGCCTTCCCACCAACTTACTCATTAACTAGACGGGATTATTTTTTTCTCTTCTTTTAGAAAATATTTATTTTTCCCCACTTCATTTAAATATTGAGGCTTACAGAGTTCTTCATAATGATTTGTTCCAGGCATTTCCAGGCATTCAGTATTCCAACATCACTCCCACCACTGTCACCTTTCCTCCACCATTGTTTCCATTTTCCCAACCACCTCTCAAGCCCGCCCCCACAGCAAGCCAACAACAATTTATTTTATACTGCTTGTTATCACTAAATGGCTAACGGAATGACCAAAAATATTTCTGTAGAAAAAAATTTGTGACAATTGTATCTCACCATGGGAACATTAAGTCCTTGTTAACGTTAAAGGGTTTACTAAGCTGTTGTTGCAAATTAAGTCTTCCATAATGCTTTTGTTGGTTGAGATTGGTTGACTTCTATGTTACATTCTCACCAGTTTGGTGTGCTACTACTGGGATGTCAGTGTTTTAGAGTTTGGATACATTCCTCCAGAAAACCCAGACTATTCAATGGGCCAGTTCAGCTGAAGTATGGCAGCACTTTGGGGTATGGGTGTGGCTGCCCAGGCATCTAAAAGTATGGGGAGGTGTGGGGGAGGCAGTCCATTTCGACTCTGAGAAGGCCTGGAGTTTTTAGAGGGAAAATAAGTATACCTGAATTTTCGGCAGATTAGGTTCTCTATGGAGCTCAGTCCTGAGGTGGTAGAGTCCGGCCAGAGGCATGGTGGAGGCTTTGGGGTATGGGAACAGCTGCCACTGCTTTGGTAGGGAAGGCACTGTCCTGTTCCATATATGAGCCTAGTTTCTAGGAAACTCTCAAATGTTTCTGATAATACTGATCCGAGTGCTATACTTTGAATGTTTTTGTCCTAGGATATGCCAACACACATCAGTGTGTGTGTGGTCCATAATGTTTTGGATAACTATATTTTCACCAAGGTGCTCTGCTTTTTAATATTCTTACACTTAATCTCTTTAAATTCTTAAAATTTTTCAGAGGAAATTAATTAGAATATTGATAGTTTTTAACCTTTAATACTTGTTACTTTTTATTTTATTAAATTTATTATTTTTAATTGAATCACCATGAGATTCAGAGTTACAAAGGTGTTCATAGATAGATAGATAGATAGATAGATAGATAGATAGAACTTCTCTTCCATTTATTCCCTCAAATAAAGTATTTCCTTGCTGAACTTTAGTCTGGTTGATCTATTCAAAGGTTGAAAAATAGTTGTTGAAGTCTCCAAATACTGCTGTCTTGCTATCAGTGTCTTTCTCCAAGTGTATTCATAGTTGTTTTAAGCATTTTGTTGGTTCCCTCATTAGGTGCATATACATTTAGGAGTATGAGTTCTTCCAGGTGTACTATTCCTTGATCATTAAGAAATGTTCTTCACTGTCTCTTTTAATCTTCTTCAGCCTGAAGTCTATGTCGTTTGATACCATGTCTGATACTATGGCCACCCTGGATTTTTTGAGGGGATTGTTTGCTTGGAAAATTGTTTTCCAGCAATTTTTGACTTAGAGCCTATGCTTGACTTAGAGCCTGTGCTTTCTTTGATTGTTCAGATGTGTTTCTTGCAAGGAGCAGAATGTCGGGTTCAATTTTCTAATCCATCCTGTCACTCTGTTCCTCTTGAATGGTACATTTAGTCCATTGACATTGGGAGAGATTATTGTGGTGGAGATTTGTCTTTATGTAGGAACTTGGTGTACTTGTGGGGCTTGTCTTATCTTAAAGTAACCCATTTATTTCTTCTTGTAATATTGGCTTTGTTTCTATGAAGTGCCTGAATTGTTCTTTATCTGTGAAGTTGTGTATTATTACTTCAAATCTGAATAAGAGTCTGGGTGGGTAATGTGTTTTTAGTGAAACGTTCATTTCATTAAGTTTGTTCACTATATCTCACCATTGTCTTCGGACCCAGAGGATTTCATCCAATAAGTCTGCTGTGAATCTTAGGAATGCCCCATTAAAAGCAATTTCCTTTTTTGATTTTGCTGTTTTCAGGATTCTATCTCTATCTGTGATTTTTTATCATTCTGAGTAGGATGTGTTTGGGAATATTATCAGCAATGATAGCTTTGACAGCTGCTTCTATGGTACTCCAATGATTCTTATGTTGTTCCTCTAGGCATCATCCTAATGTTGTCTTGCCATCTGTTGGTTTATTTTGAGGCTCTTTTCCATTTTCTGCTGTTCTCTGGAGATTCTTTGCACTTTATCTTGGAGCCCTCTGGTTCTGTCCTCAGCAGCTATTACTCTGCTGCTGAGCCTTCCAGTGAGGTTTTTATTTCACCTACCAGATTTTTCAGATCTGTCATTTCTGCTTGTATTTTCTTATTTCTGCTCTCATTTCCTCCCATATTTTATTGGCAGTGCATTACATTGTTTCTTTGAGTTCCTTGTGCATCCTTAATAGTTCCATTCTAAATTCCTTTTCAGAGAGGTTGTATAGCTCATTATTACTGGTTGGGGCCATTAGGCTAGCTTCTTCACTCACTAAGCCTGGTGGGTTTCTGCATTGCTTTACCATTGCAACCTCTGCAGTTTGGAGTTACTTCCTGCTTGCATTTGTGTGGTTAGAAGCCTAAGTTAGGATGCCCTTATATGTTTAGGGTGAGTTATGAATTGGTGAAAAAATGCACAGCCATATTTCAGGGGTACCTGTTAAAGAAGAATATCTCCCCTGGCTCCAAAAGCCAGTCCCAATGCACGCTGATCAGCTCCAGGATCCTGTCTCTTCATTACTCTTTTATTGATTGATTGATTGATTGATTTTTTGCTTTTTGGGTCACACCCGGCAATGCTCAGGGGTTACTCCTGGCTCTGCACTCAGGAATTACTCCTGGCGGTGCTCAGGGGACCATATGGGATGCTGGGATTCGAGTCCAGGTTGGCTGCGTGCAAGGCAAATGCCCTACCCACTGTGCTATCGCTCCAGCCCCGTTACTCTTTCTTTTAAAAAGACTTTTAGCAATCCAAATTTAGGAGAGACATGAAAATATCACAAATAGAATTAAAATGTTTTCTTAGCCATTTATTCTATGTGCTTATTTCCAAATTGTTTTACTTTTTTCCTTTAGAAATGTAATAAATAAAAAATTAATATTTGATAGGTCTTTTATAATTTTGGCCTGAAGAATCTGAAGACAATTGTAACAATGGCTGGAAAGAAGATATCAGAGTTTAAAAGGTCAGTCATTTTTAATTGAGTGGTTGGCTAAAAAGAGTCATACAACACTGGAGAAAAATGTTAAGCTTTAATGATGACAAGTTAAACAGAAAGCTCTCTAAGTGTCACAGTAAAATATAATTTTTTAAGAATATAAAAATTTAAAAATTAAAAATAAAATAAAAAATAATATGAAAGAATGGAATGTAAAATACATAACATTCCTGGGTGAGTTCCCTCAAAAAGAGCTATTCTTAAAGATTGGGCCTAATCTTTATATAATAAAAGTGGTGCTGTAAGGAAAGATCCCATGGATAGAGCAATAATGTAATGATCAATGTAAAATCAATATAAATATACCGGAGAAATGTGCAAAATCCATTTTGAAAAACTAATGACTTTTTTACAACATGAAGGAAAGACACAAAAATTGAATAAAGAAAATAAATATACTACACAGTTAATACCAAAACAAACAGCAAAATATCTTAAAGGATTATTAGCACATAAAGATTTAAAGTACTTTAAATGGTAATTTATGAATGCAACTTCAGAAAAATATTAAAAGGCATTGTTTGCTTACTTTTACACTAGCTGATTTAAAGTTCATTCAGAAAAATAAGCAACTAGACTACCTAGAAACACACTGAAAGATAAATGAGGAATGAATATCTTTCTAAGTTCTAAGACACCAAACTTTGATAATTAGATCCAGGAAAATAGCTAAATGGGCTGAAGCATATGCCCTGCTTGCAGAGGCTGATGTGATCCTGGTAGCCCCAAGCGCTAAGCATTACATAGCCAGCCTGAGCATTCAAATTTCTGGTCCCCAGTCAGCCTATGTATCACTGAGATTATCTCCCACGTTTGTGCAAACTTACACACATACACACATACACACACACACACACACAAATAAAATTTGATATGCATAGAAAGACCTGAATTGACATCAGTACTAACTCAATACACATTTCCCATTGGAACAGTGAAGTAATTATGAATATGACCTTTGAAGTTAGAGTCCTCATTAAACTGCACTTTAGACACTTAACAGCATGTGACATTGTCATGTTATTTAATATTTCTGAATATCACTCCTCTACTTCTTTGGCTATTGAAAGATTAATTAAAAACGACCTTGAATACATTAAGTTCCTATCTAAAATTGTTCAGTAAATATTGCTAATTATTACTTGTATCTATTATGGATCAAATCTTTTAAAAATATGTCCATCATGATGAAGAGTTTCAGATATTGATAAAGAAGAGGATGTGAGGAATACTTTTGCAGGGAAAAGTTCTTTTTTCCTACCAGTGGACTAGACAGTAAGGTACTAATACTGACAGTATTAGTACTAAGACAGACAGTACTAATAAGGTGTTTGCCTTATAGTTGGTTCACCAAGGACAGTCCCAGGCATCACATTCCCAAAGCCCTGAGCAGATATAGTCCAAAAAACAAAAAATAGCTCAAAAAACAAAAAATAAAAGTGAAGCACCATTAATTTGATTTTCTTCTATTACATGCTTATAAAACTACATACCATGCTTAATTATGAAATATTGCTATTATGGAAGAATGTGTGTGTTCTAAAACAACTTACTATATCAGAAGGCTTTTATTGCAATTAGAAAACTCAAGTTCACTTTAACAGCAGAAAGAATTTACTGTTTCACCCAATCAGGAAATTTACCTGTGGGTTAGGATTTGAGTTTTATATTTCTGGGATATTCTCAGCACTTGCATACCCCCATCCCACCCCACCCTGCCCCCATGGACTAGCATTTCTTTAGGTTAGCTTCCTTTTGGGTAGCAAAAATGGTTTCTAATGATAACTGAAACTATTGAAACTTCTAAACTGAAGTACACATCACTCTGCATGAGCTTGTCATCTGTCTAGTTCTAATCACCAGGTTCAAGTAATTTACTGTAGACTAGAACTGCCATTTTGAAAAATTAATTGGTATAGTATATTATAGAGCATACTTGATTTCTAAAATTCCTTCATATCTATGACTTGACTTGCACACAGAACCCTGGAAATTCAGAGATGATTACTGTTGAATAATGAATCTCAAATGATTGATAAAAGAAATGCACAGAGTCCATCTGGCAAAACTCACTCTAGTGGTAGTAACTGCAGTCAGTTAACAGTAATAGCCTGAGCAACTAGCAATTACAGAGCCAGCCTCTGTCAATAATAGTCACATAGGACTAGTTTCGTTAACATCACCTTCGCAATTGTTCCCAGCTACAACACCCACAATTGATCCTCCTAGAGATTTTTAATAAGTAAATCATGGTTTTTGTTTCCATCAGATAGTAGCCTCAATTTATTTCTGTTGTTTACAATTTTTAAAACCTTACTGGCATAATTTCCATCCCTGAGTCAGGTCCTCAAGCTGTGGCACGCCCGTGACTGCTCCAATCGAAGATATTGTTGAAGCTGGGGAATCACATTAATCTCACCCAAATTATATAGGTATTTTGCACGGAAGACAAAGAGGAAAGGACATTGCTCCCTATTTTTAAAAGACCATTAATGTCAACAAAGTGTACTTGCTAACTTGTTCTTTATGTACCTTTTCTTCTACCATTTAAGTACCACCAGTGACTCTCTTTCTGAAGAAATTGAAGCTATGATGCTGGTTGAGGCTGTGAAAGAAATTAGTATACCAAAATTTCATCATGAAGATATCATACTTTTTGAAAAGATCATAAGAGATGTTTTTCGTGAAGCAGTATTTTCAAGGGAAAATGACATCCCTTTGGAGGTAAAAAGATCTTTGAAAATTATCACGAATGTCTAGATATGGAATGTCAAATAAAATTGGAGACTAGATATTCATTTAAAATGTTATTCTTTAAATGTTCACGTTTGGGAGGTCAAAAATGCATATATTTTCAGATTTATTTTATACCCTAGGTATGAAGGGAGAACTTTCAGTACCTTATAAACTTATGGGAAGAGAAACAAACTAGACACCTATGGAGAAAAAAGGCTGTTAGATATTTTATTGCTCAATTTTCTCATCTTTCAAATAGAAATGGTAATGTAATCCTCTTACTTTAAAGGATTGCCTTGAGAACCAAGTTAGATCAGAGTTGTGATCAAATGCTTTTAAACGTAAACATTGTGTGATCTTTAAAAATAATTTAAATTAATATTAATTTTTTATTACAGTTGGAAAGCTCTTAATGTTTTCTCTTATGTAGACAACCTGACTGTCATTGCCTTAGTGTGAAAAGGATCTCAATATCTATTGCCATTATTAGACAGTTTCTTCCCACTCCCTACATTCTAAAAATGTTTTCATATAGTCACCAGAGTTGATCGATGATATCAGCAATCCATTGTGATCAGTGCTGCCTGAATTTGGATCTCAATTTCAAACCTAAAGTAACTCCCTTCACCTTTTACAATCTAGGCAGTTTGAATTTTCTTTTCTACAAATCTCTATTCTATATATTTTTTATCTCCATTCTTCCCTTACCTCCATATTCTTTGCCCTCTCTTTTTAAAAACAGAAACATGATTTGATAGTATTACTATTAATGTTTTTGGTATGCAATGTTTAATATCATATCCATGACCAAACTGATAACATCTCCCCACTACTGACCCTGGGTCCCTCCTTTTCCCTATTCCACCCTCTACTTCACAGCCTCAGTTCTGTAGGCATAATCTGAGGTTTCTTCTCATTAGTCAATAATTATTCCCTTTGTCTATTTCCTCATTTTGTTTATTTATATTTCATGTATCACTGTCATCCCACTGTTCATTGGTTTACTCGAGCGGGCACCAGTAACATCTCCATTCTTTCCAGCCCTGAGATTTTAGCAGTCTCTCCTTACTCGTCTTTCCCAACATTGCCATATTGGAGGCTCTTTGAGGGACAGAGGAATGAGATCCGTTATTGTTACTGTTTTTGGCATATCGAATACGCCACGGGTATCTTGCCAGGCTCTGCCATTTATACTCCACAAATAAGTGAAACCATTTAGTATTTGCCATCCTCCTAATTCACTTTGCTTAGTATGAGGCCCTCCAGTTCTCTCCAGGAAGCAGTGAACTGCAAGCGCTTATCATTTCATATAGCTAAACATTCCATTTGTATCTGTTCCCCTTTTTTTTAATATACTTGTTTTTGTCTGGGTACTTGGATTATTTTCAAAGTTTGGCTATTATAAATAGCACTTCAATAAATACATATTATGAATTTTCAATGAATGTTCTTGTCTATTTGAGATAAATGCCAAGGAGTGGAAATGGCAGCTCTATATAGCCAATAGAATTGGCTGTTCTATTTTTAACATTTTTAGAAAACTTTCTTTGCTGTAGAGTTAGAACCAGATGACAATCCCAGTTGTGGAAGACAGTTCCTTTATTCTCTGCATCTCCACCAGCACTTGTCTTTCACAAGCTTTTTGAAAGCTTATGAATGAATGAATGAATGAATGAATGAATCATTTTCATTAGCACTGTCTGTAACACTGTCCTCTTGCTGTTCATCAATTTGCTCGAGCGGGCACCAGTAATGTCTCCATTATGAGACTTGTTGTTACTGTTTTTGGCATATCGAATACACCACGGGGAGCTTGCCAGGCTCTGCCATGTGGGCGGTATAATCTTGGTAGTTTGCCGGGCTCTCTGAGAGGGACAGAGGAATCGAACCGGGATCGACGATGTACAAGGCAAACTCCCTACCCACTGTGCTATCGCTCCAGCCCATTTTTATTTTCATTAATGTGAAACTAAATCTAATTGTTGTTTTAATTGGTATTTCCCTAATAATCAGTGTGGATAAATTCCTTTTCAAGTGCCCATTGGCAGTGTTTCTGCTCTTTGTGGAAAAGATTCTTCAGGTCCTCTCTTGTTCTTAATGGAGTTATTTAATTTCTTTGTTTTGCTTTTACTTTCTTTTAGGGGGTGAGGAGGTGGGCCACACCTGGTTCTAAACTCAAGAATTACTGTGCTCAGGGAACCATGTGAGGTTCTGAGAATCTCATCAGACAAATGCTTTAACCCTGGCACAATCTCTCTGGCCTCAATGATTCCTTACTTGCTGAATTTCTGTCTCTCTATAGTTTTTGCATTCTGATTATTATTATTATTATTATTATTATTATTAGAGTTTCACTATTTGTATGTTTTCACTGAAAACCTTCTTGCCTCATTGAGGACTATTATTCTCAATGCTGGGAAATTGTTAGATATTTCTTTAACTAGTAGTTCTTCATTGAATTTGTCTTCCCTTTTTTTCGAGGATCCATTTTAATTCTTATAATTTCCTGTGCTTTGGTGACTACCTGCACTTTCTAAGAGTTTACAGAACTAGTGGGTATTAGTAGAATCTTCTGTGTTATTATTTTTACACATTAAGTTTGGTGGGATTTTATGTTTTCCCCATTGTTTGCTGTGTTCCCATTGCGCTGAGGGTGAATCTTTGTAGTTAGCCACCCTGGAAATCTCTTGAGTATTGTGTGTTGCTCTTTTTCCTTCTCTACCTGACTTCACCTGTGACAGGAAGTAAAAGCGTGAGTTGTGTAATGTGGGATGGGTAAAGTTGTCATGGGTCTGCATATGTAGCCATGCAGCTCCCGAGAATTGGAGAATTGGAGGTGACCTGCTGAGAAAATAGTGCAGGAGGTTGGGCATGGAAGCTGCAAAGACTCACCTAGGAGAGAAGGGAGTCTGCTTTCTGAGCAATAAAGGCCCCAGGATTTATCTCTGAGTTTTCAATTCTATTCTCCTGAATCCGTTAACTTCTGCATGAGAAATACAGTCCTTTGTGATGGTATGTGATCATGAATATCTAGTATAGTGTTATAGCCAGACAGTAATCATGATAATCTGAAAAGGGTAAGTTCAATCAATAGCTTGATTCTGGGTTATCTGATCAAAAACTAGATGCTCACAATGGGTCCATGAATAACTCAAAGTAAGATAGTTTGATCAACACTCACACTTTTTTCCTACAGTTCACACTCCCAAAGAGGACTCTAGTTTTCCAAACAGCTAGACCATAGACCATTGGATGTCAAACATTCTTCCCAATAAGCAGAATGACAAGTCTCCTTTGTTTTGTTTCATGACATTATTAGTAACAGTCAGAAGAAGTTATTAGGAATCACTGAGACACTTTAAAAGATTTAGCAACTGACTCTTTCCCCAATTGCCTTAGTCCACTTGAGAGTACTATTACAAAATACTATAAACTTGGATAACCTAAGTCTAATACATTTATTTCTCACAGTTCTTCAGGCTGAGAAGGTTAAGATCAAAGTATTGACAAACTTGGTCCCTGGTGAGAAACCTCTTCCTGACATGCAATCACTGTATTTTCACATAGTAGGGAGAGATTAATTTCTGGTCATTTTTCTTATTTTGCCAAGGTTCTATCATGTAAACCTTTTCTCAGAAGTGTAATACCCTTGGTTCAGTCTCTGGCACAATAAAGTATAAGAGCTATTTTAATTTTTAATATTTGGTACTATATGGAAATACTTGTAGGATTATATATTTAGAATCTAATTTACAGAGCATTTTAGATTAATATATTTATTTCCTTTTAGAGAGCAATACCTATTGTAGTACAACAAATGGAATTTGAGAAATTGCCTGCTCAGAAAGATAAAATTTTACAGCTTTATACTCAACTTCAGGTAAGTATATAATATTAACAATAAGTTGTCATTTTCACTCCAGGGTTTTTGTTGTTGTTATTGTTTCTTTATGTTTTGGGTCACTCAGGGTTGTGCCTATGGATTACTCTATTCAGGGATCACTCCTGATAGTGCATGGGACCTTATGAAGATCTAGGAATTAAACTGGGATAGAGCATTGCAAAGCAAACACCTTACCCCTATACTATCTCTTTTACAGCTGCTCTTGGGTTTTAATAGGTAGGATGAAGGAGGAAAATATAATAATATTAAGAGTCATCACATTGTCCTTCAAAGCAGTTTCAATCTCTAGATTTTGCTACACAATCCCCCACATTAACTCTCAATAAATTGATTTTTATGCTTTAATCTCTATAATAAATCATTGTAAAACTCTCTACAAATGTGATATAAGGTGTTCACTATTCTAGTGAGCTCCAGTCTCTCGTCCTTTTCTTCTAATGATATATTTCATCATAGGATCCCATCCCCACAACCTAAAAATACTCTCATCACCTACCAAATTTGCTACCTCTAATTACCATTGGATAGGACTTCAAGATTTGAATTGTAATGTGATGCAAATATTCAGTGCATAACACCAAGGTACTTGTAGTTGAGATGGAGACAAGATGATGATATCAAGCAAAGATTCATAAGACTTAAGGGGAAGAAAAAAAGATTAGTATGCTACTTGAGACAATCAGTGTATAGTAGTTTTGGGGGTCGGGGGAAGAGAAGCCACAACATTTTTACAGTAACATATTAGACTGGCAGTGCTGGCAATGCAGCAGAATCCAGGAAAAGAATTCACAACGCCTGCCTGTCCTTCACCAACTACAAGACCAAGATGACTGTCCTCTGACATCCTGATGGATCTATCCAATCTTCCAGAAGGCAATGGAGAAGATTATCCATAACTTCTACTCGGATCACTTCAATAGCCACGTCCACCTGCCCACACACCAAATTCTGCAGATGGATATGTCGTTCCCAACGTTCTCCCTTTCGAAATCTGACACAACATTTCTTCAGTAAAGAAGAGAACAGCACCCAGCCCAGACAAGATCAGACCCGAACACCTGAAGAACCTGCGTCAGTACTCATCAATACACTGGCTCAGCTCTTCACACGCTACCTGTCTGATGCAAGTTTCCATCCCAGTGGAAAACCAGCAGGACTGTACTACTGTACAAGAAAGGAGACATCCATGACATTGGAAACTGTCACCTGATCTGCCTGTTGTCTGTCGTCTACAAGCTGTTCACTCGAGTCATCCTGAATAGGATTGGTGGAACACTAGATGAAGGACAACCATGCAAGCAAGCCAGGTTCCGCAAAGGATTCAGCACAATCAACCATATTCACACGATAACCAAGCTCATTGAGGTTTCTAGGGAGTCCAAGATGCCATTCTGTCTAACATTCATTGATTTAAAGAAAGCCTTTGATTCTGTTGAGATGGAAGTGGTCATCGAATGCCTAGCCAATCAAGGCATTCAAACTCAATATATCAGGATCCTCCATGAGATGTATTACAGATTCACTACCAGGATCTCACCATTCTACAAGGAAGTGATCATCCATTGTCAAGAGAGAGGTTCGGCAGGGTGATACCATTTCACCGAAACTCTTCAGTGCCACCCTCGAGAACATCATGCGACGACTGGAATGGCAAGGAATGGGAGTGAAGATAGATGGTCGGAAATTATATCACCTCCGCTTCACTGATCACATCGTTCTAATAACAACCAAACATTAGCCAGGTGGCACAAATGCTGGTCAACTTTGATCATGAGTGTGGAAAAGTTGGACTACAGCTGAATCTCACAAAGACAATGTTTATGGGAAATGGTCTCATTTCGAACATTCCATTTGCTCTCAATGGGGTGAACATCTTCGAATGCAACAGCTATGTGTACCTAGGTCGAGAAGTCAACATGACAAATGACCTGGCACCTGAGTTGTGCAGGAGGAAGAAAGCAGCTTAGAATGCCTTCAAGAGGGTCGAAGAAATAGCTAAGAGGACCAAGAACCTCTGGCTTCGGGCTCATCTCTTCGGTTCCACTGTTCTTCCTGCACTAACATATGCCTCAGAAACCTGGGCTCTACGAAAACAGGATTTTCGCTATTCAGGTTTCCCAAAGAGGAATCGAAAGAGCTATGCTTGGAGTATTACGCTTCACTCAAGTGAGAGAAAGAATCCAGAGTTTCAACCTCCATCGACGATCAAGAATCAGGGACACTGTCTTGCTTGTCAAGGCATGAAAAATCAGATGGACTGGATACGTAATGAGATTTGGAGATGACCGCTGGACTGCACCATTACCAACTGGATTCCACAGGACGTCAAAAGATCACGTGGCCGCCCACCTACGAGATGATCAGACTTCTTCGTCAAGTCCCTGAACGATCGGTTTGAGGCTCTTCGTGTTCCTAGAATGAGCAGATGCCATTGGGTTACACTAGCATGTGACAGGGACAAATGGAGACATTATTGGCACCTGCTCAAGCAAATCAATGAGTAACGGGATGTCAAGTGATCAAATGATCAAGTGAACATATTAGACTATGTAGACTTTTGAAATTAGGTTGACTGAAAATTATGAGATATACAAATGTAAATATGTATATGCAAATAGTAGCACTGTAGCACTGTCCATAGCACTGTCCTCCCGTTGTTCATCGATTTGCTCGAGTGGGCCCCGTAATATTGTGAGACTTGTTACTGTGTTTGTCATATCAAATATGTCACAGGTAGCTTTGCCGTGCAGGTGAGATATTCTCAGTATCTTGCTGGGCTCTCCAAGAGGGGAGGAGGAATCAATCTCAGGTCAGCTGCATCGGCATTGCGCAAGGCAAAGTCCCTATTCTCTGTGCTATCACTCTAGCCCATCAATTTTTCAATCTATCACTTAGACCAAATAATGGTTTAAATATATTCATTAGGGAGTATTAAATTTAGTTGAAATTCAAGTCATTGTTCAAGACATTCATGCGATTGATGATATTGACTAGGAACAATGTAGAAGAAAGAACTCAAGGATGGATTAAGATTAGCATAGAAAGGACCATAAGAACTCAACAGAATGATAAAATAGAGAAAAGCACATATTTATACTATCAGAGAAATCAATGTAGAGTAGAATCAATTTAGAGAGAATGTGAGAGATAAGTTGTATTTAATATGGAGAATTGATTTTTTTCTTTAAAAATTAAAGTTAGGAGATTTTCTGGTGATATTTTTAGCTTAGTCAATAAGAAAATCTGAATTATTATACAGTAAAAAAACTTTGGAGAAAGAACTCATGGGTGTATTGTGAGATGTATTTGAATATATAAGAAACTTCAGGTTTCAGTTTAACTGAATCATCATAAACCAAAATTAAATCATGACTGCAATTTTGTTTTAGGCTTTTGTTGGTGTGATGTTAGTAGGTCCAACAGGTGGAGGAAAGACAGCAGTCAGAAAAATTTTAAAAAGAGCATTAACGCTATTACCAGTTATAGATGTATCAACAACTGAAGACGTCAATTTTGTTTCACAAGTAAATATTCATTTTTAAGTTTTTTTAATTTTATAAAGTAGTTTACAATATTTTATTACATGTAATATTCAAATACCAATCCCACCACGATTACACTTTCCCACCACCGTATTTTGGATGTTTCCATACCAAACACCAATCCCTGCCACAAAGAAAAACCAAAATAATGTATTTTGTATTGTTTGTTATGAAGAACTGCTGAAAATGCTACAAAAAAGTATCCTTAGAGGAAAGAGTGTGGAAGTTGTTTTATTTCATACAAGGGCCATTAAGCCCTTCTATAAGAGATCACTAACATGTTGTTAAAGGTTGAGTCTTGTGTGCTTTCTCTCTCTCTCTGTCTCTCTGTCTCTCTCTCTCTATATATATATATATACAATTGTAATTTTTTCTTTTCTGGTATCTCTAATATATAGAGAGAGAAAGCATACAAGGCTTTATATATATGTATATATATATATATATATATATATATAAATGTATATTTCCCTCTAAGATTGGTTGCCTTCTACTTTGAACCTATTAAATGTGGTACAGTAATATTGGAGTATGGGTAAGGTGTTTGGTTTGAAGTATCGAGCAGCTGCTCAGTCCAGAAATAGATTCATTCATGGGTGAAGCTTGGCCCAAGTGTGTGGAGAGTAGAGAGCAGCCATGGGCATGGCAGTGGCTGGGTTCTGGAGATTTTCAGCTGCCAGGGATAGGTCCCTTGGGGCAGGGAAAGGTCTTTCCTGCCCCCACTGGGGTACCCCACGAGTAAACATTCTACTAAATAATATGGCCCTCTGTTCAATCTTGTTTTACATCTAAGGAACATTTTATGGTCCATTTACATGAGACTGTACTTATTAAACTGAATTTATTGTTGAGAATTTTATAGATTCTATAGATTTATAGGAATCATTCTAGCAATGATTTTTTTTACTTTAATCTTAAACTGGTACTGCCGTATAAGTACCGCGCTAACCGATAGCGCCACTGGAGCGATAGCACAGTGGTAGGGCGTTTGCCTTGCACGCAGCCAACATGGCTGACCCGAGTTTGATTCCTCCACCGCTCTCGGAGAGCCTGGCAAGCTACCGAGAGTATCTTGCCCGCACGGCAGAGCCTGGCAAGCTCCCCGTGATGTATTCGATATGCCAGACACAGTAACAACAAAGTCTCCAATGGAGACGTTACTGGGCCCGCTGGAGCAAATCGATGATCAATGGGAAGGCCTTTACTTTACTTACTTTTACTTAAACTGGTAATCACTAGTATAAGATAAAGCTTCTGAATTCTGTTTTTATTTTTGTTATTTATTTTTATTTCTCTAATATTCTCTGTATTTTGATTTAGTAAATTATTTAGTAACCTTAATGGAATTTTAAAGTCAAGTTTTTGTTTAGCTCATCTACTTCAGATTATTATCATTTTTTTCTTTTCTGATATCTCTAAAATTTATTTTATTGCTTTAATACTTTGGAATATTCTGTACTCATTAGACTGACTCTTGACTCTTGAATTTTATAAAATCATCATAGCAGCTACTTTTTAACATTATCAATGATTAGCATAATGAGTCATGTTAATCACTGTATCACTGTCATCCCATTGTTCATCAATTTACTCGAGTGGGAGCAAGTAACATCTCCATTCGTTCCAGCCCTGAGATTTTAGCAGCCTCTCCTTACTTATCTTTCCCAATGCTGCCATATTTGAGGCTCTTTCAGCATCAGGGGTATGAGACCCATTATTGTTACTGTTTTTGGCATATTGAATACACTATGGGTAGCTTGCCAGGCTCTGTCATGCAGGCGGGATACTCTGGGTAGCTTGCCGGATTCATATATATATATATATATATATATATATATATATATATTTCCCTCTATGATTTGTTGTCTACTACAAATGATATCCTTAGAAATAAATGAGAAAAATATTCTCACTTAATAGTTATGTTGATAAGTTTACTAATGTTTTGTCATCCTTAAGTTATTAGAAAAATTACTTTTCGTGATGTGACTTTATTAATTTTGTTTGATATAAATATAGACACCAATAAGTAGTAGCACTGTAGCACTGTCCTCTCGTTGTTCATCAATTTGCTTGAGCAGGCCCAGTAACGTCTCCATTGTGAGACTTGTTGTTACTGTGTTTGGCATATTGAATATGTCACGGGTAGCTTGCCAGGCTTTGCTATGCAGGCAAGATATTCTCAGTAGCTTGCTGGGCTCTCCGAGAGGGGCGGAGGAATCAGATTCAGGTCAGCCAGGTCAGCCATGTGCAAGGCAAATGTCCTACCCACTGTGATATCGCTCCAGCCCAACCAATAAGTAACATGTAGTCCAATTATCTTACTTATAAGATTTGTTGTGGGTGAGGGCTGGAAAAATAGGGCCCCCACTATATTGCATGCAGCCAAGCTGGGTTTGATCCTCAGCATCCCAGATGGTCCCCCAAGCACAACCAAGAGTAATCCCTGATCATCATAGGGTGTGGCCCAAAAAATAGAAAAACAATAAATAAATATTTTAATAAGATTGTTGGTAATATAGCCCCCACAACAAACTAACAAAAAAATCATAATTAGATGAAAATGTGAAGTTTCTGAGGACTTTTTAGTTCATCATGACTGGATCCACTCTGGGTGGTTTTCACAGTTACCCTCCATATATAGTCATCTATTCTTAATTTTCCAAAGACTTCTACCTTAACTTTTTAAAATATATGTTTTCAACTTGTAGGGGACTATAGTTTGGCTGCATCTTTCACAGTAAGTCCCTAACATTATTTCTTCCTTAGATTCGTGTTGATGGACCAGAAACAGTTGTGCAGGCAGCCCCAAACTGTTAAATTGTAAATAAAATCACTCACATCCATATAAAACCATTACTCTAGACATTACCAGTCCCAACTCATATACATTGTGGTCTGAATGAGGGACATTGAATTTTTCCCATTTATTTCTAAGGATATCATTTGTAGTAGAATTTTTTTAGAGAATGATTCATATATAGGGACCACTCTTAGTGGTGCTGAAGAGGCTTGACGTCCATCCTGGTGTTTCTCCATACAATTATACAGTACTCAGCCTATCTGCGAATGGAAGTGCCAGGGCTACATCTGGTGGTACCTGGGGGGACCATGTGATGACAGGCACCAAACTCGGAGCCTTATACATGTATGCTATGTGCTCTGCCACTTGAGTCATATCCTTGGCTCCTAAAAGAATAATTCTAATATCATAACTAATTCTATTTAGTAAGTCAGTTTTTATTATTTATTGCTAATAGCTTCCTTTATAGAGAATCTTTCTTTGGAATGAGTAAAGAATCTCTCCTACAATTGTTTTATAATAAGAATGCAAAAGCAGTATTTATTGTACCTAGAAACCTAACTGGAGTCTTCTCAGGTTACAGGAAGAAAAACAAAAGTAGACACCTGTATTTTAAATCCAAAGTGCCTCACTCTTAGTGAACTCTATGGACAATTGGATACTAATACTATGGAATGGACCGATGGGTTATTATCATTAACAGTTCGAAATTATGTATCCTCAAACTCTATGAAGAATTTACCAAAGAAAGATATTGAAGTAAGATAAAAAATCCAAAATCTCAGATGTACCTAATGTAAGCTTAATGTGAAATGAGTATTTCATTGAACTATTGTACATTTTATGTGTGTTATAAACACTTTTTAGTATAAAAGGAAGTTCTGGAGTGAGTAATGAGGATTTGTGGGGGGAGTGAATCACACCTGGTATTACTCAGGGGCTATTCCTGCCTCTGTACTCAGGAGTGACCTCTGGAAGTGCTCTGGGAAATATATATGATACAGGCCTGGAAATTCAGTTAGCCCCATAAAAAGCAAGTGCCTTTTTCCTGTATTATCTCTTAGGACAACCCTCTGCCAGAAAAAAAAAAAAAACAAGATTATGGTTCATTTTAAAAGAGAAAAAGTTGGTGGTGAGAGAAGCCTCCCATCTTTTTTCCTAGAATTGCTTTGACTATTCTGGAGATGGTTTGAGTGTATTATTTTATATGAATATCAGGAGTGTTGATTGATGTCTTTGAAAAATTCATGGGTATTTTGATAGGTACTGCATTGGATCTGCTTTGGTCAGTATTGGCATTTTGACACTAGTTATCCTTCCCAACTGTGAAGAGGAGATGTGTTTCCATTTCCTCATGACCTCTTTTATTTATTTTATTCCTCATGCGTCCTCTTTTATTTCTTTTAACAGTGGTTTATAGTTTTCTCTATACAAGTCTTTCACCTCTTTTGTTACGTTGATTCCCAGGTACTTAATTTTCTGAGGCACAACTGTGAATGGAATTAATATTTTAAGAACTCTCTCTCCTCCATTTCATTATTTGTATATAAAATCCATGGATTTATGTGCACTGATTTTTTTTTCTTTTTTTATTAGTGAAACACCATGAGGTACAGTTATAGGCTTACAAATTTTGTGCTTGGGTTTCAGTTATACAATGATCAAGTGCCCATCCCTCCACCAGTGCCCGTCATCCATCACCACGGGTCCCAGCATCCCCCCCACCCCCCATCCCCCCCGTCCCATCCTGCCTCTGTGGCAGGGTATTCCCCCTTGTGTGCACTGATTTTATAGCCTGAACTTTATTGTATAAGTCAACTGTTTCTAGGAATCTCTTTAAGGAGTCTTTAGGGTTTTCTAAGTATAGTATCATGTAATTTCCAAATAATGAGTTTGACTTCTTCTTTTTCAATCTGAATGCCCTTAATACCTCTTTCTTCCTTAATTTCTATGGCAAGGACTTTCAGTACAATATTGAATAGTAGTGGGAACTTTATCCTGTGTCTGGTTTTAGAGTGAAGACTTTCAGTTTTTCACCATGAGTACAGCATTTGCTGTGAGATTGTAGTAAACAATTTTGACTATGTTGAGGAAATTTCCTTCAACTCTCATTTTATTGAGAGTTTTTTTAATCACAAATGAGCATTTGGCAAATGCTTTCTCTGCACTTACTGATATGATAATATGACTTTTATTTTTTCTTGTATTGATGTGGTATATTACATTGATTGACTTGTATATATTAAAATATACTTGCATCCCAGGATGAATCCTATGTGGTCATGGTGAATGACCTTTTTGTTGGATTGTTGAATTTAATTGATCACTTGATCATTTGACATCCTGTTACTCATCGATTTGCTCGAGCAAGTGCCGGTAACGTCTCCATCCATCCCTGTCACATGTTAGTGTAGCCCAGTGACGTCTGCTTGTTCTGGGAACACAAAGAGCCTCAGACTGATCATTCAGGGTCTTGACGAAGAAGTCTGACCATCTCATAGGTCGGCTTTTGACGTCCTGTGGAATCCAGTAGGTAATGGCTCTAGTCCAGCAGTCATCTCCAAATCTCATTACATGCCCAATCCATCTGATTTTCAATGCCTTGGAAAACGAGACAGCATCCTTGATTCTTGATAGTCAATGGAGGTCGAAACTCCAGATTCTTTCTCTCATTTGAGTGAAGCGTGTTACTCCAAGCATAGCTCTTTTGATTCCTCTTTGGGAGACCCAAATAGTGTTCTCATCATATTTTTGTAGGGCCCAGGTGTTTGAGGCATATGTTAGTGCAGGAAGAACAGTGGAATCGAATAGATGTGCCTGGAGCCGGAGGTTCTTCATCCTCTTAGCTATTTCTTTGATGCTCTTGAAGACGTTCTAAGCTGGTCTCTTCCTTCTGCGCAACTCAGGTGCCAGGTCATTCATCATGTTGACTTCTCAACCTAGGAACACATAACTGTTGCATTCAGAGATGTTTATTCCGTTGAGAATGAATGGAATGTCAGGAACAAGACCGTTTCTCATAAACATTGTCTTCGTGAGATTCAGCTGTAGTCCGACCTTTCCACACTCATGGTCAAAGTCGGTCAGCATTTGTGCCGCTCAGCTAATGTTTGGTGTTTTAAGAACGATGTCATCAGCAAACTGGAGGTGGTGTAGTTGCGGACTGTCTATCTTCATTTCCATTCCTTCCCATTCCAGTCGTCACATGACGTTCTCGAGGGTGGCACTGAAGAGTTCCGGTGAAATGATATCATGCTGCCTAACCCCTCTCTTGACATGGATGATCTCTTCCTTGTAGAATGGTGAGATCCTGGTAGTGAATCCATCATACAGCTCATGGAGGACCCTGATGTATTGAGTTTGAATGCCTTGTTTGGTTAGGGCTTTGATAACTGCTTCAGTCACAACAGAATCAAAGGCCTTCTTTAAATCAATGAACGTTAGACAGAGTGGCATCTTGAACTCCTGAGAAACCTCAATGAGCTTGGTTAACATGTGGATATGGTCGATCATGCCGAATTCTTTTCAGAACCTGGCTTTCTCACATGGTTGTCCTTCATCGAGTGTTCTGCCAATCCTATTCGGGATGACTTGAGTGAACAGCTTGTAGATGACAGACAACAGGCACATAGGGCAATAGTTGCCAGAGTCATAGATGTCTCCCTTCTTGTACAGCAGTACAATCCTGCTGGTTTTCCACTGGGATGGGACCTTACATTCAAACAGGTAGCGTGTGAAGAACCAAGCCAGTGTATTGATGAGTGCTGATGGCAGGTTCATTTTTAGAGGACTTTGGGGACCATATGTGATGCCTGGGACATCACCACTGATGGACCAAGTGCAAGAAAAGCGCTCCACCTATTGCTATGGCTTCTGACATCGTTTTAAGAAAGTAAATGATAAAATGAAGTCAAGGATACTTGCTTTAAAAGGTGTACAGGTAGGGTGATTGAAAGAGAGGGACATTAGGACACTTGGGGAAAGGAGGTGAATATACTGGTGATGGGTTTGGTGTTGGAATTATGTGCATGAGAAATCACCATTAACAGTATTTCAAATCACAGAACCTCGATGAATTTTTAAAGGCACACAGGCAGATTAAGTGTAAGTAGAGGATGACCTAGTGATTCTGGTCCCACCACTGTCATTGTCACTGTCACTGTCCTCCCATTGTTCATCAATTTCCTTGAGCAGGCCCAGTAACATTGTGAGACGTATCCCTTCCACCACCCCCACCCCACCCCACCCCACCCCACCCTTGTCTCTATGGCAGGCACTTTCCTTTTAACTCTCTCTCTACTTTGTGGCATTATAGTTTGAAATACAGATACTGAGAGGCCATCATGTCCAGTCCTTTGTCTACTTTCAGCACACCCCCCATCCTAAGCAATCCCCCCAACCATCATTGACTTAGTGGTCTCTTTTCTATCCCAACTTCCTCCCCCACCCCCCCGGCACATGAGGCAAGCTTCCAACCATGAATCAATCCTCTTGACCCTTGTTTCTCCTGTCCTTGAGTGTTATTCTCATCCAATGTTATTTCATATTCCACAAATGAGTGCAGTCATTCTATGTCTGTCCCTCTCTTTCTGACTCATTTCACTTAGCATGATACTCCCCATACCTATAAGCAAATTTCATGATCTTTTCTAACATCTGCATAGTATTCCATTGTGTAGAAGTACCAAAGTTTCTTTAACCAGTCATCTGTTCTCAAACACTCGGGTTGTTTCCAGATTCTAGCTATTGTGAATAGTGCTTCAATAAACAGACAGGTGCAGATGTCATTTCTACTGTGCTTTTTTGCACCCCTGGAATACATTTCCAAAATTGGTAATCCTGGGTCATATGGAAGCTCAATTTCTAGTTTTTGAGGAATGCCCATATTGTTTTCAAAAAAGGCTGGACCAGTTGGCATTCCCACCAACAATGAAGGAGAGTCCCTTTCTCCCTGCATCTTTGCCAGTATTGGTTGTTCTTGTACTTTTTGATGTGTGCCAGTCTCTGTGGTGTAAGATGATATCCCATTGTTGTTTTGATTTGCATAACCCTGATGATTAGCAATGTAGAGTATTTTTCATGTGCCTTTTGACCATTTGTATTTCTTTTTTGAGGGAGCTTCTGTTCATTTCTTCCCCCCATTTTTTGATGAGGTTGGAAGTTTTGTTGTTTTTTTTTATTTATAAAGTTTAAACATTGTCTAGTATATCCTGGGTATTAACCCCTTATCTAATGGATATTGAGTAAATAAATTTTCCCATTCCATGACTCTCTCTGTATTTTGGTCAGTATTTCTTTAGGATTGTTGCCCTAACAAACTCTCTTATCAGGAGGCAGGAGTTTGGGCTTGGTTTTTCCAGAAGGGTGAAAGCTGGAATTCGAACACTCGAAGCAGTCTTCTGGTGCCATGGCAACAAAGCCTTGATGGACAAGGAGCATCCCCAGGACTCAGGAGAGACATATTTCACATCCCCGCAAACTGTGCATGCGGCTTTCTAACAAGAAACTAATTTTGATTATATCTGCTATCTGCACCTGGCTGTCCTCACAGGGGCCCCTTGGAGGGGGTGGGAGGGTTGAGTTTACTTCCCTGCCCCGACTGGAGCCCCAGCAGCCGAAGACCTCCAGAACCAGCCACCACCATGCTGAGACCACTCTCCACATGCATGAAGGTACCGGCAGAGGAACAAAGGCATGCGGGTCCTGGGGCTGAGATCTCCAAGCCTGTTCGGATCAGGGCTGAGCACCCTCCACCCAGATCCTCCATCTTCCAGTAGGCAGGGGTCACACCCACCAACTGACACCCAGAACCCTGTAATCCCATCAATGACCAAGACCCAGAGACTATAAAACTCAGCTCCTGGAATGCAGCCGCGCGACACCTTATTATCTCATTCCTGCTTTCCACAACCTGGCAGGCTACTGAGTGCAGCCTGCCGCATGGCAGAGTCTGGCAAACTCCCCATGGAGTACCCAATATGCCAAATACCAGTAACAATGATGGGTCTCATTCTCCTAAACCTGAAAGAGCCTTGAATGTGGCACTTTTTTGAATTTCAGGGCTAGGACAAAGGAGACATTACTGGTGCCTGCTCAAGGCAATCAACGAACAACAGGATGATCGTGATCACGAAAGTTTAACTGTTGTCTAGTATATCCTGGATATTAACCCCTTATCTGATGGATATTGAGTAAATAAATTTTCCCGTTCCATGGCTCTCTCTGTATTTTGGTCATTATTTCTTTTGAGGTATAGAAGCTTCTGAGTTTAATGTAGTCCATTTGTTTATCTTTGTTTCCACTTGCTTGGTCAGTGGTGTTTCATCCTTAAACATGCCTTCAGCTTCAATGTCATGGAAGGGTTTGCCTACATTTTCCTCCATGTACCTTATGAGTTCAGTTCTGATATTGGGGTCTTTAATCCATTTTGATCTGACTTTTGTGCATGGTGTTAGAGGTCTGAGTTCTTTTTTTTTTTTTGCATATAACTGTCCAATTTTCCCAGCACCATTTGTTGAAGAGTCTTCCTTGCTCCACTTTATATTTCTTGCTCCTTTATCAAAGATTAAGTGATCATCCACTTGAGGGTCTGTGTCAGAATATTCAACTCTATTGCATTGGTCTATGGGTCTGTTTCTATTTCAATTCATGCTGTTAAGTTGAATTGTAGTACAGTTTGAAGTTGGGGAAGTTGATGTCACCCATCTTTTTTTTCCCCAAGAATTGCTTTAGCTATTTGTGGTGGTTTATTTTGGGGGGTTTGATCACAACAAATTCATATTTGTTCCATATGAATTTCAGGAGTATTTTGTCTATTTCTCCAAAAAATGTCATGGGTATCCCTATAGGGACCACATTAAATCTGTATAGTGCTTTGGGTAGTATTGCCATTTTGACAATGTCAATCCTCCCAATCCATGAGCAGGGAATGTGTCCCCATTTCCTAGTGTCCTCCAATCTAGGTTGGCTGCATGCAGGAAAAGCACCTTAAGCCTTTGTACTATCTCTCTGGCCCCATGTTTTGTCAAATTGAGTCTAGCAGTGTAGTTATCAATTTTGTTAATCCTTTCTAAATACCAACTCTTGACTTTATTGATCTTATCAATTTTTATTTAAGTACATGATTTATAATATGATAAAAGCTATATTTTAGACATATTTAAAAGCATATAATTAAAGTTTCCAGCAGATGAAAGTATTTTGTATGATCTTTCAGTTTTTTATATTATTTTGTTCTAATTTTTTATTATTTTTGTTTTTTTGAGAATTTTCTTGTTTACAGCTATAAATCTATATTATAATGAAGTGTGATCAAATAAAAACTTTTAAATAATTGCATATTTTAGGTTTTCAATCTCAGTGACTCATATACAAAAGATATTGATGATAATGTTTTTATGAGTGAGATAGAGAAAGAAGTTATAGTTTCAGAAACTCAGGGTAAGTATTAGTATTGAATTTAATAGCTTTAATTTACCTAGAAGACAAAGTAGACTAATATGAGCTTTATTTGTAGCTTCAAAATATTTTATTAATGATTCTTCATATTTCAACTTTTCTCTTGTATTCTTTGTATTTCAATTTTCTCATGTGTTTATTTAAAATGTGTATAGTATTATCACATTCTATTACACTATGTAATTATGTCAAGGAATTGCTCTGCCTTATTTTTACTTTATAAGTGATCATTAATATCTCACAAGAACCAAGAAGATATTAAATATGGTAATAAATAATGTGTAATAATAGTGGCAACCTACAATAGTATTGCTTCAGTAGTAGGACTTGAGAAAATCTTTCCATTCTTTGGTAAAATCATACAACCCAATCATTTTAATCTAAAATTAAATACAATTACATGCCACTTTGTTGTGTGCTAAGGAAATAGCACGTATAGAGCAAAGACCCTCCAAAAGGTGCTGCCAGTTTACTGCAGATTGAACCATATCACTATCTACTAAATGTGTTCCAGATTCTGAAAGACACTTCTATTATTTACTAGAATGTTTGTGTGTCACTTTTTGGTATTCTGTTTGGGAGAGTACAGTGATTGAGCAGAATAAATTTCCTCTACAGGACCATAGAGATTGGTCAAGAGTATGGTAGCTTCCTTGCTTATAGGTGAACCAAGTTCGATCCCTGACACTGCATATTGTACCCCAAGCATCACCAGAGTTGATCCCTAAGCACAGAAACAGGACTAATCCCTGAGCACCAATGAGTATGGGGGAATAAGGGAACTAGAAGGAGGAGGAGACAAAGGAGTAGGAGGAGATTTTTTGTCTCCATAGTGATCAATTTATTACTCTCTTGTCCAGAACAATAGATTTTATAATATTATATAATAAGGCAGTGTTAAGTTTGGAAAGATGAGTAAATGGATTACCAATGTGAAACGTTCTAATTTTATTCTTTCTTCAAAAATCTATCTCCCTTACCTGTTTTCCATAGTATCACATCTAAAAATTATTCCCACAAGGAAGGAGACAACTCATAAAGCATTATGAAAAATATTTTACATTATATAAAAATAGGGCAGAGCGATAGCACAGCGGTAGGGTGTTCGCCTTACAAGTGGCCTACATGGCCGATCCGAGTTCGATTCCTCTGCCCCTCTCGGAGAGCCCGGCAAGCTACCGAGAGTATCTCGCCCGCACACGGGCCTGGCAAGCTCCCTGTGATGTATTGGATATGCCAGACACAGTAACAACAAAGTCTCCAATGGAGACGTTACTGGGCCCGCTCGAGCAAATCGACAATCAACGGGAGGGCCTTTACCTTTACCTTTATATAAAAATATTTTACCTTGAAATGTTTATTATTACATGAATGACAAATTCATGGATTTTTCTTTTACCCAAGAATTAAGGATACATTATAGCAATCAAGAAATATTTAAATTATGTTTAAACATTTATCTAATATGACTATTTATCTTTAAAAACTAACAGACTGCATGTTTTCCAGGCTATCATTGTTAATTACTATTTCCAAATACACTAGAAATCTTATAATGAAAGAAGGCAAATTATTCTTAGCTACATATTAAATATTTTTCTCTCTAGACACTGATTGGCAATGGATTATCTTTGATGGTCCAGTGGATACTTCTTGGATAGAAAATATAAACTCTATGCTAGATGACACTAGAACATTGTGTCTAGCAAATAGTGAGAGAATAACTCTAACTAAAAAAATAAGAGTAATTTTTGAAGTGGACAATCTCTCTCAAGCCCCCCCTTCCATTCTCAGCCAATGTGGTATGGTCTATATGGTAAGTTTTTGTTTTTTAACACAGAAAATGTGCCATTGAAGCTATTAGTCATTATCTATTGGGTCTAACAAAGTGATCCTAGTAGTTAAGTTTGTGTCTGGTAAATCTTCCTAACTCAGAAATAAATACAAATGCAATTACTACTGTTATGAATACTGCTCATTTCATCAAATATTTTTAAAATAATTGTGAGTAACAATTACTGCTGGTGTGCATTATTTTTTCCAACAAAATAAAAAGTGTCCTGAAGACTTTTCATACCCATCTATGCCTCTTTTCACAACTTGTGAAATGTATCACCAGGTCAGTATTAAGGAGAGAGACAACATAGCAAACAATAAGTGTCCATTATACATAAAACTATTAATCATGATCAATCCTGTGTTCTAATCTACTTATCTCAATGTAATAAAGCTAAGTATAATGTTGGTCTTCTTGATAAGCAATTCCCTCCTCCATGTACACATAGTCTCAACACATTTTCTTACAGATCAATGCCTAATTGTTTATGGTCTTAAAATATCATGGGTAAACCACAAATCATTCATATTAGAGCAATTATATAACTGTTTTGATCACATGTCCTTTAAAAATGATGACTATTAAATCATATTTGATAGGGAGCAATGGTAAAGCAAAGAAATAGCATAAAATTGGTAGACGTGGTATCTATTTATTTATATCAGATTGTCCTGTGCTTTTTATTGTCAGGATCCTGGTGACCTAGGATGGGAGCCTTATGTTAAATCATGGCTTTTGAAAATTTCTAAAACTTTGAGTGGACCAGGGGTGGATTATGTTGAAGTCCTGATTAAAAGTAGTGTCACAGATGGACTACAGTTTATAAAGAAGTATCAGAAATATCAGCCATTTCCTGTGCCAGACCTAACAATTGTTAAAACTCTCTGCAGAATTCTTGATGCTTTCTTTGAATCCATTTGTGAAATTGGAGAATTTGAACAAGGTGAGTTTTTCCATGCCCCTCAGTCATTTAATGGTATAATAGTTATTAAAAGGGCAAATATGTATTACTTACTGTTTACTATAAAAGAAATTTTTAAAAAGTTTATTAAAGCACCATGACTTACAAAATTATTTGTAGTTGAGTTTTAGATATACAGTGTTCCAGCATTAGTCCCACCGCCAGTGTCAACTTCCCTTCCCAGAGTTCCCAGGTTCTTTCCCCAGCCCTCAGCGCCCCACCCCCCATCCCCTGCCTCACCAACCCCCAGCCTTCACCTTGACAAGCACCTTTTTCTAATATGGTAATTAAAGTTTGGGTATCATGATTTCGGTGTTCTTGGCTCTGTGGTTGGATATTTAGCTATACTATTCCGTCATCACCAATATACCTGGGTCCCCTTGACCCTGCCTGCAGTTGTTTCCTATCTTTCTCTTTCCCCCAAGTCCCCCACACCCTTTGATTTTTCTTCTTTCTCTTTAATCCTTTTTCTTTCTTCTCCTCCCTATAATCTGGAGCCAAGGAATATCTAAGCATTTCCCCTTTAAAAATGAAATTATTAAATTCACTGCAGCATGGATGGAACTGGAAGATATTGTGCTAAATGAACTAAGCCAGAAGAAGAAGGACAAACACAATATGATCTCACTTATAAGTGGTATTCAGAATAATTGGATGAGAGAATGCAATTTTTTAAAGAAATATTTTAAAGTAAGGCCAGGAGGGGCTGGAGAATACAACAGATAGGGCATTTTCCCTGCATATGATCCAGGTTTGTCCCTGTGAGCCCATATAGAGGCACTCTGAGCAAAAATAAAAGTGATCCCTGAGCACGGAACCAATAGTAATCCCTAAGCACCACCAGCTATGGTCAAAAAACAAATTAATAAGGTCAGAAATTTTAAGTGTAAGTCAAACAACAACAGGGACTGCACTTGGAATAGATTAAAACTCAGAGAGGAGAACATGAATAAAGTAAATTACTAACTAGTTAAGTGTTGAAGGGTCACCAAAAAGTGACTACAAAAAATTTTTTACAAGTTGTCAATTAAAAAAGAATGTTTTTGCTATGTTTTAAAGATTCTCAGAATATTGAAATAATAGCAAAATTGTGTACAAAATCTTAGGTGTAAGCTTGCAATCAATCATAAAAAAAGCAATAAGCAAAGTAGTAAAACACCTTAAGAGAGATAAAAAAAATTTCAAATGAGTATGTTTTCAAAGTAACAGATTTCCCTGCTATACATATATGTCATACATTCTGGACTAATCTCAGAAGAGACAGTGAACCACTGAAATTCCCAGGCCTTTGGACTGAAAACTCTGTCCTTCTAAGAGTGGGAGCAGACAGTCTCATCCCATCCCACCCCCATAACCATTAGAAGTCCTAGCAGTGACACCCACACTACACAGTTTCTGGTATATAAATGGCCCAGCTTCACAAATATTCCCAGAAGAGACATGGAATCTAAGAATCATCCCAGTGCTACAGCTCCTAGAGTGTGCAGCTATATGACTTCTCCAAAATCCACAATTTTGCACCCTGGTCAGGCTCATCAGCAATCACAGATGTCCAACCTGGCTCATGTTTGAGAAAAACACTTTTTTAAAGGTATCAGAGGCTTTGACTGTTGGGGTTTGGTCTCCATGCCTGTGAGTAGAGAAAAAGACAGGGAAGCTCTAGCACAGATGAATATCCTGGAGTAAAAGTAAGTAAGTAAAGGCCGTCCCATTGATCATCGATTTGCTCGAGCGGGCTCAGTAACGTCTCCATTTGGAGACTTTGTTGTTACTGTGTTTGGCATATCGAATACGTCATGGGGAACTTGCCAGGCTCTGCTGTGCGGGTGAGATACTCTCGGTAGCTTGCCGGGCTCTCCGAGAGGGGCGGAGGAATCGAACTCGGGTCGGCCATGTTGGCTGCGTGTTGTTCCTGTCAAGTTAATCCTTTCTCCTTCAGGAATCTGTGAATTCCAAGGAAAGGGTAAGAGTACTGAAATGTTAATTCAAAATATGGAGGCCTGGTGTTGTCCAATCCACAATCTGTAAAAGAGGGGTATAAGGAATGCTTTAATGTGAACTCATGAGGTGTTAAAGGAGCTGGAGGCCTTGCTGCAGGTCCTCTGATGCTGGCTCCTCTTCTTTCCCTTGTGACTTCCAGCTGAAATCAGTTTGGTGATGGCTTGGGGCTGGAATTTGAAGGTTGGTGAGTCTCTGGCGGTCTGAGGTTCAAGTCAGGTAGATGAATTCTACTCCTTATGAGACGTAACGGGACCCAAAAGTTTCTCAATGGGGTTATCATCTGTTGAAACAAAAGCATAGCCTTTACCTCGAATGAGGAGTTTTCCTGCTACATCCAAATGGGAAAATACCTCCTTTTTTTGTCTTTGATTTAACTTGCCATATATCCACTGAATATGAAGATGTAGTGGGCTTAAAGCTGCAGTGTTCTCTTAAAAGTCAAACTGCTTCTCTCTAAGAGTAGCTTCTACAGTGCCTTGTGGGATTGGTCCCCTTATACCAGAATTTAATTAGTGACACTGAGCAGGAGCTATAGGAACCATATCAGGACAGAAAATATCCAAGGCTGTGCTTCCTGCAGTCACAGCTGCAGCGATTATACTGATTGGAGCTCTGAAACTTTACACTGGGGAGCTGGGAACATCTCCTGATATTGCGGTACCTGGGGCTGGTGCCCTTGCAGGATTCCCGAATTGGGGTCAACAGCTGCATCAAAATTGAAGCGACAACCTCTGGCCCAATGCTTTCCCCTCTTACATCTGGGACAGGGCCCGTGATGTGCAAATCTGGCTCTGCAATCCTTGGCCCAGTGGTTTCCCTTCTTACACCTGGGAAAGGACCCAGGAGGTGCTCTCACAGTAGCACGTTTTGGAGGTGCCCTGCAGTCCTTACGAAAGTGGCCTGGTTTTCCACAATTAAAACATCTTTTCTGAGCTTGTCTCTGTACAGTATAGGCCTCCAAAGCCTTCATCTGCACCTCACATTTAACAGAACCAACATTCCTGCATGCTTTCAAATAACCATTATATCTTCCTTCTCTTTGATAGGGCCCAGAATGGCCTGGCAATCCTCATTAGCATTTTCAAAGGCGAATTGTTTAGTCAACAGTTCCTGAGATTCCTTAAGCTTACCCTGCCTTTCAGTGGCTTCCATCAACCTTCCTATAAAATCTGCATAAGGTTCTGAGGCCCTCTGAATAATTTTAGTAAACTTCCCTTAAATTCTGCATCTGCATCAATCTTCTCCCATGCACGCAGGGCTATGTCACAGACATGAGCAAAAACAGCACGAGGCAAGGTGACTTGCCTTTTTTGGTCGTGCCATTTCCCTTCACCTATTCACTTAATCACTTAATCACTTAACTTCCCATTAGTCGTCGATTTGCTCGAGCGGGCGCCAGTAACGTCTCCATTTGTCCCTGTCGCGTGCTAGTGTAGCCCAATGGCATCTGTTCGCTCCGGGAACATGAAGGGCCTCAAACCGATCGTTCATGATCTTGACGAAGAAGTCTGACCATCTGGTAGGTGGGCGGCCACGCGGTCTTTTGACATCCCGTGGAATCCAGTAGATAACAGCTCTAGTCCAGCGGTCGTCTTTAAATCTCATTACGTGACCAGCCCATCTGATTTTCGACACCTTGGCAAATGAGACAGCGTCCCTGATTCTTGATCATCGATGGATGTCAGAACTCCGGATTCTTTCTCTCATTTGAGTGAAACGTGATATTCCAAGCATAGCTCTTTCTATTCTTTGGGAGACCTGAATAGCGTTCTCATCTTGTTTGCGTAGGGCCCAGGTCTCTTAGGCATATGTTAATGCAGGAAGAACAGTGGAATCAAAGAGATGTGCCCAGAGCCTGAGGTTCTTCGTCCTCTTAGCTATTTCTTCGACGTTCTTGAAGGTGTTCCAAGCCGCTCTCTTCCTCCTGCGCAGCTCGGGTGCCAGGTCATTTGTCATGTTGACCTCTCGACCTAGGTACACATAGCTGTTGCATTCGGAGATGGTCGTTCCATTGAGAGCGAATGGGGCGTCAGGAATGAGGCTCTTTCTCATAAACATTGTCTTCGTAAGATTCAGCTGTAGTCCTACCTTTCCACACTCACGGTCATAGTCGGCCAGCATTTGTGCCGCTTGGCTGATGTTTGGTGTTATTAAAACAATGTCATCAGCAAAGCGGAGGTGGTGTAGTTGCCAACCATCTATCTTCACTCCCATTCCTTCCCATTCCAGTCGTCACATGATGTTCTCAAGGGTGGCACTGAAGAGTTTCAGTGAAATGGTATCACCCTGCCGCACCCCTCTCTTGACATCAATGATCACTTCTTTGTAGAATGGCGAGATCCTGGTAGTGAATCTGCAATACAGCTCACGGAGGATCCTGATGTATTGAGTTTGTACGCCCTGATTGGCTAGGGCTTCAATGACCGCTTTCATCTCAACAGAATCAAAGGCCTTCTTTAAATCAATGAACGTTAAACAGAGCGGCATCTTGAACTCCCGAGAAACCTCAATGAGCTTGGTTATCGTGTGGATATGATCGATGGTGCTGAATCCTTTGTGGAACCCGGCTTGCTCACATGGTTGTCCTTCATCTAGTGTTCTGCCAATCCTATTTAGGATGACTCGAGTGAACAACTTGTAGATGACAGACAATAGGCAGATCGGGCGATAGTTGCCAATGTCATGGATGTCTCCCTTCTTGAACAGTAGTACAGTCCTGCTGGTTTTCCATTGGGACGGAACCTTGCATTCAGACAGGTAGCAAGTGAAGAGCCGAGCCAGTGTATTGATGAGTACTGACGGCAGGTTCTTCAGGTGTTCAGGTCTGACCTTGTCTGGGCCGGGTGCTGTTTGTTTCTTTACCGACAAAATGGCGTGTCGGATTTTGGAAGGGAGAACACTGGGAACGACATATCCATCCTGTGGAATTTGGTATGTCGGCAAGTGGACATGGCTATCGAAGAGATTTGAGTAGAAGTCAT